ATCCTATCGCCTCTTCTGAATAACGACTAACTCTCACTAGTTATGGGTAACAAGATCACCTACCACTCTCCCAGCCGTGGTTCCTCCATGGAGATGGGTGCTGCCATCACTGTCCTCGTCTTCTCTCAGTACAAGCTCCCCGTCTCCACCTCCATGTGTATCACTGGTGCCACCGTCGGTGTCGGCCTGTGCAACGGCAGCCTCAAGGCTGTCAACTGGAAGCGAGTCTTCCTCCTCGTCTTCTCTTGGATCATGACCATCCCCATCGCCGGTCTCATCGGTGGATGTCTCATGGCTCTCGCCCTCAATGCCCCTCACTTTTAAGCATCTCACTCATGATTTCTGATACCTTTGAGAGCTTGACGCTCTATCTTTCTTTTTCATTACATGCAACAATCATTTGGGGATCGGGATGAAAATAGAGGATCGGACTGCATAGAAAACCGATGTCAAAGCTGTTTATAGTACGTTATACCATTAATTGACGGAGATTACTCTCTTTTACAATAATTATCTCGCTCCCTGATGCTCGCCTCTGTGATCTACGTCTTGACCTGTACTTGGACGTTTAATTCTTTGCCGCACTGAATGACTCGAAGGAAAAATGATGGTTTTCGCTGCCTTGAACTCTCGCGTCACAAGACTCAGCCACTTACAAAGCGACTTGTTATACATCGCCATGGTCACGCGATCAAACATCCTCAATACGAAGTGAAACCGCTGTCAACATCTTGGGCTACGTCGTTCAAGCCCTGTAATTAGTGACTCTTGGCAGGAACCGTGGTGTGAGCTGAGATCTTGGCAAGCCTTTGACATGTTGGCGTGCTGACGGCGTTTTCGGTACACCCTCATCCTCGTCGGTACCTTGGTAACATCTTGGCGCATGGACTAATCTTCCCTAGAGTCGTATCATGATCAGCCATCGAAGCTTCTATGCGTTCTTCCATGACGAGGTCCGTGACGAGGCCCTGCAGTCGCATCATGCGTTCTGTAATCTGGCCGATAACTAGGCACCGAGCCAATGGTCTATTGAGTACCGAAAGTGTAATGTCGCATGAGGCAGACAATGTGTAAAGTTACTTTCTTGTCCGTGTCACTGGCTGATATTACCTTCATGCGAGCGGAACAATTCAAGTCCGACAAGTCTCACGTGATACTAACAAGGCTATCAACACAAATTGGCAACGATGTTATAAAAATGATCACGGGATAGGAAGTAATTTACCAAATGACGTTGTATTAACTTATGATTATTCCTTCTATGTCAAGAAAGAAGGTATTGCTATATTATAGAAAACAAGAAACCAGAAACCAAAACGCCTGGTCTTAGATGAGTTTGGTAGAGTTTAGGGAAGTTTAGGGAAGTTTAGGGAAGTTTAGGGAAGCTTAGGGGAGTTTAGGAGAGTTTAGACCAGGCTTTTGCCTCTCTATTGGCACCACATCTGAACAGGAACGGAGACCTGATCCAAGACATCAAAGTCCATTCCCCACTGCTTGAAGCTGACAACGATCATGTCGAAGCTCTCGAGCTCTTCCTTGGTCCAGTCCTCGTCAGCCAACCGAGGAATCTCAGGAACAGCGGTCTGCTTGACCAGGGAGTCGGCGAAGGTGACATCCATTGAGAGCTTTTGAAGCTCCTTGGCGAGGTGAAGCCCAGGAGAGTTGACAAGATGGTCCTGTCCGGCCTTGAAGCCCATACCGACAACGAGGACTCGCTTGTTGAGGTCGATACCGGAGTCACGGCGCTTGGCCTTGCTGGTACCGCAAAGCTCGTTGACGATCTCCTGGGCTTGGGTGGCAGGGCGCTTGTTCATCTTGTCGGCGCAGGCCTCAAGGAGAGGGAACTCGCAGTTGGAGAGAAGGTAATAGGGGTTAACAGGGATACAGTGACCACCAACACCGAGACTGGGAGTGTAGGGCATGTAACCGAAGGGCTTCGTGGCTGCAGCGCGAGAAACCTCGAAGGCATCAATGCCAAGACCTTTGCACGCGTCGGCCATCTCGTTTGCATAGGCAATGCACATCATGCGTTGGCAGTTCTCGTACAGCTTGCACATCTCAGCAACTTCAGGCTTGGAGACAGGGACGATGCTGTCGAAAACGCGGCCATAGAGACGGACAACAGCGTCGAGAGATCCGGGGATGACATCATCCAGGCCAGAAACAACCTTGGGGATGGATCGCATAGGAGGTTCAACACGGCCGGGGTCAATGCGCTACTATTTGTTAGTATAAGTCATGATACGATAATGTAGGTTCGGCTTACCTCGGGAGACATCCCGGCGAACAGACCCTTGGCCTTAGCAATAGGACCAAGAAGCTGGCGAGTCAGACCGACAGAAACAGAGCTCTCAATGACAACAGTGCAGCCAGGACGGGCCCACTGCTCAACACGACGAAGGGCAGAGCGGAGATAAGATAGGTCAATGGTACGGTCGGAACGAAGAAGCGTAGGCACAGAAATAAGGAAGTGGGTAGCCTTGCCAAGGTCAGATTCGTTGGAAGTGAAAGAGACGTTAGGTCGAGCACTGAACTCTCCTCTAAGGAACTGAAGACGATCTTCAGAAATGTCGAAACCCATGATCTCGTACTTGGGGTAGGAAGAAAAAGAGTCAACAAGACCAGTGCCGACGAAGCCAACGCCGATCACTGCAACAAGAGGAGAAGCAGCCTCAGTGGGTGTCATGATGGGCTTGGTGGGTAAAGTCTTGGCTGCATGGTCCTGCTTGGTCTTGGTCTTGGTCTGGTGGGGGGTAGCCTTGCTGCGAGGAGCAGGTCTCTGGACAAGATTGGCAACGATAGGCATTGGTGATGTAGAGTGTATGTGATAGTGAGACAAAAGATGTGATTATGGGAGAGTGAGACAAGGAGGGGAGTGAAGAGTGTTTAAAGTACCCTGGAAAGATGATTGTGTTGATGAGATGAGTGATGAGAAGTGATTTAGGCTGCTGGAAGCTGAGTTCTTATAGACTGTTAGTTGATACTGAAAACACTTCTTGATCGAAGTTTTCACTCCCTCATCTCCATACTCAACCAAAAGCAGAAACTTTGAACAGTTGTTCGATGAGAGCTATGAGTAACCAGTCTAGATTCGGCAGCAATAGGAATAGTCCAACAAACTATCTCTCGACCCAAGTCTCCTAGTCCAAGATGTTGCAACCCTCCCTCGAGAAATCTCGCCCCGAGAAGACGCACAACCCGTCCGAATAGGGCAAGGCGCCAAGGCTTCTGTGATCGATATGAATGTCCTGCACAGCACAGACATTGCGGCGGCTCCCGCAGCCACTGTGTGGGTAAAGCACCATCACGGTCGGAGCAAAAAAGGTGGCGATTAGTCCCGGCCGGCAACAAGTGCTAGTGGCCTCTAGTGCGCAAGCGAGGAATGCAGCGCCAAGCAGAAATCCAATCCTATTACATGCCTATGACAGTGGCAATAGCATTCCGGCACATTATGATATGTTACAGTTGATTTTAGAGTGCAGGCTACTGACGTGTGATGGGGCATAGGTTCGATCGATCGGGGGGAACCATGCTTTAGAGATCCAGTGCACAGACTCGCGCGCGACTAATGTCAGATGAACGTGTGCTTATTTCAGGTTTAATGGATTCAACCATAAACAAGTGTGGAGTTGTATAGCAGTGACATTCAGGCCTGGGCAACTATCCCCGATTCCCCGTCGTTAAGCTGTATGTGGGCCCAGACCCTGAGATAACTCTAATTCGAACCCTTTTCCAAGGCCTGCCAAGGTGAATCACCACTTAAACAAAGCCCCGACCTTTGACCCAACAGAAAACAGACCGTTCTCATCGTTTTCCCCCTCCATATGGCGCAAGCCACTTATCACATACCTGTCTAAACTTGGCCTGTCACTCTTTCAACGTGCAGATGCAGGTGCAGTGCATGAGAAACGGGGATCGGCGCCTTTGTTCCTGGGACGTGGCAGTTGTTTTCGGTAGGTCTTGGCTATGTGATCGTCAGGTCTGTCGTACGATGGAGGATTCAGTTCTTCATGCCATGTGGTAGCGAAGTGTTCTAGAGTTGATTCAGAGTTTAAGAGGCTGCTGCCAAGCAAGACATGTGTGATTTCTTTCAACCGACAGGGACTTTTCATCCGGGAAGGGGTCTTCAGAAGACACCTCGGCTGCATGGATGCAGACTTTTCATGACTATCGTACATGATTGGGAAGACTGCAGAGAGATCGTTTAGTTACCTGAGCCAGATTCTCCTCGAGCCTCATAGGTTAAACATGTCCCGCCAGTGACGTAGATAAAGCCGTTCACTATCAAATAGCCCACAGCACGAATCAGGACTAAGCTAGGCCATCACTAGCTAGCAAAAACGCCATGTCTTTCACGTTGTCTATGAAATTCAACGAGGCGTTGCGGAGTGGCACGCGGGGGACACGGGACAGAACGCCCTTTCCGGCTATCGCAGGAATGTCAGTCTAAACAGCACACTCCACCCGTTCAACGACCCATGATGAAAGGAGCAATGATCAACGAAACCACATTCATCTTGACGTTGGAGGAATTGTTCCTGTAAGTTGCTACCTTTAGTAATGATCTGCTTTCAGGCTTTGAGGGAGGAAGAAAAAGACTAGGGCCTGCAACAGGGTGCTAAAATTAACTAGTCTAAAGGCCTGCTAAGATATACTAAACTCTCCTAAATCTTTTCGTCCCTTATGATAGAGACCCTAAGTTTTTCTTTTTGCCTCCCCATACCCTCTGCTACCCTTTCGAAGAAAGACGTGTAGAATGCATCACACGGCTGACGTGGTCGAAAACGGCCCAGCAAACTGGAATTCGACAGGGGCGAGGCCAGGATTTCAATGCTGCCAAGACCCTTTCCCTGCTGTCATGATGGAGGGACCCTGTCTGGATGATCTTTTTGCCTCAAGTTGGCCGTTGATTTGAAGGCCATGTCTTGGAATTCCTTCCCCCGTTTCTCCTTTGTTTCGTTCAGACTTCTCCTTTACGCCTTTTTTTTCTTATTCCAAACATGGCTTCTCTAAGTACACGGCCGATAAGTGCCTTGCACTCGTTTGAGGCCAAGAAGGCTTACTTTGATAACAAGTTTGTCAATGAAACCCCTACGAGGCACATGAGATCATGGCACAGCGCTTCCTTTTCTTCTACAGCAGATACTGTTGTTGGTGATGATGATGATGATCGCCATCACCACAAGAAGGAAGCCCCTTTTTTTACTCTCAATGTCATCTCAGAACAGCCTCCAACACCACCTGAAGAGCCCAAGATACAACAAGACCCTTTCTTCTCCTCTCCTACAGAAAACCCCTTCAAACTCAAAGTCTCCCGGTCAAAGGACTCTTTCTTCGATACCACCGACGAAGAGAGTGTCTGCCCTCTTGAGACAGACCCTGAAATCCCGAGCCCTGCTACCTCTCTCCCGCCAAAGATCGTCTCATCGAAATTTGTAGCGCCAGCACCAGTGCATACAAATGACAGCATTGAGGCATGTGGGTACCCCAAGATCGACGATCCTGTCGATCCTGCAAGGATCCTATCAAAAAGGGATCTTCGCAACCAAAGGATCGCCTTCATGGGGATCATTGTCATTATCAACATCTGCATGGCGATCACTGCCTTCTTTGGCAGGAAGAGCAAATTGATCTTCATCGTCATCTTGTTCGTCAAGAGCAAGGATTTCCTATCTGCGATCCTGTCGCCCACCGGGATGATGTATCGTGCTGTCCATGACAAGTTCTACCCGCCTAAGCTTGTTAGCCGCAAGTGGATCTTGTCTCTCATCCCTGCCTACTCTGAGAGCGAGGAGCAGATCGTCAAGACTATCTTCTCTCTTCGGGATAATGGTGTTGAGCCTCACAAGCAAGTCATGGTCGTCATCCTCGATGGCAAGCCTCGAGATGTTCGATCGCACATGACGAGGATGGTTCGCGAGTTCCAACGACCTTACGTCTCCCTCAAATGGAAGAAAGGTGTTTTGAACGTCCTCGCCGGTTTCATGGAGGATGTCCCTGTCATTGTCATCGAGAAGGTCAAGAACGCTGGCAAGAAGGATTCGCTAATTCTATGCCACGATCTTTTCAACTTCTCTCGCGAAAATTCTCCTCTTTATACAAAACTCTTACGAAAGGAGATGTGGGATGAGATTCTCCCTGAGTTGACAAAGGGCGAGGACTTCAAGGGCTTTGATATGGTTTTCTGCACCGATGCCGACTCTACTATCTACAAGGGTGCGGTTGCTCTTTTGGCTAATGCTCTCGCTCGTGATGACAAGGCTATTGCTGCTTGTGGACTTGTCCTGGTCGAGCTTGAACCTGGATATGAGTGGTCTTTCTGGAATCTTTATCAACAATTTCAGGTATGTTCCCCGGCTATTCAACTACAACTCTGTCTAACATTTGCAGTACACGTTCGGGCAATATGTCAGACGGCGAGCCGAGGGGTTCATTGGCAAAGTCACTTGTTTACCTGGTTGCATCACCATGATCGCAGTGCGACCAGAAATGGCCGGTGCTATTCGGAAATACGCCGAACCCGTTACCGGTGAACTAGTCATTAACCACCAAGTGCAATACCTCGTAAGTGGACCCCCCGAATTCTCCTAGCCCTCCCCTCAATTTCTTTTCTCCCACTTCCCGTAGCCTCCCCACAAGTCTAACTTTAGTTCTCTAGGGCACTGACAGGCGACTCACTTACTCAATGCTGTCTCAGGGCGAACATCTCCGCACGCTGTTCGTCCCTGATGCCGTCAGTGAAACAGTTGCTCCCCAGTCACTGTTCCACTACCTAAGCCAAAGACGTCGATGGGGCTCCAACGCCTACTTCAACAACTACTTCTATTTGGCTGGCGAGAAGATGATCACCATCACTCGCATTGCCGCTTCTGTCGAAGTCATCCGTCTGAGCTTAGTGTATTATCGCATTCTTAACACTGCCTTGTTCATCGCAAGCTGTGTTCGTCATGTCTCTGCTATCAAGCTTGTTCCTATGTTGGTCGTTGGCCAATTGCCCTCTTTGTGGTTCTTCTGTTCAGTCCTCCTTGAACCTGAGCTACGAAAGCGAGGTCACAAGCTTGCGATTGGATATCTGATCAACAAGTGTGTATCACCAATTATGAGTGTCATCATCTTCACAAAGGTCGCCACCAACCTGGGAAGCCAGGTCTGGGGTGTATCTGGAGTTACGGCATCTTCTGGTCCCGTTCCGCCCCAAGTGGAGATAACAGAAGAAGAGGCAAAGCTGTTTGACGTTGACGTTGACGATTTATCTGCGGCCGAAAAGGGAGAAGCGCCTTTGTTGTTGAAAAACCTATTAGATGATGAGGCAATAGCCAAGCCAGAGCGTTGTCGCCTCAAGGACGAGCGAGGAGATGTAGAATGCTAGTCTATAGATTACTAGCGATAGACCACTAGACCTAAAAGCTAATTAGCATAATATTCAATGAGATCATGAATCATTCAAACTCAATAGGTCTTGATAGTGCTCAATGCAACCGTTATTCGCCTCCTGGGTATATGTCATGACTCCATACAGTGTCCATGTAAACATCGGCAGAAGCTTGGCCATGGTTGAATATCCGAATACAGTAGCCCAGTTCCCTTTGCAACCTTTCTAAAACCGTTGATTCACTTGACGTACTTCTTAGTGGTGTTCGGGGCCGCGTGGACTGAGTTGGCCGAGATCCCACGTTTGCGGTTCGCCGCATGTCTCATCCCCAGTCCTCCATTGCCCAACGGCGATCATCACTAACCGTTAGAGCACCATGAATCAGAGATTTTCTTCTTATCAAATCAACTTCCATATTGAAGACAAAGTGACATCACTGCTGCAGTCCATCCCGCAATACAAAGGTCGCCTCCCAAAGCCATATCCGGGCGCCATACATTCCAGTCATGACACTAACGCAGGAGAAAGTGAGACCCCTCACATAAGCGTAAGATTATCTCCGTAGTGTCTAATCTGGTAAAATTCCGGTGGCGATTCAGTTAAATAAACCTAATCAATATCTCCGCTAAATACTCCGTAGATCTCGCCGAATCAGCAGAGGCAACATCTTATTTCTTTCACACCTTTATATAGCATAAACTGTAATCCCGTATTGGTCACCTATTATCAGAAATGATGTAATTCATGATGTACTTTTTTTACGGGTAAACTAACCAACCAGCGATGACGATTATGCTTGGTTATTAAAGTTAATCAGTGGGTTCTAGATGTCACTCTTCATTCCAACCACACTTTGCCGAATCCTGTCTCGTGCCTTTTCGCAGCCTAAAGCTTAACCTTACAGTCGGCAGTCATCCCCTAGCCTAGACGCTTTATATAACCCCTCGCTCCGGGCGCTGCTGCTCCCCCACCTGAATCATTCCCTCTTTTGGAATTTTCTCGATGCCTCTTCCTCGACATTGTTTCTCTCGCTGGACCATTTTCTCCGTCGTCGCCATTTTCATCATCGTCACTGTCACCGTGACGTGTGCTACCTACTTCACGCTGGCTAAGAAAAAGCATCATGCGTTTGATTGGACAAAAGTCATGAATTCTCGTGGGGATGTGATCCCTGACTTTAGCTATGCTGGGTATCATAACTCTGCTATCACACTGCCCAGCATCACCGCCCCCAACATCACTGTGACTTTCAATAATAGTGTTGATGTGAGGCCGGCGATACAAGCTGCTATTGATAGCATTGCTTCTTCGGGCGGTGGCTCTGTCATCCTGCCTGCTGGTAAATGGTCTATGACTGCGGGTCTGAACCTTTCCAGTAACGTTGTCGTCGCCGGGTCTGCTGGTGGTAAGACCACCCTGTCACTGAGCGAGAAGCCTTCTGTACCTGTTTTCACGCTTGGTTCTGACAATACTGCCAAGCCCAAGTATGGGTTTAGGTCAAACATCACCAATGACTATGTTCCCATAGGCTCTTCTTCGGTTGAGGTCGTTAATAGCAGTGGCTTTGCGGTAGATCAACTAGTCTATGTCTCTAGAATAGCCACAGAGTCTTGGATTACGGCCAATGGCATGAACAACCTGGTGCGAGACGATGCATCCCAAACATGGATACCGGTATGTAGCCATCCTGGCCTGTAACTGTGTATTTACTCATTTTATATAGGAGAACAAAAGATTTATGACGCCAAATCAGATCAGCGGTGTCGATGGCAACAACATTACACTCAAGATACCCTTGACAGACAATATTGACTTGGACTATCTGCGGCCAGAGCTCATCGTCTATACTCCTCCTGAGACCAACAGTGAAATGGGTATTCGAGACCTCTCCATTGAGGTACCTGACACTTGCTCTGGGGCCTCTCTCAATGACAAGACGTGCAACTCTGCTGCCATCCACTTCCCATCGTGGACAGCTGATAGCTGGGCTAGTGGTCTCACTCTCAAGGGCTTCAACAAGTTCTTCCAGATTGACCAGGACGCCTCCCGCATCACCGTCCAGAATACTACCATGAACCGAGATAAGGATATCTCTGGGAGTGCACTGCCCTTTGACATCATGATCCAAGGCTCACAAGTGCTTGTTCAAGACTGTGAGCAGGTTGGTATCTCGTCTGCGCGATGCTTCTCCGTCGCTACGGGATCATTGACACCTGGCCCAAATGCTGTTCTTCGTCACAAGACCCAGTCTGATTCTCAGACTATATACCCCCATCAGAGATGGGCTCAGGGTTTGTTGGTAGAAGATACTTCAGTAGCGACGTACTTCGTGAACCGCAATATCAAGGGCACAGGGCAGGGTTGGTCCATCAATGGAGGCGTTGGTTGGAACATAAATGGATATTGTGAGTTTGAGTCCCCGCCTACTGGGATCAATTGGTGCATTGGGTGCGGTGAAAATGGTAGCGAGCCAAAGGGCAATGCTACCTTGCTGGAGACGGGACAGCGAGTTGAACCACGGAGTTTGTTCCAGGCGCAACTACAGAATCGTGGAGTTTATAGGTATGATGGAGAGGAAAGCTAAAATAATTCTTCGGTGGTAATGGATTCGGAGTAGGGATGGATCTTCGGACGCAAGCGAAAAAGATGAGCTGTATCACCTAGCATAATTTAGAGCCAGGATGATTCAATTGAGATATAATATGTTGTAAATGTTTAGAATAATCAAGACAATTAGATTGCGTGGCATGATGACAGTGAATCGTCTCATGGCTGAAGACTTTTCACCTAGACACAAAAACAGAGTTGAGCATTGAGTTTTGTCATTAATAGTAACTATGTACTCTTGGTATCATCAACGTTAAATAATCAACCCCATTCATCACCAATGTCATGATGATCATCTAAGCATGAGAGACCTCGACTTGATCCTTGGGATCAGTCATGGCCTGCTCGACAAAGACCTTGTGCCAATGTCCAGTAAGGAGGAGGCGGGTAGTCTCCTTAACACCAGCCCAGTTCTCCCTAACAATATCCATGGTAGGTCGTGAGAAGACTTCATCGATCTCTTCTAGAGTCTTGTTCTTGGTCTCAGGCATGAAAAAGATCTGGTAGATCTCACCAACGAACGCAATACCACCATAGAAACCCAGAGCAAGACCAGTCCTGCCCATGGCGTTCTGCATGGCAGTGAAGTTGTAGGTGACGACGAAAGAGGCGAGGAAGAGAAGAGCATCAGATGTAGTCATTCCGTAACTTCGAAGGTAGGTGGGGTAGACCTCGGAGGGAACAACCCAGGTCAGACAAGCGTAGGAACCAAAGAAGCCCATGTAAATGATGAGACCAGAGAGGTAAAGACCCTCAACAGTCTGCAGTTGGGTGGTGACGTCGAACTGATAACTGACACCAATCAAGACCAGTCCAATAAAGAATCCAGGCAACATAGTGATGGCCCAGAAGCGTCGACCAAACCTCTCCATAAGGAAGATAGCAGGAATAGTGCCAAGGAGAAGAGATCCACCACCAACAAGAGACATGTAGTTAGATTCCTTCTTGTCGAAGCCAATCTGGTTCATGAGAACGGACATGTAGTACATGATAGCGTTGACACCAGTAAGCTGACCAAGAAGAATCATAATGTTGGCGTAGACAAGAGCGCGACGAGCACGGGGCTCAGTGAAGAAGTCCATCCATGGGAAGCGATGGTTCTTGGCACCCTCAGCAACAGCATTCTCCTCCGAAATGACAGAAGCGCTCATGACGTAGAACTCCTCACGAGACTCGCGGTCCTCAATACCACGAATGCGCTTCCAGACCTTGTAGGCATCGAGATGTCGCTTTTGGTGGATGAGGAAACGAGGAGACTCAGGGAGGAAGAGCATGCCGAAGAACATGATGGTTGAGAAGAGGAGAGATGAGCCGAGAATGTAGCGCCAGTTGCCGGGAACATTAAGAAAGAGTGCGCCAATGGCATAGCCAAGAACTTCGCCAAGGGCGATGTTGAATTGGTACAGAGAAACGAGGTTACCACGAATTCGGCGCTCGACGGTTTCGGCGACGTAGACGGGGACTGTACCGCCTTCGAGACCGACTCCGAGACCGAGAATGACACGCGAAGAGACAATCATACCTGGAAAGTCAGCACGGTGGCGATTGCCGCGCGGAGATAAACAACTTACCAAAGTTGATTGAACCAGCTTCCAAAGCAGCACCAATAGTGTAAAGAATAATAGAGATGATGATAGCGCCCTTTCGACCAAAGTACTCGTTCGCAGGCGACAGCAGCAGCGCGCCACCAACAGCACCAAGCGGCATACCAGAGTTGACAAGACTGTTCTCATGATCTGTGAGACCAAGATCATCAGGCAGGAACAAATTCGCGCCGCTGATGAGAGACTGGTCAAGACCGGAGAGCAGACCGCCCATGGATGCGAAGGCTACCAGCAGCCAGGTGAAGTGCTTGGGGTTGGCGAACTGGACCTGGAAGAAGCCCTTGTTCAGACCGCCAGCCTCATCGAGCTGACGCTCCATGTCGTCAATGAGCTCATCGATCTCACGACCGCCATGACGGGCTACTTCAAGGGCTTCGAACTCTGCCTTTTCGTGACCCATTGCTTTCTGGATCTCATCCTTCTCACGGTCGACCGTGGTGGTCGAGTTCTGTCGACTCTTGCCCATGATGTAAGAGCTAAGCAAAAAAAAATTGTATATAGAATATAGAGAGAAGAGGGTTGTCTGTGACACCTGGGAAGAAAAGTTGCTTATCGCGGCAAACCCCAGGTTTTTATATGCAACCCACAAATTCCGCAAGTCTGGAGAGACTTTATGTGAGTAGTCTGTTTCGCCATGGCCCATGGGGCACCGCAAAATGCAACGGCACAAAGTTATGGGGAATAGTGTAGCTAATGCGGAGCGAGCTCATGACGGTAGCACCGAAAGATTCGCCGCTGGTTCTCCATCAGAAGATGCCGTCTGAGCCGATCAATTATGGACGGGGTGGAGTTCCTATAACGCGTCGTCTGTATCGATAACGCAGGCGACGGGATCACCGCGCGATTATCACCAGTGACATGATGCTTACTCGGACGATCCTCTTGTCTAACAGGCTCATCGAACCATCCATCATTGCCGAGAAGCCTTTAAAGGGTCGCATTGAGTGTGTCGGTCCGGTGGGTAGGCCAATGAGTCGCGTGGGCGGTCACATTGGCATGTCCGCTGGTGCAAGTCCCGGGAGGGATCGACATGAGACTAACCGCGGATGAATGATGTTCCTTTTCTAGAAATGTTCCACGGCAAGCCTTTTACGTCACGGGAGCGGTTGACGGTCGCCCTGTTTTCTCTCCACTAGCCATTTCGCAATGGAGGACCAACTGTCGACAGCACAGTAGCGTGAAGCAAGTTGGAACAAATACTCCTAGCGTGGCATGACCATGAACTCTCCGCCAAAGTGCTACGAGGTATCGGAGATGCAGATACCGAGAAAGCACAAGGCAATGCCAAGTCGATGGCATTGCTATTCCCATGCCAAGATGGGATGTCGTGGTAGACTAGACTGATTGAATGAAAGCGGCCGCTGAAGCGAGCACTAGAGCGTTTTACGATCTCGCCATGATTCAGCCGCATCTCTTGGCTGTCAATCAGTAGTGATATGACGATGGAGGCCCTCACTGTGAGAGCTACCCTAAGCCTGACCAACGGATCTCATGTTTGGCTTCAATTGAACGCTTACGAATCATCGCAATGTAACACAACTAATGTCAATTAAACTTTTATTTCTCGATCTAGACCTCTTATTGTGAAATGTTATGATTTGCTACCGGAGAATCGGCATCATTGAACAGCAGTCGCGTAAAATACCGCGCCCAACGTCCCCCGTCCAATTGCACCACAAACCCACAAATCAACCTTAACACTTCCCCATGGCGAACGTACATGCGGATGATGCGGAGACGTACTCAGTTACTCACCACGCTCTGTCTCCATCTCCAGGGTAAGAACCTTGGATGACCGACTCTGCTCGTTTCGACTGTCGGCCCGTTGCCTCAAGCAGATGACTCCAAAAACTCCACCATCTCCAACACGACGGAAAGAAACGGACCTCGTGTATAGCTTCTTCGCGTGGTAGACAACGCGATTCTGGGTAGAACGAGGATATCACGGGGGCGCTATGACCCCCGCGATTCTGGGTAAAGGGCCGAATTCCTCCGCAGAAGAATCAACCCCAAATCCCCAATTTTTGCAATCGCAGGGATTAGCAGGCAGACGTTTAACAGGACCTCAAAGTGGTGATCACTTTTTGCAGGAGAGAAATCGAGTCATGGGCCTTGCGGATCCGCGTGAAATTCCTGCTTGGGCAGCGAAGAGTTGGGATTTATACCGCTTTAGGAATTAACACGTCTCCACTTGTAATCAAACCAGAAAAACAGCTTTGATTTCTTGTTCCGCGGCGGAAGAAGAATGAAACAGTAGCAGGGAGAAAAATTCAGTCAATAGTGGGGTTCCGCGTATTTCTGTGCGGCACTGGAAAACTCTTTCGATCCAGGAACTGGTATCTTGAGGTCATCGTGAGTCTGCGGCGCAAGCAGAGCCTCAAACCTCCGCTTGCTAACCCAACCCACGAAACAACGAATTTAGCCATCCATTCTCCCTCCCGTCCGCCACCACAATCTCATCTCCCTCAGCCCTACCGGCTGCGCCTTTTCTTGGCTGAACTAAGCCCTCTTGGCTCTTCCCCTCGTATCCTTGACCCCAAGACCCATCACAAACGCGATTCTGAGAACAGTGCAAATACCCGTGACTACAATACTGAACCAATCCTCCCAGCGCCAATCTGCAAGCGCTAGATTCCCTGAGATGCGCATGCCGATGTATATAGCTGTGAGCATGGTGAAGTCAGCGGGTAAGATGGCCAGCTGCACTGTCTTCCAGATGAAGATGTCGTGCGTGTAGCGGAGGAGTACGACGAGGATGATTAGGTATGACGTGCCCATGCCGCCGATCTGGTAGATGAAACAGCGGAAGTGGTCGGTTGGTGGGTAATTTATGAAGAAGGCCTGCATGGCGAGATCGTGGTCGATAAAGTTGACGTACATCCCGACCAGAGTCAGGATGGGGTCGACCCAGAAGAACCAGAGGCTGTAGATCGGGTGGATTTTATCTGTGATTGCCATTTTGATGATGCTACGACAATGTGAAAAGTATTCTACAGAATTAGCATAACTACAATGACTGATCTTTCGAGGTTCTTATAGTCATTATAGTCATTGAGAAAGATATCAGCAGTGTCAGCGCAGTAAGCTTATCCTCAACCCCGCGTCAGCATCACCAGGAATGAGCTACGATTGGTTTCTCTTCATTGTATATACATGTTTGATTGGTCTTGCCGGGAGAAATAAGTATACTTAAAGTGATACCTTGATTATCCGGCTGGGCAATTGCAGGAATTCACGGGAGCTCGATCAACAGATTTTGGGCTAGTGTTAGCCAATATTATTACACTAACAGATTTTAGTACGTATCAGACGGGATCATGTTAAGACGGTAACTCAATCAATCCCTATCAAGTGCGACGGCTTGGAGAGGAAAGAAAACTCAGGGCCTTCATCCTAAATGACATAAAGAATGAGGTAACTTGGTATAGCTTTATGCTACCTTTGCTAAGTTGAGTTTAACATTCTATATCAAGGCGGATGTTTTCTTGCTCCCCAAAGCGATGTCTATCCATTTCAGGCACGGAATGAGTCCAAAACGATATCTAGGAACACGTAATTTCTATTTCAGCATTTATTCTATTTATGCGTTTCTATGACTTCTGTAGTTGTGAGCTGGCAATTCGTATAGCGTTTGATTTGGCCAGCATTATGCATTCTCATATGAGACATCACGCAAAGTACAGGCTATGAGTTAAACCTCGATGAACTGACTCTGACCTCTGTTTTCCGTATGATTCCCTTACTGCTCGAGTTATCATCATCCGTCTCATGGTCTCGAGCTCGTGATGGAACACGTTGGGCGGAGGCGTGAAATGTTCCTTTTCGACCATTGATTGAATCCAACCTAATGCCCTGACCGGAATTCTGAAGGATGTTCTCGCTCTGCGACAATTAGCAACTGCATGTAGATATTTGATGAGATAGTAGATTTGGGGAACCCACTTCGCCCGTGTACTGATAGTTGGCCTCGTTGGAGGAGCCATAGTAAAAGTTGAACAGTTTTCGCAGCGGGGGCAAAGAACATGCGATGATGCCGAGACAGCATTCGACATTGGAGGTGATACTGACGACGCCGAGATGATCTAGATAGCGAAGTTAGCAAGTGCACCTATAGATCAGAGAAGGGCTCAAGGTGGTCAACATACATGCGATCTCATTCGGATATTTCACCGTGTCGTAGTATTTTAGGTATGGCATCCGAATACAAGTCGCAATACTCGCTGAGACACCGAGACTGAGGATAGCGATGACGGATATCTTTCTTCGTCGAGACATTTGTAGCCCTGCTACGATAAAGAACGGAATGATTGCGCAGGCCCAGTCGGTGGCCATCTGGATTGCCGAAACGATGTAGCTCACGGTCTGCAAGCTGATAACCTTCTGACACGTTCCCCTAGCATAACATGTTAGCGGAGGCATAGACTTGTTAAAGGGATTCCAAACTAACAAAGCTGGATTCCATGTCGCATTGAAAGGCTTGCAATTGGCAAACACGAACGCCAACGCCAGCACCGTCACGATGACCATGATCGACATATTGACGCATATAGGAAAAACAACTCGCTTCCGACGATCGAGGCGTATACATGTAAAGCCGATAGCGCACTTGATAATAGTCGACGAAGTGAAGTATAAAAGCTCCCAGTAGGTTTGGTACTCCACGGCGCGGATAAGGTACATCTGGTTGGGAATATTCGTATCGCGAGAACCGACTCCATAGCGCGCTGCGAGGACAGCGAAGACGACGGCCGGTATCAAGAGTATCTTTTGCTCAAATTAGTCAATGTGAGGAGAGTCAGAAGACGGCGGCGACTCACTGTCGCAAGAACTGCTAGGTAGTCTTCGAAACCGAGAAGTCGGGGCGATACTCCAGACAGACCAGCGCGTACATAGATCCTGAGACACACGACAACGACGCTTATAACTCCGAAGGCGATTGCGAAGCCTTGAACAGCTGGTCCAAGATTTTTCGGCGTCAGAGGTTCGAGGGCGTCAGCGAGAGCCTGGATTTGCTCTCCCGTCATGGAAGCCGCCATCTTGAAGTCGTCAAATTACGAATACTCAAAAGATGCGAGAATTGAGTCTAGCCCGCGCCGTTTATTTGAAAGGGGCAGGATCTCTTTATTGCCGTGCATGATGGATCTGGCTAACCCTGGCAGCGGCTTGTTGCCACGCAAGGTGTCGATTCTATGGTTGTTGGTTGTAGACTCCTGAAGGGAGGTAAGAAAACTTATGGCATCTTGTCTTAGTGATAAAAAGAATTAGGCAAACTTGTTCTAAGTTACTAGGACTGTAGACCACTTTATTTCTGACAGGCTAAAAGATTTCTTGCACCTTCAGGGCTCCCCATGTCTAGGCTACTTCTGGATCATGCACACGGGACGTTTTACCTCGCTAGTCTTAATCTGTTTTCAGGGGTCTGGTAGGGCCAAGACACTCATGTCGCTTTAGTTTCGTGTGCGTGGGGTTCTGATTGGAGTGATTTATGTGACGAGAGGGGGGAAGAAGCAAGTTCTTGGTATTAAAATACCACCTTGAAGACTCGGGATACAATGCCGTTGTTCCTTGTCTCAAGTTATGCGAGAATGCGAGTCATGAATCTTCGATATACAGTACAACCCCTGTATTTTTGTTAGCTTGTGACTTACTTACAGGGACCTAAACTTTATATCTTTTATAATCTATTTATTTTATAAAAATAATAATAATAAACTAATTAGATTTTATTTTTTATTACTATAGTCTTTATTTTAAAAATCTTAAAGTATTTAAATAGCTATTTTTTAAATAATTTAAGTATACCCCTGCTTGTTGTGGTGGGGCTGTAGTAAAATAACAATAATTCAGGGGCTGTACTGTATTGGTATTCATGTCACGCAATTCATCGCCCGTCCGTCAGAATGCAAGCCAATGACACAGCTTCTCATTTCCCGTTTTTGCTTTTTACTTCTGAACGAAAAGACCGCATCAGGATCCTTAGGCAAGAAATACCTGATCTACATAACAGGTCCCATTCTCTTCTCTTGGGGAGAGGGAAGAGACGACAACTGGGGACCGTCCGTGTTGGCCCCCTGCTCCGGGGAAACTATTCCCCTGGCCCTGAACGTCGCGCTACAGCTTCATATCCAATGACAGAAGCGCAAATTGGAAACAGAGTTTGAGCTACTGCAAGAGCCGGGGAAGAACATGATATGAGAATCCAGGGACCACCGAGACTCGGAAGCGAAAAAGACTGTGAACAATTAATCACCTCTGTTCCCGTCTCAAGATCTTCTGTAAGGAATGCCTGAGCCTGAGTTGAGAGAGCATGGGTTCATATATGTAGACTGGGCCAATACCAAAGAAAAAGAGCACAAGATGACTGCCGTTTCAGCAGGACAGGACCGTTTGAAGTGGGTGATAATTTGATGAAAAATTCTTCGTGTTTCATTTGCGCAGGCCCTGGCTTGAGTGCCCACCTACAGCGCAACGCCGCAAAGCAACGTTTTTTCGACCAGGGATGATGCAGAAAGGATTCAATGATGTTGGTTACCTGTCAGTTTCCCGACAAGCCAGTAGCCGCCAGTCACCGCCCTCACCCAAGATTTCCCTCTTCAATCACCTCTCTCTCTCCTCCTCGGCATTTGCTTTTTTCCTCTCTCGCTACAACCGCGTCAACAATGGGACCCGTTCTCGCATTTATAGCCATTCTGGGCTTGTATCTTGTCGGCAATTCAATTTATTATGTCACGCTGCATCCGCTAGCGAACATCCCCGGCCCCAAGATCTGCGGGATCACCCGCATTCCTTACTGGCTGGCTTCGCTCAAGGGCGAGGACGTCAAGTGGATGAAGAGCTTGCACGATCGGTATGGACCGGTTGTTCGCTTTGGCCCCACGGATGTGAGCTATACGGCTGGCGAGGCTTGGAATGATATTCATGGACCTAAAGTTACGGAGAAGGCGCAGGAGTTTTCTGTACAGCCTGTGAATGGTGAGAATTGAACATGTAACCCTCCATGATGGGAGCTATGCTTACACGGTGACTCTTGCTAGGCGTTCCTAGTATGCTTACCACTGATACTGAGAACCATACTCGTGTGCGACGGCTATTCTCACCAGCCTTCTCAGAACGCGCTTTGAAACAACAAGAACCTCTGTTCAAAAAGTACTCGGAACTTCTCATGTACAAAATCTCCGAAGTTGGACATGACGGCGCCAACCCAGTTGAGATGACGCAACTGCTCAACTTCACAACCTTTGACGTAATGGCTGAGCTCTGCTTCGGACACCCTCTTAACCTCCTAGCACAGAACGAATATAGCCCTTGGGTGAGATCTATCTTTGAATCACTCAAGATGTTACCTATTGCATCTATGATCAACTACTACCCAATTCTCAACGCCATATTCACTCGTTTTGAACCAAAGTCAGTTACGCAACAGCGCGTCACGCATTGCAAACACTCCGAGGATCGTGTCAACCATCGCTTGGAGAATGGTTCTGATCAGCCTGATGTCTGGAACTTGGTCATGTCGGCAAAGGAGGGCAAGGGACTTACACTTCAGGAAATGCACTCTAATGCGGAGCTGTTTATGCTTGCTGGATCTGAGACGACTGGTATGTATTGGATGTGGACTTCTGCTAGATTTGAGCAAAGACAACTAACATGACAAACCTTTGCAGCGACACTGCTGAGCGGTTGCCTTTACAACCTGCTTACATACCCTGAGAAGATGAAGACACTACTCCAAGAGATTCGCGGCAAGTTCACGAATACCGACAACCTTACGTTTGAACGTCTTGCCGAACTCAAGTACATGAATGCCTGTCTGAAGGAAGCTCTACGCGTCTATCCCCCAGTTCCCATCGGAAGTCCACGAGTCGTCCAACCAGGCGGTCAGCAAATCCTCGGCAAGTACATCCCACCAGAGACCCGCGTATCAGTCCACCATTACTCCACATACCACTCTGAGTCAAATTTCAAGGACGCCGATACCTTCATCCCCGAGAGATGGCTCAAGACGGATTCGAAGTATGCTGGAGATATGTGGGAGGCTCACCAGCCCTTCGGATTTGGACCTCGGAACTGTCTTGGACAGAATATGGCTATGCATGAGATGAGGCTCATTTTAGCCACGTTGCTGTTTAAGTATGATCTTGAGTTGTGTGAGGAGAGTAGAAATTGGGCGGATCAGAAGTCTTTTGCGTTGTGGATCAAGACTCCGTTGATGATGCGGGCGAAGCCTGTTGCTACGCATACTAGGCTTAACATCTAGGATAAATCAGGAATCACAAGCTCTCCCACTGTAGTGTTTCCCCTCGATAGGTTCTGTGACTCTCTGCTCCTCAACCCCAAACGAAAGATGGCCAATGTCACTATCTGCATTAGTCGTCGACACCTCTCCCCATCTCAATTTCATTGTCGCCATCTGCTCCAATGGGCCGTCTCCAATTTCCGATATATCCAAGAGATGGGCAATAGCCGTGCCAGCTTTTTCAGTTGTGTTGCTCGGACTGAAGGGGATGCAGTGGCATGCAGCTGAAATGACCTTGGAGTTGCTTCCTCCCAGAACCATCTGGCCTGGTAACTCGCGCTTTGCCAGAATCATCGGACTGAGCGCAATTACCACTGATATCGAGAATCCGATCAAAATGGCCACAGATGAGAATTGAAGACCGCGATCGATTTCTGCGATTTCGTAAGGAATCAAGGGGTCGTAGACTGATTAGAGTTGTCAATGGACGAGCCTACGCGCTTATTGCTATTTTCCGGGCAAAGCGTGAAACTACTTACATTCGTAGTTACTCAAGTAAAAGAAGTTGGAATAGACCCAGTGCAGTATATTGCTAATTGCAAGAAGTGGAATCGACCAGCGGTAAGGGAGTTGCAGTCGATATGTTGATCGTTGGCCACCCCTAGGGTTCGACTCTCAAAGACTTGAAGTTTATCCCATAGCTGGCCCATTCCAACTCAGCAAGCATTCGAGTTATCACCCCATTCAATGTCATATAGCATAGAGACAATAGGAGTTGCGGTGTATTCGATATCATCGTAAGGCCGAGGAGTGATGCTGACTGTAACCCAGAATCGTTGACATCGGCGTTTTTCTGGTGATGTGAGAATCGCGACTCTCGCCTACACACCGAAGTGTTAACCTTTTGACATGAGAATCGAGTTGAGTGGTGACCTGCAAAGACTGCGTCTGCAGCGCCGGTGCAAGGAGGAGTCCACTGAGAACTAACAGAATTCCGATAAGCATGTAGGAAAGGATCCAAATTCCCGGATTCACTGCATTGCTAGCGACCACCTGTTTCTTCTTTCATGCCCGTGAACTGCCGAGTGCCCTATCTGGATCAAGTCTCATATGCAGGTCTTCTGCGTTGAGTGTACACATTCCTTTTGTGCAAGTGTCAGGCTTGGCAATGAAAGAAGAAATTGCGTCACCGACAGTCAGGAAGGCTCTTCGATACTCCAAGATCTGACCTTCAGGGTAAAAGCGCATAACAGGCACTTGGTGATACACATGATGTAGGTAATAAGAAGAAGAGAATTTGCAATGCTCAGTCGATGGGGGGCGTGAAACCTCTCGGAAAGGCAGTAGTCAACCTTCATTGTTTGAAAAGCGGGCTTGTACTTTGTTTCGTTCATGTGGATGACCCCAGCGTCTGGATCGAGTTGCATATAGTAACCCGGTACCGTGTTATTATTCGTATAATTTGTGGTGAGCTCGCGTGAATCTCTAAGCCGATCATACCGGCCTGCGGACCAGAGGGAATTTGGTGCTTCTCGATCGTCCCAGCCATTAACTCCTTTGACAACATTGGACCGAGTCCACTGAGAGCTGGGCGTGTTATTCTGATTGCTCATGACCATAAAGACATGTCGGTGATTTAGCATAAGGACGTCAAGATCATTGTAGCGTCGCATACAGTCTTGGAATCCTAGGCGCTCCCAAGACTGTCCATCAAGGGAATTCTTGATACTCCTGATAGTTTTGTTGGGGCACTTTCGCTGTTTAGAGCATATGTGTAGTTGGAGGTTGCCGTCACAGAAGGAAGCGTAAATCTTGCATCATCGAGAAACGTCTCTGAGACCATGACGGCTAAGAATCCATTCGTAGCCTTTGATTCAAGAACAGAACCGTTTAAGACCAAATGCAAGGGAATACTGGTAACCGAGAAGAGTGCCCAAAGGAATATCCGACGCTTCGAAATAAAGCGAAAGTTGTGAATGGAATGGACGCCAATCTCTACCGAGCGCTTTGTGGCATGGGCGCGATCGACATTTCCCCTCGTTGGAGCGACGAGGACTTGCATGAATAAATTGGAGGAGCCAAGGACGCCTGTTCCGATGATGTTGATGGCGAGATGGATCCAGAGATTTACACGGGAGATTTTATCGCATGAATCGTTCAGAATTGCTGTTTCTCCAAAGATAGATGCTCCTCCGCCGTTGGCGACATGAAGGGATATGATAAGCGCTGTGACTGGGAAGATGGTGAGGATTGAAGCGAGAATGGTAAGGCAAATAGCCGTCTTTCTCCGCCAGAGAGCTTCTGAATGGCGTCCATCGAGTTTCAATCAGGTGCATGTCGAATTGACAAAACAAGAGCAGAAGAAGCATGAAATATGAAGAAGATATAAATGGAAAAACGAAGACAAAGACAAGGGAGCATCTCAGAGTCAGCTATGAGTTGGCATCTCCAGAAACGGATTTTGGTGGCGTCCCAGCTGAGCTCTAACCCGTCAGCCTCAGACTTTCGACCCAATAGCAAAGGGAGGTTTTCGCCATTGAGCGCAATATCGTCGCGAGCAACCAATTACGAGGAAGAATTTCTGGATCACTTATAAATGCCAAGTAACAAGGCAGACTTGAACTCGATAACTTTGAGATGCACATGTCTTGCTTGGTCTACCTGATTGACAATTTACGCAGTGCGAACAATTGAAGTTGAAATGGCTGATTGAGTACCAAGCTGGAAGGGAGGCGTTTAGTAATGCTCCTGATACTGGATCGCCGATGACAACCAACGAAGACATGCCGACCGCCAAAGTCCGTACCTACTGATAAACGTATTGGTAACATTACCGTGCTCACAATCTCCGGACCCAGATGAATATACATACAAAGCCGAGGCCTCGGGGAGCAAGGGATCTTGAGACGTTAAAAAGAGAATGCTAATAAACTTAGTCAAGAGTCCCCTAAGCTTAGATTAAACATGTTTATTACTGAGGACAAAAATCCTGAGGTTTCTGTCTCCCCTAGCGAGGTTATGTCAGATGGTATACTCAGTTAGATATAATGGTTCGGGTGGATTGCTCGCAGTCCATTCGCAAGATATACTTATCTTGATGTGACTGATAGGCTCAGCTCCTCCCGGCAGTAATGACAGTTTTCCGATCACGTGGAGAGACATGCCGAGTCTTGTCCGGGCGGCTACGCTAACCCCAGAACCCGGAGAGTTAATTCGGTCGGCATTTGATGCCAGCAAAGGAGCATGAAGAGGATGGCCAAGAGATATTTCTAGATAGAGGATAATGGGGTTCCTGTAGAGATTATGTCTGAAAATATCATACAAGTTGTCTTAACAGAGATGGAACAACAATTGCAACTTGAAGTGAAGATCAAATTCACCTCCGCGCCGAAGTGGAGACCGGGACTACATCCGTTCCCCACAAATCATCCCCATCATCGGGGCAGTTACCGAAGTGTCTTACAGGTTGAACTCTCAAGGTATAAAAGCCCGTCCTTATCTTTCCGCATCTCCCCCTTCAGCTCCATACTCTCTTCATACCCCATAAACCGCCAAAATGTCTAAACTCGTCCCTCTCACCGTCATCAAGGGCGCCGGCCACGAATTCATCCCTCTGCCAAAAGGCGAGAACGCCACTGTCGCTGACTTCCATACCATCCGCACAAAGACCGATGCCCCCGCTCACATCACATCCGGCTTCTACAAGATCGAGGCTGGTCCTGCTCGTCCTGCGCACTATGACTTTGAGGAGAGCAAATATGTCTTGAGTGGTCAAATTGACGTCTTGGTATGTTCCCCGTAGAACTTTTCGCTAGGTGAAGCTCACGGTTTGCAGGATGAGGCAACTGGTATCACTCACCATCTGGTTCCCGGTGATTTTGCTTTCTTCCATGTTGGCTCCAAGGTCAAGGTCAGTATTCATACGCATTTCCTGCTCCCAGAGACATGAATGTTGACGCATAGGCAGTTCTCTACCCAATCTCAGGGCTTTGCTTTCTACGCTGTCACTCGACCTGTTCGTGCCCCTCACCCCAACCTTAAGGGTCGTGAGGAGGACACCAAGTCCCGCCTGTAAAATGTTTAAAAAGGATAATGGAAAAAGAGTTTACGACAAACGTCTAGTATGATAAAATAGACGATAATATAGTTTATTTCCCGCCCTCAATGACAGCTCTTGTTGACGTCGATATCGATGTTAAATGACTTTCTGAATGGCGATCATTTTGGGAAGGATTGTGACTAAACTTAGCTGTGTGCCTTGGAGAGAAAGATAAAATCTGACATTTAGACAAGAGATCAAAGATATCTAGGCTCAGACCTCCTAGAATAACAGTAATCTACTAACGTCTTGTTGTCATTTGGGAAAGACGTCTTAGACCTCCCTGGCGCACCGATGATCGAACCCTCAATCACAGCAGGGAAGGGCACTGACAAGCGAAAACCGCCGTCACAACATCGATGACAACCTGAGGCGTGACGCGCAACACGACCTCGCAGCGGATAACGAGTTGTCGGTCTCGCCGCGACAAACAGTTGTTCAGCTCACGCCATTTCTGAAGCTATTCACAATGCGTCAAGCGATGCTCACAAGAATAAAACGACGGCTCGCAACCAGACCTCCTGATGTCGCACAAGACCAACAAGCAACCAGCGAAGACCGAGTTACCGCCAAACGCAATTATAACAAAAATGGCCACTTGCATCGGATACTCATATATCCTACCGAAGGATGAGATCCTCAACCTTGACTACCTCGATGATGCTTTGGAAATACTTTATGGAGAAGGCAAAGCAACATGGCGTGTGGCTGGCGATTCAGTCATATTCATATCTAAAACCAAGGACTTGGGCGGCTTGTGGGAAAGGCTTAGAGATCTGGCACTGACGCGCACGTATCCTGAGTGGTGGGTTTTCAGAGGCGAATCAAGTCTAATGACTGATGCAAGTGTCAAAGACTGTTAGGAATTGACATACATTCATTGCTCTTCAACATTCTGCTTGGATGCTACTTAAACACAGCTACGCACTACTCTTGAGCCGTCTGAGCCTGCTGCAGGGTACAAAAACCTCTGGTTGATCAGCCACGAATACTTTTACAGCCCCATTCATACCAACTTTTACACCCGAATTGTCATAATGTCTGCACCTGAAGAGCCGGGGATTGTGCAGGTCGTTGGAGAGCCAAAGCACTTCAAGCTCGAAACGCTAAATCATGATCTTGAGATGATCCATGGAAAAGGCACTGTGAGTTGGAAATTAATTCAGGCTCATAAAGTTGAACTCGTCTCAATTACGATTGAAACGGAAGACGTTGCTGCGTTGGTAGAACACTTCGATGGTCTTGGCGTGGAAGTCGAATGGACGCCAAAGCGGCAGTAGACGGACAAGACTCAATAAACCAAGGACTATCACACGATCAGATGAGAATGAACCGTAAGCCGTGAGTGAGGATCATAAAGGATCTATTAAATCTGCTCTCTAAGCAACCCTAACCTCTAAAGCACCATCTATTTCTGACAAGCAGAAAGGAAAACATCGTCCATAAGAAGCGTAAAAGCAGCAGGGTTATTCTTGCAGGTAAGAACAAACGACAGCTCAACGTCAGAATGCGTAGGCGTGACAAAGTTCATGCGGTTGCGGTACTGCCACCAGGCATTAGGATCGTAGAAAGGATCAAAGTCATCAAAGTTGACACCGTCGAACTTGACGAGGATGTCACACTCGTAGTAGGGAAGATGGGCGCCGTTGCCCGTGTGGTGGCCGTAGCCGAGATAGTATGTCTGGCCGGGCGTGAGGCCTGTGATGGTGCGCTTGAAACCGGCTTTGACGCCGTCCTTTTGAGGCCAGTGGAGAGCCCTAAAAGTTGTTAGTTCAGTTGATGGGGACGCGAAGGGGGGCTTACATGGCGAGGTTGCCGCTGTTGGCACGGGCTTGAGGACCGAACTGGCCGTTGTAGGTGATACCAGCGTTTCCAGAGATCTGCCATCCACTCGATGCAGACTCAAAGTCGCCGTTGGGGATCAGGTTGGTGCTGACGCAGTTATCCTGAGCAGGCTCGGCGTTGTTGAGAGGACCAACGGTAGTATCAGAATCGAAGGCAGTAGTGGTTTTGGAACCGACGGGAGTGGGAGTGGCAGGCTGGGTGTCGGGACGAGTCGTGGTGGAAGCAAAGTTGGCTTCAGTCGAGGCACCGCCATTTGCAGTGGTGCTGGTCTGGAAGCCCGGATTCACTGTCTGAGTGGTGGCGGGGTTAGGGTTGGCAGCAGTCTCGGTTGGGATAACGGTTCGTTGAGTAGACTCGGTGCCCTGGTTCTGAGAGGCGGTGGTAGGGCCTTGATTAGGAATATTGGTGGCAGTAGAAGGGCCATTCTGCGTAGCAGGCTCAGACTGGGTAGCAGGTCCCGGCTGGGTACCGGGGACGGTCTCGGTAGCAGGTCCAGGCTGAGTACCAGGAAAGGTCTGGGTGGCAGGGCCGTTCTGTGTGGCAGGCTCAGATTGGGTAGCCGGAAGAGTTTGTGTAGCAGGACCAACCTGAGTACCGGGAAAGGTCTGGGTAGCAGGCCCACGCTGAGTAGTCGGAGCAATCTGAGTAGTAGGAGGGCTATTAACCGGCTCACGGATATCACCTCCTCCAAAGTCAAGTCTGAAGTCGTTGATGTTCTCAGGAGTAACCTGGTTAGAAATAAAGATAGAATCAACAAGCACCACCGCAGAACCTCCAGCAGAGCAAGTAGTCTGGATGTTCAAGAAGCCCTGGGTAGATGGCGCAGAAGTAGAGACCAAGACCTGGTTATAGCTAATGCTAGCACCATTGGCGAAGATGCCAGTGGTGAAGAACTTTTGCGAACCAATAAATGCCTCGAGAACACAGGAAGTTGTCGCTTGGGGAGGCGTGAAGACGAGGTAGAAGAACTGAACGGTATACTGAGTTCGCACATTGAGGCCAGTGAGCAATTGCTTCAGCGCTGCAATATCCCCCAGAGTCTGACGCTTGCGACCGCCCGGGGATGCCTGGGCGCTAAGCGAAGCACAGCTCTTGTCAGAGCTTCCGCCGCCAGGATTATAGCCTTCGTTAGTGTTAAGGGTGACATCTCCGTCAGTGACGAAAGGATCGAGGCTCGTCAGACCACCACCCGTACAAGTATTGGTGATGATAGAATCAGCCGGAGGCGCAGGCAGAGTCGTAGCTTCAAGAGCAGCAGATGAAGTCTCTGAAGCGACAGATGCCGAAGTCTCAGTGGTTCGAGGCTTGCAAGGACTAGCGACGGCGCCAGAAATGGCTAGAGCCGCGATGGCGATGAAGGAGCGCATAGTGAGCGTAGGGGTAAACCAAATCAAGAACGAATGAATGAGAGACCGAGTTGGGCGGTTGAAGGTCACAGGAAAAGATGGAATTGCATGTCGTATTTTAGATATTTTGCGGGTGTTTGGGCCCCTATTGCGGAATTGTTGATGCCGTAGGTTTTCGATAGTGTACTGTGGCGTTGTCCATGTTGAGACGTTCAGCCTGCGCCTTTTGGGTCCGGTAGTTGAGCTATTGGTGTTTAGTGTTTTGGTGCCTGGATTGGTGTCAGATGTGGACCCTGAAATTTGACGTCAATGTCAACATCGTGATCGTGCCGTGAGAGGAACCAAAATCGCGACAGAAGTCATTCACGATTTGAGACAGGCTGTAATCAGCTACGAATTCCTTTCTGAAACAGGTTGCTTCAATTCATTCTGTTGATATACTCTCATTGCCATAACCTAGGCGCCCTAAAACCTCGGCATTTGTCCGCTCCCCTATGTCAGCTGCTGAGAACCTGCGGGCATCACGAACCCACTCAATAGCGGGACCTCGTCAAGCATATTCTGCTCCCACTTTCTAGTGCCGACCATGCATATCAGGAACTTACCGAGATTTAATCTCCATTCGACATCTTTTGCGCACCGTAATCTCAAATTCGGTCACTAGCGCCATAGTGACAGCTTTCCCAAGAGTCTGGATCTGGGCCGACCACTAACGCGATTCGATAGCGCCAACGATAGCGTCTTTACCTTTTCGCTCTTATTTTACAGTTCGAAATCGTAATAAGGAATGGTACAAAAACTCTTGCTTTATCATCTCTGTTCTGTGTCGTGGCCATTGCGATTTGTTTCGATTGAATTTATGACTCGGGTAGTCTCCCCATCAATTGCTAGACCGATGACCTCTACTGGGTGTTATCAAAGACAACCAAGTTCTCAGTCACAAGTCTTGAATACAGTTGACACACTATGTGTTATCTCAATAGTGGCCCCGACCCTGGTACTCCTTCTCCAAAGTACCAAGATACCCCTCCACCTTGTTCCCACCTACAGAAAGTTCTTCAGCGTCGAGCAAGATCCACATCATACGTCCTGGCATGGTCTCATTTCCGGTGATGTTCTTCCACTTATGCGCAGTAGCTCTTTGGACACAGACATCTCCTTGACGCATGATACGCATCTCTCCAGAGTCGAGGGTCAGTTCGAAGACTCCCTCGATTACGATTCCGTAGTCAATAGTCAGAGATCGATGGAACGGCGACTCCACACCAGGGCCAAAGTCAATCATGCGGACAATGGACCCGTTGCGGTAGTGGAATGGGGGCTATGGGATGCATGAGTGACTGAAGTTTATAACCGTGTGGGGAAGCTTACCTCCTCCTGCTTCGCCTTGACAACGTCAGCGTCTCCGTTGAGATTGACGGGGGTCTCTCTAGTGGAGTAGATGATGTTGGCTACGGCTTTGTTTTCACCCATGAAACGGTAGTGTTCGCCGTGGTCTGAGGTTAGGAAATGGGCTTTGCCATCTTCGTGGTGGCCCGTGATATGCCTGACAATCTGGCGTAGACCAGGGGCGGGAAAGCTCCCAACATAGTACTCAGGAGTCTGTGATGGAGTTGAAGAGGTACTGTCTGCCATTTTGCGAAGGATGTTGATGTAGAGCGAGAGGATAAGTAGCGATTGAGATTGAGCTCAGGAGGATTCGGTGTCTGGATGCTTGATGAAGACGGGAATGGCAAAGATGTAACTGTATACTTGTCTCTACTGCTGGCTTATTTCTTCTCTCGCTACTCCGGCAGAGGATCAAAAACATCCAAGTCATAGACTGATGATGCTTCGCGCCATTGAATTTCTAATCAACTTTTTGCAATCACTTCTTGTGTAGCTATTCTAAATCACTCACCACTCGTGATGCTGCCGACAAGATTGGCATTAGGGTCACGTTTGGCGACATATCCACGCTGTCATTGCTGACGAGGTCTCACCACTCATTAAATCACCTGTTTCCAAAGTATGGTATCGGCTCTCGGATAGACTCAATGCCCGTTGCTGAGAAAGCAGGCTGCAGAGGCACTCCTACACCGCTAGATGTAGGCCGATTGTTGCATCAACAGAACCCAGGGCAGGCGTGAGATGCTGTACGATGATTATCAGTAAGCATAGACAACACTTGTATTCTGATACCTAACGCGCGATGCTGTACATAGCAATAGTCATTCTTTGTACTGCCAGTGAGATCTTGGTGCATGGTACAGACTTATTACTGTACTCGGCCTAGCTTGGTTCAACACAAGACTCAAGAAGATGAAGCAAATTTCCGAGAAGTTAGATGCTGTTCGATCAGAGTTAACAAGCTCTTGTCTATTTATTACATCTCCACATCAGGGCTTGTTGTCAAGATAGTCGCATCATTTGTGCTGTCTCTTGGATCAGCTCTATCTGAACTACACATCTTGGCTGGCATTTGCTCTTCATCCACATCGCCTCCTGTTTCCGGTGAATCAACATGACAACTTCTAATCGATGCACCGAGTTCCCTGCCCCAGGGCTTCGAAACCCCTTCCGCTATGTTACTGGCCATGATAGCAACGGCGAGCCAACATTCCTATTGGTAAGTATTACTCTCCTTTTCTAAACTGTCAAAAGTCTATGCTAACATCCCCCAAGACAGATCATGGCGACCACCGCGCCGTTATGCTAGACGGCGAAGGTGCTCAAAGCATCATGTACAGCAGCAACAGCAACCCAGTGGAGCTTACCAACAACGTTGACCTAGAATTCGCCAGAATGAACAAAGTATGCCCCTAAACCTCACAATATTCGCTGTAGCTAACCCCAACCAATCAGCCTTCTCTTCACATTCCAAAAGGTTGTGTTGTTCGCATGGTAGACTTTGCACCAGGCGGCGAGTCCAACATGCATCGGGCTTTGAGTCTTGGGATAGGAACTGTATGCGAGGGTGAAGTTGAGCTGAGTTTGAGTGAAGATGGGAAAGTCAACCGAATTCTTCGTCCTGGGGATGTTATTATCAATCGTTGTGCTATGCATCGCTGGAGAAACACATCCAAGGAGAAGCCGGCTCGTGTGCTCTTTGTTATGCTGGACGTTGAACCGGTTTTTGTTAATGGTAAGGCGTTGGTGTTTGATATGGGTGAGCTTATGAAGGAGTATGGTGACTACAAGGAAGGCGAGGGCGCAAATAAGAGAGCGTAGCGTGAGGCGACATAATGTAGTTTCTCTTTTTGGTTTATCTCACACCCGTTTCATTGCGCCGTTGAAACAGGTGGTTAGAAGTTCAGACAGTAGCCTTATTGCAGATTGTTCATAACGCCAGGAGAGAATTATCTTTACGTCTAGTGCTGTCGCTTCGAGAAGGTTACAGTCATTTGAACCAAAATCACATTCAACGGAATATTGGCTCCTAATTTGAAGGTGACACTTCATTATTTCTTCTTAAGTCGATTTTGAATTCACCAAGTGAGTAAAGACCCGCAATCTCCTATTTTCTTCCACGCGTTATGCGAACACAATGTGAAACGAGAGCTGAAGCTGATCGCGCCCCGAACATCAGCCCCCCTCGGGGGTCGGAACATACACCAGAAGCGGATACAGCCGTCATACTTCAACTCGCACCATACGAGTACCTGTGATACAGAATCAAATGGAAGAATTGCCTTAGGGTGATGACGCGTGCATTCGTATTCGTGCAACACAACCAACACTCGTGTAGCCATGAATAAGACAAACAATGCTTACCAACGTGAAAGTATCAAGCCACCAACGCACAAGAGAAAGTACGTCACTTTATCATGGCAAGAGGGGTAACCCGTACAGTTAAGCTGAGGCACGCAGGCGGAATTGGCATTTGTCATGTTAAAACGCCATGCAGATTACGAATCACACCGATCTCTATAGCAACAAGATACTGGGTGTTGAGAGGAAGCGACAGTATAAAGGAATAACGACTTAGTGCTCAGCTGAAGGGGACGATAACTGGAGAAGACAAAGAGAACATAATTCCCTATCTTACTACTCGGTGAAACAATTTCTAAGCAAACAATGACGATTTACATGATTACTGGTATCTCCAGAGGCCTCGGAGTAGGTTTGCCAGTAGAACTACAGAGACAGCGCTAATCAGCTTTCAACAGTACGAGCTCACTCGCCAGCTTTCCAGCCACCGTAGCAACACCGTCGTCGGTATCGTGCGAGATAAGCCTGCGACTATCACCAAGATTTCTCGGGATGAAGAGCTGAACCGACGTTCCAACATCCATGTCATTGAAGCCGACTTGACGGATTACGATGCTCTGAAGGTAGGCAGAAGAGATGAAACAGTTCATTCTGTATCTATCGAGAACTGACGGGCAGTGTAGGGCGCCGTGAGCGAAACTGCCAAGATAACTGGCGGGAGCATCGACTACCTCATCGCCAACGCAGCATACGTCTCGAAGTTTGACACATTTGACCCTCTCGGATCTCTGTGAGTATTGCCGCAATATGAAAGACCAGTGTATAACAGTACTGATCCTGCTAGGGGGAATACCCCGAAGGAGCTTGAACTGGATCTTAAGATGCTTTTTGACGTCAACGTCGTTGCCAACATTCACCTCTTCAACCTCTTCATCCCCCTTATCCTCAAAGGCAAAGAGAAGAAAGTAGTGACTATCTCCACTGGCCTCGCTGACCTGGAATTCACCAACAACTTCGAGCATGAGTTTACACCGCTGTACTCCATCAGCAAGGCCGCTATGAACATGGCAGTCGCCAAGTTCAACGCCGAGTATAAAAAAGACGGTGTTCTGTTCCTGAGTGTATGCCCTGGAATGGTTGACGTTGGCCAATTCAATCATGGTATGTTGATATCCCCCTGCGCATTACAGTGTGCTAATATTCCACAGCGACTCCACAGCAGATGGAGGCGATGGGGGGGATGATGGCCAAGTTCAAAGAGTATGCTCCGCATTTCACTGGCCCGGCGACAGCGGAAGCTGCTGTTAAAGACATGAGAGCCGTGTGGGAAAAGGCAACTATTGAGGGCGGTTATGGCGGTGCCTATCTTTCTCAGTTTGGTAACAAGCAGTGGCTATGAAGGCAGACAATGCGTGAGGGACTGGCGATGCCGATTGAACGAACCCCAAGAGCTAGATTGTTACTTCTGTGTACTCTGAAATTCTACCCATGCCATATCGCATCCTGTTTACCCCTTCGTATAGAGCCCAATCTGCCCGTCCTTCCAAAACGGCTGTGGCTATCTGAATTACGCTAATCTGACACAATCGGAACGTAGAAACGGAACCGATTGTTCGGATCATATTTGGCCTTTAGCTTTCGAAGTCTGGCCAAGCGCCACGACTCGTAGCCATAGATTGACTTGAGACTTTCATATTTGTTCCCGGAAGCGTAGTTGATATACGTCGCCGGTTTACGCGTAGGAGCTCCCGCATACCACATATCCCGAGCTTCTCGGGCCCATTTCTCAGCTGGACCTAATGAACTGGACCCCTCGGGGACAACGGTCGCGAAGAATCTTATCTTTCTGTCAGTATGATTCAGTGGCTGAGAGGACTGGGTACGTACGCTATATGATATTCATCACGGTGGGGATAAGCGGTGGACGCAGAATCTACAGCCTGGACTCCTCGATGCGCATATCCTTCATAGTACAGTCGAGCAGTCGCTGCTAGGTCTGGGTATAATGCGACGTTGCGCATGAAATGGGTGTAGAGCGCTCGTTCTGTCGTGATGTTCCATGTTTGCAACATGACACTGGCCAGAGAGAAGCGCGCAGAAACACAATTAGATATGTCTGTGTTTTGGCGCACGGGAATCTCGGGATAAGGCACATCGCCCATCTCATCCTTGATGGCATCGATGGCGTTGAAGGGGCGCAAGATCCTTTCGGCTTCTGAAGCTGGCCCGGCATAGGCAAATGTGAACCAGAGAATGGCCTCAACACGCGTCAGATCTCGCAGCTTGGTTCAACATAAAGGGACAACACTTACTTCATCCCGTCTGATGGACGGATCTATATAGACCTGCCCAAATACCACGCCCAGCAACGGAGGTGTCTTCCCATAGTCCTGGAGCTTGTTCAGTGCCCTAAAAACCGTTTCGAGCTTATCTTGACGCCAGTAGTAATTATGGTAGTGCCAGGTCTTTATCTTGGCGGGGTAGATCTTGAGCTTCAGGTTCGTAACGATACCAAAGTTGTGCCCTGCGCCTCGCATAGCCCAGAACAGATCTTTATTGCTCTTGTCGCTGACCGTGATAGTCGATCCATCTGCTAAAACAACCTTCATCTCAATGATGTTGTCGCCAGCTAACCCGTAAAGGCCCTCGTATCGACCATGACCTCCACCCAAAGCAGGACCCGTGAGGCCAACGCATTGATTGGAGCCGGTGCCTGAGTAGCGTTATGGTCAGTACTGCGCGGGGCACAGAAATAAGTTGACACGTGAGCTCACTTGTGACATAACCACGATCCCATAAAAACGGTATGACCTCATATGCATATGCACCGCCCTGAAACCAAGCAGACTTTCCATCTCGAGCTATGTCCATAGACCTGAGTTGCTTCATGTCAATCTGCATTCCTTTGAACGCACCAAGAGATTTAGTAAGACCATGCCCACGATTAACGACGAGAAAGTTGATGCTATTACGATAGCAATATTTCACCTAAACGATCAGCCAAAATAGACGTTTGCGCCATGATGCATGGACTAACGATCTTGGGGATATCAACTTCATTTGCAGGCTGAACCACCACTTTTATATCCGGTGGTGCCATAGTATTCCATCTTTTCGTTGTCTCGATCCAGAGAGGATTACTTGGGAGAAGAATGAGGGAGCTTTCGGAGAGTAATGCGCCAAGCTCTTGCTGGATTTGGAAGACTGGTACTTCGCGACGAGTGAGATGGTCTGGTTGGAAGTATGATGGGACGGATAGTGGTGAGCTGACTGCCAGTGTCGTAAGAAGCGTGAAACTAAAGATGAAGCGGAGAGAAATCATCGTCAGCTGTTGATAAAGTCCGTATGGGACTTGAACGCTATGAATAGATATTTAAAGCGCTGTAGATCTGAATAGATTTAAACAAACCGGTTATTGCAATGAGTAGGTGAAATACAATGGCATAAGCACAGTGAAATAGCATGGACTATGAAACCTCTCAGGTGTAAGTTTTACATTCTTCCCTCCATATAAAGTCCTACGCAGAATCCCTCGAGCCATCCATTCTTGATCTGACACAAATTCCAGTCCAGCCAAGACCACCCTGAACAAACAACCCCAATACTTCGTTTGTTGAGACTCATCACGCTGGGCTGTTTCAGCTCTGTTGTAGACATCTTGTCGGAGTCCGAGTCCTAGGTTCAGACTTTGGAGGGCTGTCTCAGCTCTTTCAGCTTCAGCTGTGTTACACATCACATCTGACGCAGCCCCCACCAACAGCACGGATCTTTCGAAACTGGTCAGCATGGCAACGGGGGGAAAGTCACGAAATGGGCTAAATACAGACTGCGGAAGAATGCTGAGACGCAGTGGGTATTGGTCGCCCTCAACTAATACAGCATCATGATTCCGGCATCGCCCAAAGAAGATCATTGGGGACTGCCTTCCACTGTCCACTCTCGTCAAGCAGATCAGACGCTTGACTCCATGCAGCAGCCACAGCCTCAGCCCTCTTGGTGCTCCGAGGAACTATACGGACAGGGAAAGGGGATGGTATAGACATTATACCTTCAGTGACGTCCTCTGCATCGGGAATGATGGCTTTACCCGTCTGTGGGCTGACGACCCTGTCAAAGTCGAACGCCCACAAAAGGCGGGAAATAGCTAAAAATAACGACCGGTCGGCTATGTGCATGCCTTGACATCTGCGCCTCCCCGCCCCGAACACATAGTGGTCTCGCTTGGTAGGGTCTGGGTTATTTGCGGCTTCGATGGACGTTTGTGGATCGTTGATGTAGCGCATGGGGTTGAACTGTCGGGGTGATGGATGTCTCTCTGGGTCATTGTGAATTGCCCTGTTGTACGTCAGTGGGAGCGAAGCGTGAGTTGGACTGGCTTTATGCTAACCAGACGTTAATGATAACTGTTGCTCCCTTAGGGATATGATATCCGAGATAACTGTCCTGTTGAGCTGTTGCATGTGGTATACCTAGCATGAACCCAGGCATCCAACGCAGACTTTCTTTCATACAAGCATGGATATAAGGTAGATCAGGCATATCATCAAGGCTTGGGAGATGATTTCCACATACACGATCAATCTCCGCTTGCGCAGTCTTTGCGGCAGCGGGAAAGATAACCATGGCTTGAACGAAACCGATGAGGATACTGGCCGTTGTTTCTGAGCCTGCCTGAAGCAACGAGCCACTGAGATAGGAGGCAAAAGTATCGGAGAACCCTTCTTCTTTCTGCAACTTGACTAGGTCGACGCAGACACAAGGCTGGTAGGAAGAAATTAGTATGGAAGTCGTCGTTCATGTGGTGAGCTACCTTGGCTGAGCCGTCGTTGAGCCCCTTCTTGGCTGCAAGATAGAATCCACGAAAGAGACCCAGTTCTCTCTCATGTATCTTGCGTCCCTCCTTCTTGATCGGCATGAGGAAGTCTGGGATGCGCCTCAAAGCGGGTATAAGATCTAGTAGCGCAGCTGTCTGGTCAAACCGCATTATTAGGGTATATCGAACTGACAACAGAAAAGGCAACGTACTCTTGATCCAATCATCTCAGAACTGCGATCAAATATCTGGTTGCAATATTAGTACGTTTAATGCCTCGGTCCAATATGATGCGCGGACTTCAAATGCCTCTTTGAACCGCTCATCTTCAATGCTCGTGGTACGAGAGCCGAATGTTATCTGAGTCGTCAATGAAGCCGTGTATCGACGTAGGTGATCAACGAAATCATCCGGACTCTTCACGACATCGAACAGCATCGCTTTGCTCTCTAAATCCTGGTACGGTATGTAGCTTCGAGCCGCTGTGACTCCCAAGATTCGATGGACAAGCTTCCGAGCCATCTTCCAGACTTCATTATCTGGCTGTTTCCTGTTAGTGATATCATATCACATGGCCATGAAGTATCTTGGATCTGTACCATGAATAAGATGCGCAATCCTCCACTGAGGATATCTTGACCTACGTATGACTCTGGTCGGCTTGAATAGCTACCACCTCGCTTGTCTACAAGGTCTTTGACAGTTTGATCTGTGTTTAGGACTATCATGACCTTTGTCCCTAGTATTAGTGAGTAGATAGGGCCATACTGCTCAGCCCATTTTTGGAACTGAATATGGCGCTTTCGGTTTGGGATCTGGTGTAAGTTGCCGATTATAGGAAGGGTTGGTGGACCAGGAGGATAGCCCTCTGGCCGACGTCCGATCCTGCTCAGTCGCCAGAAACCAAGGATCAAGACTAGAATCAAGAGATAGACACCGGCTGAGAAAGACATATTGGATCATACACAGGAGCTCTGATGTGATGGTCGAGGGGCCAGAATACAGCAAAATTGGCACACGAGGATGATGCGATAATTGCCGGCTGCCTACCCATACCGTAGTGATGAGGTGGTAAATTACATCTACATCAAGTAACCAAAGAGACATATTCCACCAAGTGGAATTTGCATCCAACCCAACCTCGGATGCGTATCTTCATGCATCGAATTATCATCATTCTGACTCAGGAACTCGCATGACAGGAATTTGCTCAATTCAGAGCAATGCATCTCATTTTCGTGTGTTGGTCATCGACAAAGACTTCTACCATGTCTCCTCACTCTTCTTCCCTGCCCCGACGGTGCACAGCATTTGCTAAATCAGCGTTGTCAAGCTCTTGGCGCACAGATAGAGCACAAGAGAGTTGCATACAAGATAAGGTTACTGAGGAACCCGTTTGGATTATGAATCAGAGACATCCGGGCTCTACATGGTTTCACCAGAGCACAAGAGCACCGTTGCAGTCGCATATCTTAGTACATAGGCTGAAGTGAAATGTATGAAAGATTAATATGAAGGCGTAGTACATCGTTTTGATCGCACATAAGAAACACAAAGCATGAACCTCGCCCGGACCTTCACTCCGTGCTACCAGCATCAGTCAATGAAACATGGTATTGATCCACTAAATCCATTGTATCGCCTTCCCAGTATCAGAATCAAGGTACAGGCTTACCAATCTCAAATCCCTTGTGTTATCTTGCATCACCTTACTCGCATAATGTCACCTCTTGCGAATAACGAAGATCCCAAGGGCTGATACGTCCTTGCCGAAGTATTTGAGGCCCATTCCTGTTTCATAAACGCGAGCTCATGATGTTACATTCTCTTCTCAAGCTACCATTACCACAAATCATCGTTGTATGCACACGTTATCTTCAGAAACCTTAGGCATCATGGCACATACATTTGACATCTCACCTGAGAAACGGGCCAGTCGCATCAACTTCATTTGGCGGCAGCTCTTTGTCACACCACCACCCGTCTCATCCGATGAACTCAACTTGGCAGGGAGAACAGCACTTGTTACTGGCGCTACTGGGGGAATAGGCCTCGAGATAACTCGCCAGCTACTAGGTCTTGGATGCAAGGTCATCATGGGTGTTCGAGATGAACGCAGAGGAGAGTCAGTACGTCAGAATCTCATCCAGGAAGGCAACCTAGACGATGACATGGCGCAGGTTTGGAAGCTAGACCTTTCCTCTTACCAGTCGATCATTGCTTTTGCCGCCAACGCGAAGAGCCTTGACAGTCTCAATATTGCCATTCTCAACGCAGGTATCTACAAAGTATCGGAGGCATTCAGCTCGACAGGGTATGAAGAAGGGATTCAAATCAACTACCTTTCAAACATTCTTCTGCTCATTTCACTGCTACCAATTATCAAGAAGAATGCTCCTGCAGGTGAGACCGGTCACATCTGCCTTGTGTCCTCCGACACAGCCGCCTGGGCTAAATTCAAGGAGAGAACATCGGCAACTCTCCTGACCGCATTCAAAAAACCTATGAAAACATGGGACATGGGAGAGCGGTATGGGACGACAAAACTCCTGGGCCAGCTATTCCTCACCGCCTTGTCGAAACGCGTTTCTTCAGTTACACTGTCCTGCGCGAACCCAGGGCTTTGCGGGGGTAGTTCAGACCTTGCTCGTGAAGCAACAGGCATACTTCGGCTTGCGCACAAGATGCAGTGTCTTGTGCTGAGTCGAACATGTGCTGTTGGTGCTCGTACAATCGTGCACTCGGTTACTACGCTACATAGGCACGCACATGGTCACTACGTCGAGGGTGATAAGATACAGCCGTGAGTGACCATATCCTTTTTGTGTTAGGTCAAGGCTAACTAGCTTCGGGTGATAGCATGGCACCTATTGTGTATCAAAATGAGGGGAAAGAACTTGCTGAGCGACTATATGCAGAGACCCTGGAGGAGCTGTCGTTTGCTGGGGTGAGACAGATTATAGATTGTCTATCGGAGTAGAAGCAGTGATATGGGAGCACTCATTGTAAAAAGACTTACCTGGTGACCGGTTTCATCTGCCGCAAATGGTCATGCGGGTTCCGAATATTTGTGGAACAAGAGGCCTGACGCTAAGGACCTATGCAGTGCTGACAGCCAACAACGTTCTGCATCGAACTTTTTCTAGCCTGTTGATTTGACAAACTGTATCTCGATACATCCTTAACTCAGGTGTGAGCTGTGTGACAGTGTGTGATTGTCTAAGAGCTTGGCAGAGTAAGCAAATGTCAGCATTACCAAGACATAGTCCTGCGCATAGAAAGTCAGGCTGTAGCACATTGAGCGAATCAAAACAGCGTACAACCAAGGGATAGTGCCACTCGAAGTATAAGACGCCTCAGAGTCCCATTATTGGCGGTGTGATATCAACAACATACACATAATCCCTCACCTCCAATTTGGGTAGCACAGCAAGACATCTTGTCTCACACCCCTTTGTACAGTATGGTACATACATGGCAACTATGGCTCTCACCACGACCCGTCAGGCGAACCGGAACGACATCGGAGCCACGTATGCTCTCTCAAAATGGCGCAGCGCTGTTTGAGTTTCACTATGAACGTGATGGTCGGCTTGTGGTACGGGAGACGCATTATGCGGAGAACAAGCTTGTCCAGGATGGTCGGTCTGGTCCGCCACTGTACGGTACCCTTTTTTCTTGAGTCTGTAACTTATGGCTGACAGACCGAGAGGCATATTCACTGTGGCCAGACAGAGTACTTCCAAGTTGAGAGCGGAACCCTGGCTGTCATCAAGAATGGAAAGAAAAGTGTTCTTACCAAGGATGGTGGCATCATCAAGATCCCTCCCGGAACCCGGTGCCATATCCCCTCCTCCACGAACACAGAGCGGTTTCATTAACAAAAGGCGCTGCAGTCATAGATTCTGGGCCGAAGCCCCCGTAACCGCGGATCTGGTGTTCCGAGTATGGGCAGAGCCACAGAACCTGGATAGAGGTTTTGATGAGGCCTTCCTGCGTAACTATCTGGGCTACCTGCGAGATTGCGAAGATCAAAACATACAGCCTTCGGTATTTCAACTTGCCCTGCTTGGTTGGAACGGCGACACCCTCCTGTCGCCGCCATGGTGGGTGCCTCTGTGGATGCTGAGGTTGTTTCACTTTATACTCGCTCATTTAGTGGGGAGGCTTTTCCTCAGGTAAGCTGACTCTCCACCATCGCATATGCTGCTAGAGTCTAATAATTTGTAGATACCAATCAAGCTATGAGGAGTACAGTCCGAAGATAGCTACAGATGCAGGAATACTGAAGAAAAAGCTGTGAAAGATATCCTTTCGATATGGCATAGATAATGGTGGGAGGAGTGCAATTTGTGTCTTACTCCAACGCTACCAGTTGTTGTCCATAGCCTTTTTTGATATCACGAAAGGAATTGAATGAAGGTACCTATTGTCCAAGTAACCAAATTAATCACTACCGGCTCTCAATCCCTCTTCTTCCTGTGCAATATGCTGGCCGCATCCACATATCATGGGATCCGGCGATCGAGGGATCGAGCTGACATTAATTTTGGATGACGAACTAGGGCTTCCGCCTCTTCAGGGATGCGCTTCTTCTCTCTTCCACTTTCATTCTCGCGATGACTATGATGGAGGCTCAGCCCCGCCAAGAGAAAGCCATGGTTTCATCCACGATATTACTATTCTCAGCCCGCCCCGAGAACTGGTGGAGGGGGGGTAGCTGAGTATCCTTCAGCTTTGAGATTCGTTTACTCGTTGTGTCGGAAGCCGGCCGTGAGTAGAGGAAAATCAGTCAGAGAAAATCTCAACGTTTTGGAATGTGATGAGAAAATAGACTTATAGCGACTCACAGCAATAGTTGCAATTTGCCACGTATATACGTTCAAGATGGTTTCTTACACTCAAACTTACGCTTTTCGGTCATCAATGACTCTTCTGAAATCGGTCTGGCTAACAGGCTGCCTCACCGCCCTTTTTTACAGTAGTCCTATCAATGCCATTGCGCTTAACATATCCAATCCTTACAGCGCCAACCTGCGTCATCTTTTGACTAATGAGTATCATGGGTGGTCATCTAACACGTCGATCAACTTCGCTGGATCGAGTGACTTCTTCGCTTCTACAGAGAGATGGACAACATTCAGTGCTCCATCATACGCGACCGTCATCAGTCCAGGAACAGAGGGAGATGTTGCTAAGATTGTATATTTATAGCAGCCTTAATGTCCTTGGGAAGCTAATGTCGTCGTAGATCAAACTTGCAACGATGCATAATATTCCTTTTCTTGCCACAGGAGCTCGTCACGGGTATACAACCACCCTTGGAAAGCTTCAAAATGGCCTCGCGATTGATCTCAGTCACTTCAAAGAGTTTCAGCTAGATGCGGATGCAAAGACTCTGACTGTCGGCCCTGGTGTGACGGTTGGCGAGATATTCGACCCCTTGTTCAACGCTGGATTTGACATTCGTGAGTTGTAATGCCTACAAGCATCAAGCCACAGCCACTAATGATCATTTTTATTAGAGACTGGCAGCGCTCCCTGTCCCAGCTTCATTGGTGTGACACTTGGTGGCGGCGTTGGCCGGTTCCAAGGCGCGTACGGCTTACTCTCGGACGCGCTCATCTCGGTTCGTCTCATCATCGCCAATGGCGAAGTTTTAGAAGTGTCAAGAACCAGCCACTCCGATTTATTCTGGGCGATTCGTGGTGCAGGTGCAAACTTTGGTGTTGTCACCTCTGCCACTTACAGCGTTCATCCATTGAAGAACAACGGTGACATGTTTGTTGCGGAATTCATCGTTCCACCTCGGAGGCGGTCTGAGTACTTCCGCATAATGGAATCTATGTCGCCGTTACCTGCTGAGCTATCCTCTCTGCTACTGAACAGCTTCAACACGACCATAAACCAGGTATGGCCTGTGTATTCTCTTGACACCAGTGCTAATGAATGCTTTTAGACTCAGTTGTATTCACACTGGGCGTACAAGGGCACTGAAACTGTAGCCCGTAAACATTTATCACCAATCTTGAAGATGAACCTCACAGCAACTCAAATGAGGGTCCTGCCCTGGAACAGGCTCGTGGAGAACACTTTCGCTGGAGCTGCCGTCACTGTCTGCCAACCCAACACCAACCGAAATCTGTACACCTTGAGCATGAGAAATTACTCAGCGTCCACTTGGGAAGCTGTATCCTCCAAGTTGGCGACTTTCTACGCCCGGTATCCCCAGGCGCGTAGTTCTTCTCTTCTCTATGAATTTTTCCCAAATCAAGCCATGGCTGCTATTCCATTAGACGAGAGTGCGTTTCCGCGGAGGGATACAACAGCATACATGTACGTCTACAAGCAACAACTCAACCCCGAGACCGATGACTGACGTGATATCTTCGGATAGTAATCTTATTTTGACGTCAAGTACTCACGACAATGAGATAGACGATGTTCTGGCGAGGTTTGGTGAGGATATTCGGCGAGATGTGGCTGCAACATCTGGGTATTCAGAGATTACGACCTTTGTGAATTATGCTCACGGCGACGAAACACTAGAGCAGATCTATGGCAAAGGAAAGCTGGCACGGCTGGCAGCGCTGAAGAGGATATGGGATCCTAATGAAGTCTTCAGTTTCAACAATGGCTTGCCTACCCGGTATCCTTAGAAAATGGTCAATGCTCTTCAAGATCATTTTTTGAGAGCTTAAATTAGCACAGAGAACTTGTGATTGTCATAAATATCCTGTTCATAAATACTTGATACATACCAACCAGCTGCAATGTCCACGATCCACGCGTAGGCCTGGCCTGCCGTTAAGTCAGGGACCTTTCACGTCGCACCGTGAGAGAAAACAAGTTATAATTATATCAGATTTATATTATTCCAGAAAATAAGTTTCCATATGGATGTCGCTCCAAACGCTATCACTCGATTTAATATGGCCCGCGAGGCCGATCTATAATTACTGGTTCTGTGCTACTTCGATGAAACATATCGCCAAGGAAGGCTTATTAATACTTATTGTCTTCCCCTCACTTATAAAGGGATTTTCCAGGAGTCTAAGCAAAATAATACGCATCTTCTATTAACTGCCATCGCAAAAATGTCCGCTAAGCTCGAGCATGAAGCTGCCTTTGAGGCCACCTTTCGAGGCTGGCTGTCCCGCCAGTTCACTACCCCAAAACTCTTACCAAGCACTCTTAAACGGACAGAAAAGACTGCAATTATCACTGGCAGCAACACTGGTCTTGGTTTCGAAGCAAGTCGACAGCTCCTCGAGCTAGGTCTTTCCCACCTTATCATGGCTGTTCGCTCCCAAGCCAAGGGCGATGCAGCCGCTAGCGCTTTGCGAGCTGAATTCCCCGACTCTACAGTATCTGTCTGGATCCTTGATATGGAGTCTTATGATTCTGTCGCGGCCTTTGCAACCCAATGCGACACCCTTCCACGTATCGACATTGTCATTCTGAACGCCGCGTTGATCAAACCATCGTTCAGCAGAGCATCCACTGGCCATGAGCTCACGATGCAAGTGGCTTACCTTTCCACAGCGCTTCTTACAATCTTACTACTACCAATATTGAAGCTAAAAAGGACCGGGGCTGATACAAGACCCCCAGTCATCACAGTTGTTGGATCTGATCTCGCATATCGTGCCGATATCCAGACGACGGGCCCAGTGCTGGAGCACTTAGACAAAGATCAGGGTTACAGTCAATTTGTATGGTATGCACGTTCCAAACTACTTCTCACCTTCTTCATATCAAAGCTTGCCGAGTCTGTCGACCCCAACCATGTAGTGGTAAACATGGTCAATCCTGGGACCACGCGAGGAACGGCCTTTCTACGGGAATTCTCACCACTCCTTGCGAGGCTTGCAGGAGCACTCCAGTACATATTTGCCAGACCTCCTGATATCGCGGCAACGACTTATCTCGATGCTTGCCTTGTGCGTGGTATAGAGAGCCATGGGTCATTTATCAGTGATTGGACTATTAAGCCGTACGTATTCCTTTTCTATAACTTTATAAACTATTGACAGTGAAAGATACCCTGATATATGGTATAAATCCCCGGGTAAAGACTTGAGGGAAAGGCTATGGCAAGAGACAATCCGTGAATTTGAGCCTTTTGGTGTTTCAAAGATCATCGAGGATATGAAGTAAAGGCAGTGTAGAAGAAGGAGACCCCATAAGGATTAGGTGCTCTCTGGTGGTAAACCTTTCCCACTACCGTTGGTCATCCTATCATGCCAGGAGGGGCTGCTGCTTTACCAAGGTGTTTGGGCGTCCACCATGTCAAGACACGTGTCGCTTCAACTCTTGGTCAGCGCAATATCACGTTGTACCATTCTTACTTACTTCATGTCCCAACCAATTCATGCTTTACGTATGTCGTTCAAGTCAATGTTGGAGAGCACAACATATTATGCATCGACACCAAACAGTATAGTAAGCACCTTTTACCACGGTAGAGCTAAGTTAAATGTGGAGTTTGTGATATTGTCTTGCATAAATGAGGCTTACGTGAGATTATTGGCTTTGTACAATCATCTGTAGCCATGTTCGAAGGAAGTCCCCCAGTCATGCTAGATAACCTAGGTCAGAGGGAGTAGGTACTCTGCATACCTTCCATGTACTCAACTCTTCCGAGACCTTCCCCCTCATCTTTCACGACTTTGCCACCATTTTCCCCCCTGATCTCAGTGCAAGCAGTTCCATCATGGCTCGCCCTAAGTTCGCCCTCGTCACTGGGTTGCTAATCCCATTCTGTTAAAGCTTAAATGCACTATTGCTGATGCTCTTTAGATGCGGTCGAGGTGGAATCGGCGAGGCACTGGTCATGGAGTACAAACGCCTTTCGTTCCATGCCATCGCGACCATTCTTCCCCACGAGTCGAGAAATCATCTATCGCAGGCCGGAATCACCTGCTTCCCTCTCAATGTAACAGTTGAAGAGTCCGTCTCGGAGCTCAAGACCAAAGTTCAAGAACTCACCGGTGGGAGCTTGCACATTCTCGTGAACTGCGCGTATGCACTGCACCATTCCCTTGCAAGTCTCGCCGTTCATAACTGATTGTGTGGCAGAGGAATAGCATACACGATGACTGCTATCGACACAGACGTGATTTCTGTACAGCATATGTTTGATGTCAATGTCTTTGGACCGATGCGCATGGTGCATCATTTCCATGACATGGTTATCGAGGGATCTGGTACCATCGTCAACATTGGTTCCATTGGGGGGACCATACCATTTGTTTATGGCTGTGAGACTTATCACATGCAGAACTCACCATGAATCTTCATACTGACCCATCCCAGCGTCGTATAATGCTTCTAAAGCGGCTCTGCAGCATTGGTCTAATACCCTGAGGATCGAAATGGCTCCATTCAAGTATGTGAATCCTTCTACAAACAGTATCACTAACGTCTATATTTTTAAGCGTCAAAGTAATTACGGTATGCAACCCCTACATTACCATCCGCGACTCTACTCTTGGCTGATGAAGATGCCTCGCTAGGTTATTTCGGGTGAAGTAAACACCAATATCCTAAGAGCCGACGCCCATAGAAGACTTCCAGAAGGTTGGTATATGGAGCCTACTTAGTATACGAAGGACTCACCAATATTGTACTATTAAGGGTCTTACTACTCTACCCTTGCGAAGCAATTTGAGCAGCATGTCCTGCGAAAGCCGAGTAAGATAAATACTACCATTATTTTCTATTCTTGCCAACTCATAACTCTAGAAAATGCCACCGACCGTTTGGAATTAGCCGAGAACGTCGTCAAAGAGAGCCTGAAGAAACACCCGTCTGCTTGGTTTTGGTTCGGGAGCTTCAGCACCTTGACCAGATTTCTTGACACGTTTGCTTGGCGAACCATATGGGTCGGTTTGCTCCAATGCATCTTGTACTGTTCCAGCTAGTATTAACTGCTTATTAGGACTCAATCCTCTGGAGGATGTTTGACATGAAGAAGCTGCAACGGGCTCACGCAGCTAGGCTTCGGGAGGAGGAGACAGAATGACTCAGTAGTGTTTCTAGGAATACTACTGGCCTTTCCCCCATCATTTATCTCATCGTTATTGTTGAATCAAGTTGGTAGTTATCATCGGTTGCTCTACATGGCCAAATCTTGGAATCTACTATGGCTTCTTCACTTCTCCATCAGTGCTCTTAACAACGATTATACTTCTGTGCAAACACACATTTCAATGATGAGCGAGATCATTCTTGTTTCACCCCCACGCTATATCTGAAAAATTATCATCGCCGCATAGAAAACGGCTTCGCCTTGCATCAAGTCCATGAAACGTTTAGTTGGGTTACCAAGACTGGCCTTAGCTGTTTAGCCACCCTGGAAACAAAGTCGCTCGTAACTTTCGTTCGTCTCAGGTATCCTCATAGCTCTTTCTTATCTCTAGCTCATCTAAAGTTGGTAACGTTTACGAATTGTGGGCTTGAAACCTACGGAACCACGGGCCAACGAGCATAACGGGGGAACATCATAAGCCTGAGGAACAAAAAGGAGGGTTTTTACAAAGGACAAACATCACGTTGCATTGAGTCCAGTATTCCGTTTCTACCAAAAGAACGTGTTCCCAGTAGACCCCGTATCTTATCTCATGGCCGTCAACGTTGTTCCACCATCAACAATCAAGGCTATCCCAGTAATGTAGCTAGCCCTCGAACTACACAAGAAGATAACAGCATCTGCCACTTCATCTGGCGTTGCAATTCCTCCCATAGGAACCGCGGCATTTACAAACTCTTCAAGACCCTGTACGCCTTCCAGGGCCTGTCGTGTCATCGGGGTATCAGTCCAAGAAGGACAGACGCAGTTAACTCTGATCCCATATGACGCGTTATCGAGTGCTATCAAGGTATCAGCTGTATGTTGTTGACAAGGATTCTTGTTATCGACTGACCGCTATTCTTCGTCAACCCAAGAGCTGCGTGCTTGGACGTGGTGTATGGTAGGACACCTGGACTTGCAACCATGGAAGACGCAGAGCCAAGATTCACAATAGCTCCACGTGATACCCCTCTCCCAGAAGAGGTTGCGACTGGCTCTTGAGCTCGCATGGCAATAGAAGCTTCTCGCGTAACAAGAAACATTCCTGTAGTGTTAACTCGAAGAAATCTTTCAAAGTCGGACAAAGACGTGTTGGCAATGTCGACCGCTTGCCGAACTCCGATCTAGATAAACGCGTCAGCTATGCATGTCAGATCTCGAGATGCATGAGTATCCAATGATTACTCACGCCAGCCGAGTTGACGCAGTAATCAATGCGTCCGAAAGTCTGTACAGCATGGCCCATGAGGTTGCGAACGGAGTCTTCGCGAGTCACGTCGACGTGAATGGCTTCACAGAGGAAGTCCTTGTTTACTGCTGCGTTCTTGCACTCTCCGACAACATCCTTAGCAAGGCGAATGGTAATATCAGCTATGAGAACACCAATTGCCCCCTCCTTTGCGAAGGCGATGGCACAAGCCCGACCAATACCACTTCCTAATGTGACTTGATCAGTTTTTGGAGAGGGTAGCTGTCAGGTTTGTTACTTACCCCCTCCAACAACCAGAGCATATCCGGAAACGTCCATGCTTGGGATAGTGCTGTTTCTCTCTTGAATCAGAACCTTAGTTGAATGGCCTTGATAGATGATGGTATATTAGGTCAGAGCCCAGTTGGCAATGGATGGAAATTAATACACAAATTGACTGCCCGTTGGATTACAAATGCAATTCGATATGCAAAAGCCACAATACCAAAGAGACCATGCACATGGTATCGTGATTCCCGTCGCTATGTTTAGAGGTGTCATATGACAAATTATGGCCGCGGAGATAAACATATTTGCGAAACTGCCGACTCTTCACGAAGCCATGTTCTAGATCTTGGAGTTACTCCTGTAGGACTCATAGATACTCGCACAGATATCAACGTCTTATCCTGCGGTGATTTGAAGGGTCCTCGGACAGGAAATGTTGCTCATCGTTACTCTTTTCTCTGACCCCGCTCTACTGTGTGACCGGAGGTAACAGAGTATAGTCGAAGACCCTTCCAGAATCCATTGATGACTTGCATATTGTACGATCTAAGAGGAGGTATCCTGACCGCTATTACCACTGCTTAGAATACCTAGCGATGTGTTGAAGCCTTCAGGCTAACAAATGTATCCACACCAAATTCTAGGGTTCAAGATGGTGGATAGCTTCACTTTCCGAAGTCAAATCATCTATCACTAATTCTGTATACAGACCAACCTAGACTCGAGACGGGGAGACATTGCCTCACAATGTAAGCAGGCAGTGTAATGACTTCAGCTGATGTGAGGAAGGAGGAAAGAATGTAAACGTGGTACATGAGAATGAACTTGGAATACACGGTTGCTTTCATGAAGGGGAAGGTCAATCGGATGAAGTCTTCTCGCTATGTAGTAATAAAGTAAGAGCGTTAGATAGAACTTATGAAAAGTGCTATAAGATCTGCTCCTGAACCGATCGTCGATCCCATCATTCAGGCTAGCATTTACTTCTGCCAAGCATTACTGAAAAGACAAGAAAGTGAAGCCAAAGCACCATGACCAAGTCCGAAACTATCACCGTAGCATCTACCTCTCAACGAGGTGGTGACGGCCTGGGATCTGAGAACGAGCAAAACATGATCTCTTCCAATGCAGCAACTCCAGATGATGACCCTGTATGCATTGTTGGAATGGGTTAGTATCTCCAAATACCTTCATCCCTTATTCTGCCGTCGACCTAATTCTGATGTAGCATGTCGACTACCCGGTGGTATCCGTTCTCCAGATGATCTCTGGGATTTCATGATCCAGAAGAAGTCAGCCTATGGACCTGTCCCAGCTGACAGGTACAACATCGATGGTTTCTACCACCCTCAAAGCAACCGCAGCGGAACAACAAATGTCCCCGGAGGCTACTTCATCAGCGAGGACGTCCGACAGTTTGACAATGCTTTTTTTGACATCAACAACCTTGAGGCCACCTACATGGATCCTCAGCAACGCAAGATTCTCGAGGTCGTGTACGAGTGTCTTGTGAGCTCGGGCACTTCTATGGAAGCTGTGGCTGGCTCTAATACCGGCGTCTATGTGGCAAACTTCACGGTGGACTATCAACCTTTGCAGCTGAGAGACCCTGATTATCTGCATAGATATGTGACGACCGGATCAGGTGCCACTATCATGTCGAACCGGATTAGCCATGTCTTCAACCTTCATGGACCTAGGTATGTATACCTTTCGCTTACGATAGGTCAATATTCAGATATTGACCATTTAATAGTCTGTCGGTAGATACTGCCTGCTCTTCATCTATCTATGCCTTACACCAAGCCATCAAAGCTATCAAGGCGGGAGATTGTGACAACGCAATCGTGGCTAGCGCCAATCTAATCTTATCACCAGAGCCTCATATTGCTGCTGCCAAGAGCGGTGTTCTCTCATCCACGGGAATGTGTCTTACCTTTGACGAATCCGCCAATGGCTATGGTCGAGCAGAAGGCGTCAATTCTATTTATATTAAGCGCCTGTCCGCTGCGGTGAAAGACGGAAACCCTATCCGTGCAGTCATCAGAGGAAGTGCATTGAATGCGTAAGTAAGCCCCTGGAGTCTTATGGGCCGAGACTGAAACTCTGATAGGAACGGGAGGACGCCTGGAATATCCCTTCCAGATAGCGACTTCCAAGAACTGGCAATGCGTAAAGCATACCAGGATGCCAACTTGGACGTTTCAGGAACTGATTACGTCGAATGCCATGGTACCGGAACTGCTGTTGGTGATCCTATAGAGGTGGAGGCGATTGGGAGAGTCTTTGACCGAGACTCAGGGAGCCAGCTTCTGCTTGGATCGGTAAGTATCTGAATATCCATTGTGGCATTACGCTATGGCACTGACAAAAGATTAGGTCAAAACAAATGTCGGACATAGTGAGGCAGCAAGTGGTCTCACATCCATGCTCAAGGTTGTAAAATCTTTCGAGAAGGGTCAGATCCCTCCAACTCGGGGCATCGTTAACCTCAATCCCAAATGTACGACTTCATCTCTCCCCACATAGAATGGCTAACTAATCCTACCTACAGTGATTCTCGCTGAGCGTAATCTCAAGATTGCACAAGATACACACAACTGGCCACGGGCTCTTTGTCGCGCAAGCATCAATTCCTTTGGGTATGGTGGTGCTAATGCTCATGTCATCCTTGAATCCGGCGACAGTTATTTCGGCAACAAACATCCGATGAGGCCATCCATGAACAACATGGCGACAACAGGACAACAGAGAGCTTTAGTGTTGCCTCTATCAGCAAGCTCGCTGTTCTCTCTCGAAGCGCTGGTCGATGATATCTCCTCGAGGCTCCCTCGGCTTGGCCATGCAAACGAGATTGACTCGTTGGCTTATACCCTTACCAATGGGCGCGATCACCTCAGTCACAGAACCTTTATCCTAGCAGACCTTGACAAGAGTGGAAAACTCTTGCGAACATTTCGAACAACAACTGGTGACGATGAGTTCCACATGATGAAACCGCTGCCCCTTGGCTTTGTATTCACTGGACAAGGAGCACAATATCCCGGCATGGCCAAAGAGTTACTTGCCAGCTCTCAGCCTTTTCTCTCTACGATCCGCCACCTCGACTCTGTGCTTCAAGCGCTCGCCACTGAACACGCTCCAGATTGGACGCTGGAGGGGACAATCTTACACTCAGACACAAACGTGATCAACGAGGTAGAGCGTAGCCAACCAGTCTGCACAGCGGTTCAAATTTCCATTGTCGAGCTACTTCGCAGCTGGGGTATTCAGTGCAACGCAGTTGTCGGACACTCCTCGGGCGAGATAGCAGCAGCTTACTGTGCAGGCCTTCTCAGCGCCTCACAAGCCATCACGGTAGCCTACTTCCGCGGATATGCTGCAGGAAGGATGACTGCCAGAGGTACTATGATGGCAATTGGACTAAGCGATGCAGCTGCTGCACTCTTGATCGAGAGCAAAGGACTCACAGATCAGATCCGCGTGGCATGCGTTAACGCCCCTGATAGTGTCACGTTGAGTGGTTCAGATGAAGGAATTCAAGTGCTGAAGCAGGCTTTGGAGAGTGACAGCAGGTTTTGCCGTCTGTTGCAAACTGGAGGTCGCGCTTACCATTCTCCTATGATGGAAGAAGTTGGTGGTTTATACGAAGATTTACTTGTCCCCCTGTTCCGTGAAAAGGATGCAAGGAATGGTATTCCTTGCAGAGCTTCAGGTGAAGTCACGATGTGTTCATCCGTGGGTTGCAGTCACGAGAGCCTCAGTATATTGGATGAGAAAGTCAACATGCCAGCATATTGGAGGAAGAACTTAGAGCAGCCTGTTCAGTTCAACTCCGCCCTCTCAAATCTGATCTCAAGCCAAGGCAATCTGCATCTCATCGAGATTGGACCACACTCAGCTCTGGAAGGCCCAGTCAAACAAATCCGGAAATATCTTCAACTTACGGAAGCAACACTGCCCTATTCATCGGCTCTAGTCAGAAAGAAAGATGCTGATCACAGCGTCAAGGCACTTGCCGGAAAGCTCTTTTCGCACGGCCATTCTGTGATCTGGGATGCAGTTAATACTCTTCCCAACAAAGGATTGAGAATTCTTCATGAGCTGGCTCCTTACCCGTGGGACTATACGCGGAATCAAGGTGTACTCTGGAGTGAACCTCGAGCCAGCTACGAAATTAGGAACAGAAAGTTTCTACGTCATGAACTTCTTGGGACGCGCGCTCTGACAGGTAATGATATCGACTATACATGGCGGAATCTGTTGCGTCTTGGCGAAATACCTTGGCTGAAGGACCATTGTCTAGAAGATCAGATTGTCTTCCCTGCAACGGGGTACATGGCCATGGCTATTGAAGCTCTTTCTCAGATCCTTGACGCGAAAGGAAAGCCAATCGACGAGATCTCCTTTGAGCTCCGCAACGTCAACATCAGTGCCGCGCTGCAGATTCCTAGTCAGGAGAGAGACGTCTATTCGAGGGACACAGATCTGGAACTGCATACTACCATGTCCGGTAGCAAGATCTCCAACACTAGTAGCTCAGCTGAATGGCATGAGTTTTCTATCTCATCCTGGCAGGCTGGAAGAACCATGCTTCACTGCATGGGCAGCATTCGTTTGACCAAGCCTCTGACAGCTCGAGATAAACCGAGTGTTAGGTTATCTGAGATCGATGGTTTTGACAAATGGTCTATGAACAAGTGGTACTCCAAATGGCATGATGAAGGTCTCTGTTTTGGCCCTCACTTCCGGTCCCTTCACAGCCTACAGACAGATGGGGGTCGAACTCGACAGGAGACAATTGGGATCACAAAACTTGAGCCCATTCTTGACGGAAACGGCGGCACGTCTTACCCTCTTCACCCTATCACCATGGATGCAGCTATCCAAACAGCTGCACTGAGCACGGCGGCTGGCCACGTCGACTTCTTGAGGGCTTGGTTGCCGGTCTTCATTTCTGAGTGTAGAATCCAGCCTCCTTCAGGCGGTGTCGATGCTGAGGTTGAGATCCAAGCCTTTTCGGAGCAAACTGGCTTATCCAGCAGATCCATAACAGCTACAGTACGAGATTCGACTGGAAAGCCCCTCATGGACTACGCCGGTCTTCGTGTTGCTTTATACACAGGGAAAAATGCAGCTGCAGTCGAGTCGTCTACCATCAGCAAAAGCAGCGGTAATAGCTTTTCACACGACCTGTATACACAGCGCAATCCAACTCTGAGAGTGACGTGGAAACCCGATATCCAACGCCTCGATTCAAGTGGCCAAGAGAGTCTGAGGAACTATTACATCACCGATTTCGTGGACCAACAGACCGATGACGTGCGTGACGACGAAAGTCTATCCATCACGAGCGCCCTCCTTGATCTCGCTGGGCACAAGAATCCACGCATGCGTGTTCTTGAGCTGGGTGGCGACGGGCTGGGGTACAAGTCAAAACATTGGCAATTAGCCTTGTCCAAAGATACGGCTTTTTCAAGGTGCCGGTCCTGGCATGTTGGAACTTTGACAGCGGATGGAGACATATCGCTGGAGACAGAGGATGGAGAGGCTCCATTTGATGTCTTGTTACTTCCGAGAGTAAGTAAGGCCACCCGTTGTCGAACACCCTCTAATCAGGTTCTACAGCACGATACTTCGAGGCAATTCTGGGATCGGTTTCCCAGACGGCTCAGTGACTTGCTGTCAGACCAGGGCATTATTATCACTCGAGCAACGGACGTCAGCATGACAGAGATGGAGGCCGCTGGCCTCAGTGTCCTGGATGTTGGGAATCAGATATTGCTAGGCGTGCATGCCCTTCAACTGCCAGGCACCGCGGCCAGAAATATATTCATTGTGGCAAGTCCCTACCCGTGACCTTCTTCACCTAATCGCTAACCTTCCCAAGCGTGCCGAGAATGCTTCCGCCACGGTAATAGAACTTGGTGCGACTTTATCGGCAATGCTATCGGAACAAGTCGGTATATCCCATGTCACCAGCATCAAGTTTCATGAGCTAGACACTGTCGAGATCTGTGATGTGGACATATGTATCTCCCTGCTCGAATTAGAGAACGAATTCCTGGCGACTATGAACCCACAGGACATGGAACGACTGCGCTCCATAACATCTACAACGACAAACCTCTTGTGGATCACTGGCGCAAACATGCTAGGCCCTACTCCAAACCCCAACTTGACGCTCTCGAACGGTTTGTCACGGGCTCTTATGCTTGAACAGCCTGCACTACGATTCTCCATCCTAGACGTTGGATCACTCACTGATCTTGACACGGAGTTGATATGCTCGAGTGTTACCAAAGTCCTTGGACGTGTCCATGACAGAGACGACTGTGAGTTTATACAAAAAGACGGCCTCCTGCATATTAGCAGATATTGTCCCGACGTCCAGCTCAATTCACTCTTCCGCCGGCGTCTTGGACTTCGCGCTGGTAAGGATTTGGAACCGTTGGCGAGTTCGCACCCTGCAAGACTATCGATTGATCGCATTGGGGCGATGGACTCGCTCTTCTTTCAGACATTGTCTGAGCCTACTACTCACGCCGCTCTGGGCCCTGGGTATGTTAATGTCGACGTGAGAGCAGTGAGTCTTAACGCTAAGGATGTGTACACTATGAGCGGGCGAGTGGATACACGGAATATGACTACGGCATTTGACTTCTCAGGCCTCGTCACCTCAGTTGGCCCAAATGTTAGCCATGTCGCGGTGGGTGATCGCGTTGTCGTATCAGCTCCTCACCATCTTGGAACAGCGGTTCGTGTACCAGCTGGATGCGTGCACAAAATGATGTCGGATGAGGAATTTACGGTGATGCCTTCCATGATGGTCATATACCCCACGGCGTTATATGCCCTCAACGAGCGTGCCCACCTACGATCCGGCGAGTCTATACTCATACACGCTGGCTCCGGAGGTCTCGGCATCGCCGCTATCATTCTGGCCCACAGGATAGGTGCCACTGTATACACCACCGTTGGATCAGATGTCAAACGCGAGTATCTCATTAACGAGTTATACATCCCATCTTCACATATCTTCAACTCCCGCGACTCGACCTTTGTCCAAGGCATCATGAACGCAACAAATGGCCGTGGAGTCGACGTCGTTCTCAATTCCTTAGTCGGCGATCTAATGCACGACAGTTGGCGCTGCTTAGCTGACTTTGGACGTTTCGTCGAAGTTGGGAAGCGAGAACTCGTCGATGTAGGCAAATTAGACATGAGCGTGTTTCTTCGTAACGCCACTTTCACTGCATTTGATCTCTCGGAGCTGTTCTACTCCCAGGACCTCTTCCATCGATCCATTTGGGACAGACTTATAAGTGAGGCATTACAGCTCTATCGCGACGGAGAGATTCAGCCCCCTCCTATCAAGGTCTTTGATGTTAGTCAGATTGCTCAGGCATACCGAAGTTTCTTGAGCAAGGATCGAGTGGGCAAGATTGTGATTTCCTTGGAGGATCAGCAAGCTCGAGTGCCGGTAAGTATAATCCATATCTAGAAACGAGACAAACTAACCGGGGTCTTAGGTCGCCCCACCACTGTATTTGAGTGTCTTTGACCCTGAGAAAGTATACTTTCTCGTCGGATGCCTTGGAGGGCTAGGACGTAGCTTGAGCCGATGGATGATGACACGAGGAGCTCGTCGGTTTGTATTCCTAGGCCGTTCAGGTGCGGACCGACCGAGTGCACGTCAACTAATCTCCCGGCTCGAACAAGCCGGTGCCACTGTCGAAGTAGTCCGTGGCGACGTCTGCAGCTTGTCCGATGTCACGAAAGCAGTTGAAGCGTGCATCAGTGCGGGCAGACGTATAGGTGGTGTAGTCCAAGCCGCCATGGGTCTTTCCGAGTCTCTCTTCGTAAGCATGTCCAATGAGGCCTGGCACACTGGCATCGACCCCAAGTGGCAGGGAACCTGGAACCTCCACAACGCCCTGCAGGTCCACGTCGATAAAGACCAAAGCAACGAGCCTGATTTCTTCCTCCTGACCTCCTCAGTCTCAGGGACTGTCGGTACAGCTACTGAAAGCAACTACTGTTCGGCCAATGGCTTTCTCGACGCTTTTGCTCGATGGCGTCGCGCGCGCGGCCAGGCTTGTGTTTCGGTTGGTCTAGGTATGATCTCGGAAGTGGGTTACCTGCACGAGAACCCTGAGATCGAAAGCTTGCTTCTGCGCAAAGGGATCCAGCCATTGAACGAAGATGCGTTCTTGCAGATCGTCGATCTTGCGTTGACTAGCGAGAAAGACGGTAGGGTTGATGACTCACATCTCCTCACTGGCTTAGAGTTTGCGGCGATTCGAGAGCTCAGTGCCCAAGGGTTCGACGTTACCAGCCACGGAGTCCTCAACGAAGCACGCTCCTCTATCCTACTAGCCTCCGTGTTGGCGGAAAAGGAGGCTCGGGATGTAGCTCCTTCAGACGGCAACGTAGCTATTGTCGCAGCGGCAGAATGGTTCAAGAGCATTCCCTCGGCTCTGTCACCCGTTTTTGCCCCGGTCGCAGACTTCGCTACCTTGCGCATCGCCATCATGCACCTGATCAAGACGCGCTTCTCTAATCTCATCCTGGTCCCAACAGACCAGATCAGCGAGGATAAGCCGCTACCTAACTTTGGTGTTGATAGCATGATTGCGTCAGAGTTTCGCTCATGGTTCTGGGCAGTTTTACGGATAGATATCCCCTTCTTGGACATTATGAGCACTAAAACGAGTTTGGATACGTTGGCAGAGTTGGTAGAAGGGAAGCTTTAGCTAGAAATGTCATGACATAGATTGCTTTGAGACTGAACGATATGTATTTCAGCCCATGCCTATTTCCCCATGAAACTCATCAGAACCAGTAAGTGCTTGGGGTATCTTGCCAATTTGATCGGCCGCCATACATGATAAAATCATCAGAAGATGTAAAACTTGATCCCAAAGTGATCCGAAGCACTTTATATCACATTACATATACTATATATAGTTGAACTCCCATTTTCCTTTCACAATTATCTAAGGGACTGTGTCTGCCCGTTGGCTTTTTCCCCAGACTTTTCACGGTGGCGTAGGTCCTCTCACGCCTTTGTCCACTTGGTCAGTGTCTGTCGAATGTGCATCGCCATATTTAATATCCACCTGTACAAAGTCAGTCAACAAATAACGCGGCGTCCACAGGGCTGACTTACAGCAGTCGTTCGGAGAATGCCATTATATGTCATGATCTCCTCTTCGCTTCCATTAGGTGAATATCCACGAATCTCAGTCTGTGTTCTGCTTCGGTGCATATCCTTGAGATGAAAAGACGACACGCCAGCTGTGCCATTTCCATAGCGACTTGGCGTGTTGTATTTTCCAGTGTCATTCGTACTTTTCCCGGAAAATAGACGAGGGAACATTCTGCGAAACAGTGGGCGCAGAGCCGGGCCACAACAAGCAATGATGGCGAGATTGACTTCGATACTACTCAGAGTGTCACCAAGTGAGTGTCTAGAGTCGTACCCTTTGATGTAGAACTTCTTATACAGTTCGATCACACGAAGAATAGCGACGATCGTTACTCTGAACAAAGGTTAATAAGTGCGAATCAGGTGCTTGTTACATACTTACACGCCGCCCATGAGAAACACCACGATTAAACCTAGCTTCGCAGCGATCCGCATCTTGAGACCAATGAAAATCCAAAACGGAATTAAAAGAACAAGAACGTCTGTAATGATTGTAATAATAGCCGATGAGATGTAGAACACTGGTCCATCAATCTGACGCTCTGGCTTTATAGATAGGTCCCAGTAAGCATTGATTGGAATAGTTTGGAATACCACTGTCAAAAATATTGCAATCATCAACGCAACATTGAATCCGTTCAAGCCATAGATGGCCCATTTAATGCCACGGTTATGGCCTCCAAGTCGAAGAAGGAAGAAAAGAATTGATGACTTTACAAGAGCCAGGATAGGGTTGTAAAGAACCTGCATTATCCAGTTGTAGAATAAAACAGGCTCGATGTCATAATTCTTGGGAAGATCTTTAGTATGGAAGCCGATGTATTCGTATCTGAAGACTATCAAGGATCAGTACCCGGTCTTGGTGATATGTTGCATACAGGACTTACAGTAGTAATAAGGAACATGCAGGCCGATGGAAAATAGCTATGTCGATCAGTTGTCAGATCGTTCTGATCGGCGCGGGATCCTTACCATTGCGACTGTGACGAACCAGTCATCTATAGCCAGTCAGTCAAACCAAGAGATCTCACGCAAGGATGCAGCGTAGCCACGAACTTACCGATTCCGATTTGCTTCTTACTAAATCTGGAGTACATGCGGGCACTCCATGTGACGAAAGCAAGAGACATCATGAGAAAAATAATCGCAATTCCAGTCTGCTGTGTCGAATTCGTTGGTATTTCCGAGACCGGCACATAACCGCGTCGAAATACCATGTTGCCAGCTGTGCCGCTGTCATTTTGGTCCATTTTGGAAGCCTCGAAGATCAATTGAGTGAGAGAATGGCATTGTCAGCGGTGGGGAAATTACTATATAAGATGTGACAACCAGTGCATGGAAGCAGCCACTTCGTCAGTAATTTGGGCATTCCAAACAGCTTCCGGGACTGCAGCGACGTGGCGCGAGAACAATTACCAGGGGTCTGCTTCATCATCAACAAGGGCCAAACTCTAAATCAAAAGGTCATCCGCCACCATAAGCCCTAGCAGGTCATTGTAGGGATCCTACAGGCTTGAACTCTTGGCTGAATGGTCTAGTGTTCTTTAGCGACCTCTGCGCCGTCCGCGGCAGCCGCAGCTGGAACCGGGATGAGGGGTAACCCTTGCTTCGTAGGGTTGTGTTTGTTGGTTCTCGAGGCTTTTTGCAACAGGGAAATTGATCCGGAGCAGGGGACAGATTCTGGGCCTTTGTTGTGGCGCCGAAAGAATCCCATTGTGTGGTATCTTGGCCAGCTTTGCAATTAAAAGTTGGCATCGTTAGTTCTTAAGAGCATTAAACTCGCGGCTATAATGCCCGAAAAATGAAAGGCCAATATAGCTTCGGTAATTCATAACTCTAGAACTACCGGCTAGCCCCTCCTCATCTTGTTTCTCCACTTCTTTAACCGATGTCTTCTCCGGGAGGCCGACCCCAGGATTTCATTCTTAGATCCCTGATCTACTTTAGTCCCGCCAACCGGATGAGATTCCAGTGTCTTGGCTACTTGGCATACGAAGCACAACCAACACTCTAGAAGTTTGGGCACTAAATCCCTCAGGGGAGGTCGCCAGCCCTCAGGCCTCAGTCTGTGCTTCACTCAATGTCTGGATGACAGTTCCTGCTGCAAGATTAACTTCACGATAAATTAAACGATCAGATGACATCTTGAAGTCTGATCCATCTCAGGATACGACTTACAAGTCCTATACTAAGACCGTAATGAGTTCTATGCAACCGTTGCAACGTTGGTGCTCCTGCATGTAATCTCTCGGTGATGGCTAGGTTCTTATTGTACATCCTCGTCTATATTCCTGACTCATTCCCTGTTGCAGCCGGAGCCGATTTGGTGGACATGCTGCATGACGCAGGGGTTTCTTTGTGCCGCGATATCCAGTTCAGGGTTGCATTCACCCCAGCTGCATAAGCCTAAAGTCCGAAGAACGGTGACAATTAATAGTTTTATTCCATAGACCATATCGCAATGTAAGACCCTTGATGGTACAATTCTTTACCAATTAACCCTTGATCCAGCTGAATCTTGCATTACCGAGACGTTCTACAGGAGATTATGATGCGCTGACAAAGCTGCATGCATAACGCGATCTCCTATCCACCTAATACTCATAAATATCACGCACTCTTGTCACACTTTAAGTTCTAGTTGACTCAGGCACTGTTTCGTGTGGTGGCTTGCATATTGTCACCTTCCTCCTATTGTTCTCCCGTTGTTCCCTCGCCCTCCCAAAACAGACGCCATGCTGATCACTCCCAGCCTTTTGGGCAGCCTCCTCGCCCTACTGGCCTCTCAGAGCGGCGCAGCCTATGCTGCTGACTCGGAGCAGGCCAGTGAAGTCGGCGAGACTGTCAAGGGTGATTACTTGGCTGAGGAGACGTTTCAGCTCACGGACGCCTCACTTCCCCAGATTGATGAGATCGATCCCGATCATGCCTCCCTTTTCTACCCTGAGAATGCATCCAAGCGTCGAAGTCTAAGTTCTCGTACTTCCACGAAATGCAAGACTTTCCCTGGAGATTTTCTCTGGCCCAAGGAGCCTGTTTGGAAGTTACTTAACCTCATCACTGGTGGCGCTCTTGTCAAGACTGTTCCCATTGCAGCGTCATGCTACGATAACCTTGGTGTTTACGACAAGACTCGATGTAGTTATGTCACTGACAATTGGTCCAACTCCTCTCTGCAGTAAGTCAGCCATACACTCCCCTATCTAGTCTGCAGCTAATCCTGTCAAGTATCGCCGACCCAACCTCAGTCATGTGGCCCTTATACCAAGGTCGCACATGCCAACCGGGCGAGACAGTTGTAGGCAACTGCACGCTTGGTGGCTACCCATCCTACGTCGTCGAAGCGCAGAACGTTGCCCACATACAATTGGCTGTTAACCTTGCCCGATCGCTTAATATGCGACTGGTGATCAAGAACACGGGCCACGACTTTAACGGGCGATCTGCTGGTGCCGGCGCCTTGTCGATCTGGACCCATCGCTTCAAGGGTATCCAGTTCTTCAAGACCTATAAGACCAAGTCTTACAGTGGACCTGCCCTCAAAGTTGGAGCTGGTGTTATTGGCTCTGAGCTTTACCAGGCAGCTGATAAGTATGGTGTCACTGCTGTTGGAGGTGAAGGTTTGAGCGTGGGCTTCGCTGGAGGATATCTAGCTGGCGGTGGGCACTCGCCCATGTCCCCTCTCTACGGAATGGGTGCCGATCAGGTAAGACCCTTGGTATAGACATAGACTTGATGACACTCACACTGACGACACAGATTCTCAGCATCGACGTCGTAACTGCAGATGGCCAATTTGTTACCGCCAACCAGGATGAGAACACCGAACTATTCTGGGCCCTCAGCGGCGGTGGCGGAAGTACATACGGTGTGGCGACCTCATACACCGTCAAGGCATACCCCAAGATCAATGCTTCCATCATGACATTCTCTTTCGGCACCAGCGATACAGTCTCTTATGATACCTTCTGGAAGGCTGTGAAAGCTTACTGGAAGGCCATTCCTACCTTCAATGCTGCCGGTAACTATGAGTACTGGGGTGTCTTTCATGGAGAAGGCGACGCACTTATCTTTTCCTTCTTCCCTTGGTTTGCACCCAACCATACTCTTGCTGAATTAAAGACTTTAACTGCGCCTCTTTTCAAGACCTGGAAGGACCTAGGTATCGAGCCCGATGTTGTCGCGTCTGAGCATGATAGTTACTATGGAGCTTGGTCGGCCGGTTTCCCTCGGGAGGTTGTCGGCGGGGCTAAGACCAAGACTGCTGGTCGTCTCTTCCCTACGTAAGGACTCCCCTCACATGGTCGTGTTGGTTATAGCTAACTGTTTCCTTCTCTAGTGAGAACCTTGTAGACCCAGCCAAATTCGACAAGACCTTTGATGCACTCAAGAGTCTTTCCGATAAGGGCGGACAGGTCATTGGGTTTGGTATTACCGGAGGGCCAGGCCCTTACCCAGATAACGCTGTCAACCCTGCTTGGCGAGGTGCTGCTATGTGGGCCATCTCTGTCATTGACTTCCCTGAGGGCAGCTCCTGGGATGTTGTTGCTGAGAAGAGCAAGACATTGACAAACGATTGGATGAAGCCGTGGAGGGATGTGACACCTGGTGGAGGTGCATACGCCTCCGAGGCCGATGTGACTGAGCCTAACTTCCAGCAGTCCTTCTATGGTGCTGATAAGTATAAGAAGCTTCTTACCATTAAGGACAAGGTCGATCCTTATGGTCTGTTCTATGCGCTTCAGGGTGTTGGTAGTGAGCGGTGGTATGTCACTGACCAAGTTCCTGGTGTGCCTACCCAGAATGGTCGCCTCTGTCGCGTGTAGATCGAAGTTCGCGATAGTTGGAGGAGGAGGATCAATTCAATTGTGCCGTTATAGTGGACAAGATCGCTTTTAATATACTTCGAGAGATTGGCCCAAACAGTTTGATCCTGAGTGATCACGAAACTTGTTCCTTGATATTCTGATGAGGTGCCCTGTCGTCCTCCAAAGGGCAGCTGCGTCAACATGCCAAAGTCCCAGGCCGGATTTATGCGGTCAACAAAAAGGTCTTCGCATGAAGGAGACAACAGAAAATCACAATTATGCCAAAATATCATTCGCCAGTCTTATAAGCGATATCCACCATAATGGCAGTCTATGCTTATTCTGCAGCTATGCGCAGCGATTTGCCCTAAAAGGAAGCTGTACCTTGCTTATTTTTAAAATTAGAGTCAGAAATCTGATGTGATCGACAGCTGACAACATATTTAACTGACGTATGAGAGGCTGTGGAAACAAGGTAAACAATGCAGATCGCGGGCTGTGCCTACATCCTCTCGGGTATAAAAGCACGGGCAGAAACGGTGCCATAGCTTCTAGCAAAAGTCGGCGATTAACTTTAGAGAGATTAAGTTCATCATGATCACTCAAGGCCTCGTCTGGCCCGTGCTTGGCCTTCTTGTCAACCCCGTTTCTGCGGGTACCATTCGTCAATCAGCACTAAAGTTAACCGTCAAACACGAGGGTACACTCAACCCAGCAATCAATGCCGACTTTCCAGATCCATCAATCATACAACTCGAAGATGGATCATGGGTAGCTGTCGCAACAAACGGTGGTCCGCCAGACAACTACAGAAAACTTCAAGTCGCCACAGCCAAAGATCTTCTCGGCGAATGGGCCGTACTCCAGGAAGATGCCCTCCCCGATAAAGGCTGGACAACGGGCGAGAATACGTGGGCGCCTGATATTCGCCGCATCGACAGCGGAGAATACGTCGTTTACCTGAGTCCTGAGATCGAAGCTGGGAGACACTGCATTGGTGTCGCGCGCTCAAAGAATGCTACTGGTCCTTACACATATGATCAGAAACCTCTCGTCTGCGGTCCAGATGACCTCAAAGGCGCCATTGACGCGAGCGGCTTCAAAGACCCCGAAAGCGGGAAGAATTATCTCATCTACAAAATCGAAGGTGATGCATCAGGTCCAGCGGGCGGCACACCAATTATGCTCCAAGAAATCGAAGGCGACGGCGTTACCTTCGTCGGAGATGCCGTAAAGATCTTCGACCGCATTGGTAGTGAAGACGGCGTTCTCGTTGAAGCACCAAACATCGTACGCCTTGGCAACGGGAAATACGTCTTGTTCTTCAGCAGTCATGATTTTCGTGATCCGCTGTATAATGTCAAGTATGCTTATGCGGATAAGCTGTCGGGTCCTTATACGCGTGCGGAAGAGCCCTTGATTGCGGCGCCGGACTTTGGGCTTGATGCGCCTGGTGGAGCGACGAGTAATGAGGCGGGAGATACTTTGGTTTTCCACGGGTGGTGTCCTGATAACAAGAACATTCGATGTATGTATAGTGTCGAGTATGAGTATGAGTGAGGAGGGCTCAGTCACGATGTTGGAGTGTCTAGCAGAGAAGCTGTTTTCACCAAAGGGTTAAGGGCCTACTTACAGTCTCGAGACCTCCATTATAGGATACAATAAGCTTCTTGAAGAAGATATACCAGCCATAAAGGACATTACTCCGAAATAAGACACCTTAATTTCCATTTGTGCTTGAAAGCATTGCAATTCGCGACATACAAGACAAGAAATATACCTAACTAACAAAAAGACTTCGCATCATGCTCAGCTATGAAGAAACTTGAGCTGGGGGAACTTCTCCTCCAACTTGTTCATGAACTCATATCTTGCCTTTTCCTTTACATGCACTGCAATCCCTCCAAAGAAACCTACAGACCATCCAACCATGAACACACCGAAGCCAACCATAGCTAAGGGCGGCACACTAGCCATACCACCCAGAGCGGCTACTCCCCATCCGCCGACGCAAACGTTGCCGGCCGTATGGTCCCACTTGATCTCCTTATGGCAGGCTTGGCGGAGTAATATCATCAGTCGCTTGAGGACCCGGATGACATGCCGCGATGGCCGGACAATGATGTAAGCGAGTCGGATCGCAAGGTCATGGCAGTTCCAAAAGATCGGCATGTACGTCCAATCTTCTCGAAGCGCTGTATAGTCTAGACAATTTAAGTCGATATTCTAAGAATATGTAGCCCTCCCTGCCTTACATACCTCGAGTTATCTCCTTATTGGACATATCCGTCTGCCCAATGACCTCTCCACTGTCTATGTTTTCAATGTCCCCGTCGGACCAGGGGATGCACGCATTGAAGATTGCTGGTCTCATACTACTGTTGCTTCGGCTACTCCTGGACGGCGACATCATAGTGAAATCGCCAGGGTGATCCCAGAACCTTGCCCCTCTGAACTTCTGGAGCAAGCTCACGGATGTACTCTCCCAAAGCTCACGGTCCATGACACACAGGGCGTAGTGCGTCGTGAATCTGAACCTGGATGCTAGATCTGGCAGAGCGCTGTTCTCATGGCTTGACCAATCAATTTCAGTACTTGGCGGTGCTCGGTACCCAGTCGCTTGAACGATCGTCTGGAACGATTCGCCTACCGGAGTGGTTATGAGAAGTACAACTCGTCGGCCTGCGTATCAGAAATTTTTTATCACTAGCTCTCGATAAAGATTGTAGCTGAGTGCCAGAACTACCTTCATGTCCGAGGGACTTTGCTTCGTTTGTCGGGTGTTCTGACGCCATCTCCCGAATTCAGCAACACCTAGACTTATAGGAAGAGCGGCAATCACAGGGCTAAAGGGGATAAGAACAAGAGTAACACTCAAGCTAGAATATAAACAGGTGTTAAGTTCTTAGTGCAGTGAGATGCTTATGTATTGTGAAAGGATGGATGGATGCCTCTCGAGAGCGCCTACCAGTCCGCCTTACAGGTGCATCTACACCCTTTTCGCCCAGCGGCCCCGAGTGCGGCCAGTGGTTGGTCGAATGAGGGCTTCCTCTGGCGGTAATGGAGGTACCAACAACGCAGGCAGTGTCTGTTAGCTCTGGCCGCCGGCGCCCAGAGGCAGAGTGCATGCACATACATTGTAAGAGTTTCACTTACCGCTAGGTCACCGTCTGTTGGCCTTACTGTATTTTAGGTATTATTGCAATTAAAGAATACTTAACTAATACCAACTAACAAGGAGGCGAGTATTTTGAGTTCTTGTAATAACCTCAAAAAAGATATTTCATGTTTAAATTAAAAAAGACAATATCCAGTGAATTTTCGACCACGCCAGGAGTCGAACCTGGAATCTCTAGAGAGTTCGGGAACTGGAAACCGAAATCTAGCGCCTTAGCCATTAGGCCACGCGGCCGGAACTGTCGATGATCGGCTCGCTTCTGGCAGCGCTCAAGTTCTCGACGCGTCCCAGCGCGTGATAACACGAGGAATAGGGTAGTTGACATCGATGTAAAGAGTTCTGTTTATTTTATTCTAATCAATCTCATCTCACTACCCTTGTTTACATAGAAAATAATTCAAAGGCGGTAGAATTTGTTTTAATTATAGTGAGTTGTTCTTATCTCTTAGGTATATATATCTGGATTATTATCTCGATTCGACATAACTGGAGATGAAATGTTAAGTAAGCACAGATGAACCCAACCTAAACCTTAGTCCCATATACCGAAGCTTATCTGTTGAAGGCAAACCCTCTGCCCAAGCACTGCTTTGCCAAATCTACTTAGCCTCCTGGATCTTCAAGACCTTCTGCAAACTAGGACGCTTGCGCATATTCTCAGTCCACTTCTTAACATGCGGGTAATTATCCTGATTAAACTCCTCGTCGGGGATCCGCGGCTCAGCTGTATTCTGCCAAGTAAAGAACGCGACATCCACATACGAGAGCCGACCGCCCAAGAACCAAACATTTCCATCCGCATCAGGCTCCTGCTTCGCCAGATGTGCATCCAGCACGCCAGTTACGCGATTGACCTCTTTGAAATAGCGCTCCCGAGCTTCAGGAAGTGGCTGGTAGATGATGAACCACATCGCCTGGCCGTAATACGGTCCCTGGCCGGTGGTCTGGAAGAAGAGCCACTGGCGAGCGTGGTAGGCTTCAGCCGTGCCGGGTGTGAAGCTAAGCTTGTTTTCTTTGTCGTAGGTCTCGGTCAGGTACTCGATGATGGCGCCTGATTCCCAGAGAGTGAGGTTTGTGTTTGGGTCCTGGATAGAAGGCAGTCTCCCGTTGGGGTTGATGGCGACATACTTGGGGTTTTTGACGTCGGTGAGAGGGATGATTTCCGTCTCGTAAGGTAGTCCCAGTTCCTCGCATAGGAGGATAACCTTGCCAGCATTGGGTCCATGGATTCCCAGTACTTTGATAGGCTTTATTTCTGCCATTGCGATAAAAGGTGATTGGTATGACGGCAGATGGAAAGGGCACAGATGTGAATTGTATATGATGATGAGTAGAGAGGATAGAGTGTTGAATGGACTTCTTCCCATGGGAGTTGTATCTTTTTAAATACATAACTGTCCCTTCCTACACCCGGCAGAATCAACACTAAGCATGAGCGCGGAGGGGACTGACAAAGCAACCAAACGCTGGTATAACATGTGATTAGTCAAGTTGTGATGAGGTTCGAGGGTTCGTCATGATTATCCTCATGTAAGCCTGCTTCCGCGGAACTGGTAGCTCCGATTTGATTGGCTGGCTTATCATGGACAGCAATCAACAAAACTCCCGACTCCGAATTGCTTTACAAATTTACTACTTTTATAGATTTGCTTTACTGAGTTACTCGAAGAAAAGATGACTTAAATTTGGGACAGACCGATATTAATTGTCTTCGAACCTAGTTAGCAGAGCGATGAATTCAATGCGGTCCGCAACATGAGCTCATGCGAATCATCCACAACCGCCACAACCATGCATATCCAGTCTAATACACATACAAACACGTTTCAAAAGTTCCAAAATTATTACTCAAAGATCATCGTAAAAACTCTTCTCATTTACGAGGTCCTGCTCGTCTCCGAAGACTACATCCGATAGCCCGATTTTGAACCGAGACAGTCCCACTCTCTCGGTTATGGCGATCGGAGTCCGACTCGGCTGAAGTCACCATCTCGCAGGAAACTCAATTGGAGTCCGTCAAATGGCACGGGACTGAATAATATTATCAGTCACGACACTGGCCAAATACGAATATAAATACGATCTCCGCCACCTCCTCCATGCCAAGAATTGAATAATACTCTGCAGACTGACAATCCCATCGACGAGTCTTCAATTAGCAATGTCACGCGTCGCTTCGCTATCACGACGTCATCTTCTCACCTCCCTCAATCAACAACCTAAACGCTACTTCTCAGCTACCATGGCTCAAGCAAAGGATACCTGGTCCGCAGACCAATATGTCAAATTCCTCAAAGATCGTACTCGTCCTTCTACAGATCTTCTCGCCCGCGTTCCCAACACTTCTCCCAAGCGCGTCGTGGACGTTGGCTGCGGTCCCGGCAACTCAACCGCCGTCTTAGCCGAGCGCTATCCCGACGCTCAGGTCTCAGGTTTTGATTCCTCAGCTGATATGATCAAGAAGGCGAAACAGACTCTTCCGAATGTTTCGTTCGAAGTCGCTGATCTTTTGACCTACCAGCCTGAGGAACCTGTTGACGTTCTCTTCTCCAATGCCGTTTTTCAGTGGTTGCCTGATGGGCAACGCATTGAGATTGTGAGAAAGCTTCTTGAGCATGTTGCGCCCGGTGGAAGTTTCGCTTTCCAGGTCCCTTTCAATCTTCAAGAGCCAAGCCACGTTTTGATGAGAGAAACAGCGGATACACCCAACATGCCTTGGACGGAGAAACTCAAAGCTGCTAACTACTCCCGAAACCAATTTCCTTCGCCAACTGAGATCTGGGATGGATTGAAGCATTTGTGTTCTGATCTGGATATCTGGCAGACGACTTACATGCATGTTATGGAGAATCACGAGGGGATTGTTGAATGGGTCAAGGGGACTGGTCTTCGACCGTATCTCGATCCGTTGTCCGAGTCTGAACAGGAAGCATTCGTTGAGGCTTATCTAAATAAGCTGAAGAAGGGTTATACTGCACAGAAAGATGGGAAAGTTCTCTTGCCGTTTCCTCGGTTGTTTGTTGTTGCGACAAAGGCATAAATATGGCCGAAGCATCGTATGTATTATTGTAGATAGAAGAATACTCTAGGAGACCGAAATAAACACCAAGCATAGTTGAAAATTTGCCGCCTGATGAGGGACAGACTTTGACTGTGTGATTGGGTCCAAGGGATGTGCGCGTTAGCCGTCGTGGCGAAGGACATATGGCTAACAAGTAAGATTTGTTTTTGCATATCGCATACTTATTCATTATGCGACATAGGCGCTAGAATAAAAAATGTGCAGCTTTGTAATGGTGGTGTCGGCTAGTTGTATTGCTTCTGGTTGCCTTAATCTGCCTTTTGGAGTTCTTACTACTGTAGGCGCACTGGATGTATTCTATTGAGGGAATAGCCACCATGTAATTGGCAAACAGGGTTGTATTTTCATCTCATTTGAACGCCTTGCGGCTGTGCATATGCATGCTCCGCCCGCCATTCCACACATAATATTCGATACAAACATCTCCTTATCTCTATCCCCTTCTTTATCTTTAAACAATCATTATAACACGTTGAAAAGGCTCTTTGATAAGATGTCGTTTGGATACTCCGTCGGCGACGTGATTGCCGGCGCCAATCTGACATATCGGCTCATCAGGATCATGGCAGACACCGAAGGCGGCTCCGACGAGTATGTTGAGGCCATGTCCGAGTTAGCGGCGATGCAACAGGCATTTCTCCAAATTAGCGAAATCCGGAACCATAAAATGCTCCCGCCCGCCACAGTCAACGCAGCATCTCACATTGTTCTATCATCAATGGACACCATCGCCAAGTTCCTCGAACGCACCAAGCAGTACCAGCGCCGGCTCGAAGATCCTAGAATCTCCAGTTTTCAGAGCTCGTGGCACAAAATAGGATGGACGCTGTACAAGTCTCATGAACTGCGCACTCTTCGAGATGCTCTCCATTCTAGACTCACATCGGTCCAAGTCCTGCTGTCGGCGGCTTCTTAGTGAGAAGACACCCCGCTAGGATGAGAACCTATTGAGTAAGTGTTTGCTGACGTATCTAGCTGTACACCTCTACCAGCGAATGTGGCCCGATATCAAGCCGCCGATCAAAATTCTCATGGTCCGTCTATTGCGGAAGCATCACCGGCCCCTCCTCATTCTCCAGCAAGCGGAAGCGACCATGAGCGAGATGCAGACGTGGCAGAAAAGAATCACAAAGGTTCGAGTTTGTCGTCTCCGTCGCCAGAACAGAAATTTCGGACCATCCAAACTTCAGAAGGAAGCAGCCTGCGTCAATTCATCCACTTCAAAGATGCAGTCGGCAGGAAGTTCAACTTCCCCTGGGAGAAATCCAGGAAATGGAGTGTAAGTCATGTCCCAGTGTCATATTCACACATAACCAGCCATTCACTATTGCGCGAGAGTTTTGCTAAATTCTTGGTCACTAGGATCTTGAAGATCTCATTAAACAGGCCTTTGACCAGGTGGACGTCCTGGGGCCGCACGTGATAGAAGGCCATTACGACTTGATAGGCCCAGACGGTAAGATTATCTTACCGAGCATTTGGGAGGACATCGTGGAGCCAGATATGGACATCATAATGACCATGTGGCCCGTGGAAACCATTAATAAACCGCCGTTACTACCCAGGGTGAGACCTCCTAGGCCACCACCCATAGTCGAAAGGCGCAGAAATCAAGGACCTGGAAATCCACCACCTAGAAGGGAATTCATGTCAGATACCCCAGGAATGCAGCATTGGAGGGATGATAGAGTAAGAGTCACCGCCGTGAACACGACTCGTGATGCCAGCCATCGCAGCTCCAGAACACCAGAAGTTCTACCTTTGCCGATACCATCAACTCCTCATGCGATCGCACAAGGACATATAACCACACCGGGGAGTGAAATTGAGACCTGTGCAAGTTCCAAAGAGTCACGTTACCGTCACCCTCAGCCAGGCGACGCAAGGGACTCGCAAGAACCCCGTCCGAAACAGAGGCTTATGTCTGATGAAGAGTTCATAAGACGTATCAGCGGCTTGGATGCCATCACGAAACCAGCAGTCATGGAGATAATCAAGGAGATGGAGAAGCGTTCCAGGATCACGCAAGCACAATCTAAGGAGATAATTAAAAGTCTCGAAATAATGCCTCTAGACTCATTCGAAGACTCTGTCCGCGCTTATCAAGCTGAAATGTCTTCCCAGCAGATTGGCCCGGAAAGAAGCTCAAGTCGAGACTCTCCCCGTGGAAGCTCTCCGGTTCCAACATACTTGAGGGATACTGTTGACAAGGGCAAAGCGAAACGACGCGAGAGGGAGGAGGATGGCTTATATTCTGCTGATGGTCAAGATCATGACTCTGTTGCCCCTACGAGTGACTGGGAAGACTACACAGAAGATGAAGAAACAATTACAGAAGACGGAGATGACGATCCGGCTTCCTAAATCCACCTGGAGCCTAACCAAAGGCCCAAAGGCCCAGACATATCCTGGGATCCCAAATCCGAATTCTCACTGGCCGAATTGGTGCGAGATGCGCTTAAATTAGCAGCATAGCAATAGAATTACATTAAATCACTGGCCGAATGTTGTTTGTCGACTGGATAGCTTGTGCCCATCCAAGGCAATTTTGACATGTTTGAGCTTAACGTGGCGGAATATGCGACCAAGGCCGACGAGTTACGTGTCGAACAAGCTAAGATTTGGTTGACAGACCCTGGATCGTCTCTTGTCAATTACCAATCTCATCAGAACACCCCAAGCACCCCTCATCTTTCGTCGATTCTTCTAACGCTCAATCATGGTCGAGCGGCTCCAACGTTTAATCCAGTGGCATGACCAAAGAACCTCACTCGGGAGAGATGGCAATACTACTGCAGCTCATGCGGAGGACGGTCTAGCTAACGGAAAGGAGAGGAAATTGACGAAGAACCTACGACAAAGCTTTAGCACCAACCCCGACGCAGTACCTGCGTTAGACAGCAACTTCTACTCGCTGAGTTATTTCACCTCATCACTCGCCGGGCAGTACGCCATATCGAACCCGCTATTCAACAGGAATAAGAAGGCTGAGATCTAGACGAGCTATCAAAAGACCTTCTACACGATGCTCACACCGTCGTTGCTGGCAGAGTCTCACGAGCGCTGTCACATATGCTTGGAGTCCAGTAGCTAGTATTCCGCTGGCAATGTGTATGGTCTAACGCTTAATATAGCGGCATTGCTGATTATCCAGGACTCGGTGAGTCGGATCAAAGAGACTAATAGATATAATGAGGGTTTGGTGTTTGCTGTCAATGAGTTGGAGAAGGAGTCGGAGCAGAATCGGACTGTAGAGTCGTGAAGAGCTAGAAGTTGAGGAGGGACAGAATTGGGTGGGAAAAGAAAGCATTTCGAAAAAAATTAATTAGTCTATTCCACTAGGGCCTGAACTGATACTTTGCGTATTACTAACCGCAGCAAAGAATACAACTTCCGTGAACGTGAATTGTATGTAGCAAGTGGAATATGCATCTATCGAAACAATACGGAAATTTCTGCACGTGCCACAACCGGAGTTTGCCATTCCTCCCCGGACAACACTACAATCCAAACAGCACCGATAATCCTGCATGGCGGACCGAGAAGAAAACAGTCCTGCCGTAGAGGCACAAGGCTCAGATGAGGGACCTCCTTCGAAAAGACAAAGAGGCTTCATCGCCAGGCAGGTAAGCTTGCTCCGGGCTCACCGCGGATGACATGACTCAAACATGATAGGCATGTGAATACTGCCGTCAGAAAAAGACAAGATGTGATGAAGATTTCCCATGTGGGCTTTGCAAGTCCCTCGGTCTTCAATGTAAATTCACCCAAAGAAAAGCAACGCGGTATGTCTCAACCTCCCTCACCGAAACGCCAACACTAACAGTATCAGGAATGAAGCTTCTCTCGGCATGATCGTCAACATCCTCCGTCGCATCGAAGGTAAAATCGACGATTCAAAGCTTGACCCAAACCCTGCAGAGAATCACCGCTCAATCGCCGCCGCCTTACGCCCTTTCAACCCTAGATCTCCCGCAAACTCAAGCGAAGTCCTCGGCGTGCCGTCCTTTCTCCGTCAGGAAACCATCGATTCACCAGCTGCACCGACTGATCCAAATCCCGCCATCTCCTTCAGCGCGCATCAAGTACTCTTCTGGACAGCTATACAGTCTGCACTACCTGAATCTGTAAAGTTAATGTGTCAGATGCAAGGCAGTACATACTCAACACGCCTCGAAGCTTCACGGCCGAAGCTTCCGCACGCTACGTCGGTGGATATATCATCGGATTGGTTGTCTAAGCTTAGTATTGCGACCTTGAAACAGTTATCTGATGTTTATTTCACGACTTTTAATCTAGTAAATCCTATTTTGGACCAAAAGACGTATTTCCAGCGCACCCTTGGTGTTGCCATTGATGGAAACTTTGGGATTTGTATTGAGAGCTGTATAGTTCTTGTTGTTATGGCTTTAGGGTCAATGGGGCAAAAAGCGCTACAAGAAGCTAGATTTGCTGGAACACCGGCGTCGAGTCCGCATGTTGGACAAGACGCCGAGATGCCGGGATTGGACTTTTTCAATGAGGCGAGGAAACGGTTCGGGTTTTTGATGTGTGAGCAGGATTTACAAGCTTGCCAGTTCTATCTACTATCAGGGTAAGATTCTACGTTGGGCCCAGGGATCATAGCTGACGCTGACAGATTGTTCTACGCCGAGGCTTTGAGACCCATCGATTGGTGGGCCATGCTCAGCAAAGCGAGCGCATGCAGCGCCTACTTCTGGAACAAGTAAGCCACCTTCTACCATATATCAAAGCCATCTAACTCTCCTAGCGTATCCCGAGATCGCGATGAGTGGATGCTGGACATGCAATCCCGCCTCTTCTGGATAACAAGCATGTTCGAAGCCGTCCTATCACAAGAACTTAACCTCCCTCCCAGTAATTCCCTGCATCTCGAGGAACACATCGCCTTACCAAAGTTCATCTCCGCTCAGGACATAGCATCATTTGGATCGTTTCGATATCCAGGTGATGATCCATTCTTTCACTATCATTTCTTATCGCAGCTTGCGCACCGACTTATCTTGACGAGAGCGAGGAATAGTTTGTTCCACTTTAGTAAGCTTTGAGGTCCGTCGTGGTAGCAAAGGATGAGATACTGACCAAGGTAGACGCTACTGCGGATTATCCGCCTGAACCTGTTGAGGATGAACTTATCAGACAGTTGGAGCAATGGAGGGAACGACTACCGCCTATGCTTCAGTTTGATCCAAAATCGCCTCTGACACAGGCCGACTCTCCTTCTGATGCGTTGGTGACGGCTTGGCTACATGCTCGGTATTTTGTAGCGAGATATCACATCGGTCGACCTCTACTGTAAGTACATGTATCTAGTAGACCTCAGAATACTGACCTTGAAAGGCACCGGGCCCTGGAAAGACCAGCATCTCTAACCGAAGGACATCTCCGAAAATGTCGAGACGCTATAAGCGCTGTTCTCGCCTGGGCTTCCGTAATTCAAGTTACCGACACAATGAGAAGCTGCAATCCTCTCAAGTTTTTCGTCTGCAGCCAGTAAAACTCCCTATCCCTCTCGCTTATAGCATTTCTAATCAGTTCCCAGAATATTCGGCCAAATATGCGTCATATACGCTCTTAGCGTCTCGCCATACCCCTACGTCCGTGACATTGCATCAGATGTCAACAAAAAATGGACAAACTTCGCTCTGAGTTATCTCGAAGCTGGAGCATTTTACAGTCCGGCAATAGAGCAGGATTTTAAAATAGCCAAGATTCTGTCTGAGGATATAGGAAAGACATGAGCGTTATCGCATAGGTAGATCAGACTACTTACATGGTTCCGCTTCGGCTCAGAAAGTACATGTAAATCCGTAAACCTGTCGGTTTTACGTCATTATCACCCCGTTGATCGCTATCGGACTCATCGTGTTTATCGGACTTTAGACTATTGTGGACCGAGTCGCGTCCGGATCTCTAGCCTCTTTTGCATTCTGGAGTTAGTGCCTATGACGCGAACATCTCTCAGTTTCCACCACCGGTACAACTGCAATGCCGAACTTCCGTAGTCGTTTTCATATATCTACACGTAACAATTTCGATATTCTTTTACACAACCATACTATTCGATTATACTGTCTTTGGTAAATCTCACAAATCATCAAAATGTCGCAAAATGGTCTCGCCTTCAACTGCGCCGTCATCACTGGTGGAGGCGGCGGTATCGGCCGTGCACTAGCCGAGTATTTGATCTCCAAGGGCAAAAAGGTCCTTCTTGCTGGACGAACTGAGTCGAACCTCAAGTCGACTACTCAGGAGATTGGTGCTGCTGGTTATTATGTTCTTGATACCGGCAAGACGGTCGATATCCCCGCCTTCGTCAAGAAAATCACTAGTGAACATCCCGAGCTTGACTGTCTTATCAATAACGCTGGTGTTCAGCGCCCGATTGACGTTCTCAAGAACGATGATTTCCTCGAAAAGGCCGACCAGGAAATTGACATCAACATCCGCGGACCAATGCATCTGTCCTTCGCCTTAATCCCTCACTTCAAAACCAAGCCCAACGCGCTCATCGTCAACATTACTAGCGGTCTAGCGTACATTCCCTTCTCGGTCATCAACCCTGTATACAACGGTACCAAAGCTTGGCTACACTTCTTCTCCATGAATCTGCGCACTCAACTGAAGAACACCAACATTCGCGTTGTTGAGATTGCCCCGCCGATGGTGGAGTCGAATCTTCATCGTGAGAGGGAGAATCCTGATGATAACAAGAAGGAGCATGCGCCGCATACATTGACGATGGAGGAGTTCATGGGAGAGATTGTGCCTAAGTTTGAGAAGGGTGATGATACGATTGGGGCGGGTATGGCCGCTAAGGCTATTGATACGTGGTATGGAGCTTTTGGGGGGCTGTATGAGGGTGTTGCTAAGGACTATAAGAGTGCCCTGTGAGTGGCAACCAGGTCTAGGTCAGAAAGTAAATCAAATAGTGGGCCACCAAGTAGGTTGCAGGCCATCTTACGAGCCCACCATTCTAAACAATTCGACCATTATCAAATTTCGCTTATCCAAGAGCTCTTGTCTTCGTGCTTCATCCGTGGTCTCCTCAAGTTCATCGTTTACCTGACGGAGGAAATAAAGACCTGCATTCAACCGTCTTTGCCGCCGGTTCCTCCCACGGTGTGCTGCCTGCTCCCTGGTCTTTTGTCGGGCCCTCGACTCTACCTTCTTCTGGGATATGAAAGTGTCCCAAAGACTGAACAGGAGGGTAATAATGCCAATACAGAGAGACACCATCTGGTCTAGTTCTGTAATATCAGTCGTGGTTCTTGGAACGAAGAACAGGGTGGAAACACCCGAGTTCGGTGATGGTATGAAGCTGGTTTCTCCTAACGCTCCCAAGGGCGTGCTTATAGAGGCGAAAGTAGCGAGAAGGGAGAGGGGAATTGAAAGCAGCGTCAAAAACCGCATGGCGTTTCCATGTCGGGCTTCTCCTTCGGTGAACTGGAGTGCCATGGCGGATTGTTGTTGGGTTTCCAACCGTACTGCCGAATCTATATCCAAAGCCTGTCCCACCAGGGCTGCCCTCACTTCTATTTCGAGCTCGGGATCGACGGACTCCATCTCCTTTTGTTCCTCGGGTTCCTCGATTATGCCTAATCGTAGCCACATTATAAAAATACTGAAGACAGCAAGCCATACTGCCACAAAGACCACCAACGAAACCATAACCTCGAAGAAGTTGAAGAGAAATGGGCGTGTTAGATTTGTGTCGGATACCCTGACTCCCTTCATTTGCGTAAATACAACTGCCTCGGTCGAAAAGGCCAGTAGGCCAACAGTAACGACGGCTAATGTACGCCTCAGATGACCGAAGAACATTGAGACGAACACCAGAAGGACGGCTATCGCAGAGAATGTTTCGCATACGTCGAGCGCCGCCTCTGCAGCTGCTGCATGCTTCACTACTTCTGAATCTGCGCTGGTAAAGAGATGCAGGATGGATTCATGGTTTGAATTGCCAAAGAAGAGCATATATATAGCATGCCCTGCTGCGACACCTGGCACTGCTAAAACGACAACGAGATCCGCGCTGATGCTATCTTTACGACGATACTCCGCATTCAAGCACCAAGTGGTCACGACAGATACCACCATGCAGAGCCATGAGGCGATGTTTCCTGGGCCGTAGAAGGATGCGACTAAGGAGAAGCGTTCACCATGCAAAGGCGCGTCACTCATAGTATCGACTATGGCTCACTTCTGAGCTTGTCTTTTGCTGACAATTGATCAAAGTACGAGCTTCCTAGATAAAACACCGGGAAAATAAGAAATAAGCGCCAGCCTTATTAGCATTATCCGGATATCGGATAAACTCAAGTTGCCGATACCTAACTCGTCCCCTTAAGCACTTCAGCTGTTATTGGCTGCAGACCTTGATTGGGGTGTACTTATTATGCGTTCTGCTTACAAGGCATAGATACCAAATGTTCTTCATAGCGCGAGGTACTGCAAGTTATGATATAAAATTGGCAATTCTGTCAACAGGTATATTCAAAGAATGGACGACACGACAACTGCTAGATCCACAGTTAATTTATCAAATAGAATCTGAGGATGATCATAGCATCTTACATATCAGGCATCAATCCTAAGCATACCTAGGCGGCTTCTCATCAGGATATCCACTCAAACCCTCATTAGGCCTATCCGCCGCCAACGGCTTCTCATTATCTCGTTGCACATGCGCAGGTGGCTCAACGCCCTGCTTCTTCCATTCTCGACGAGCAATCATATCGTCAACGCCGCGCATATCCTGTTTTCCCTTGTCGGCGATAGCTCTATTATCGGCGCTATCTTTGAGAGTTTCTGGGTGTCTAGGGTCGGTGTCGAAGACTTGATCTGTTGCATCGAGGGCTTCGCCTCGTATAGCGTCGCCGGCTCCGCGGATGCCCTTTAGGCCTGTCTTGACGTCGTCGATGATTTTTGACATTTTGATGGGTTTGATGGTTGTTGGGTAGAGGCTTGGCTTACTGGTCGGTTTATATCCCATGTTGATGTATGACGTAACCTGGGACATGACGTAGGGTTGGCTCGTCTCGGATCCTCGGAATAAACCTGATGTCACAACTATGTAGCGTACACGCCATTGATTACTTAAGATGAACTGGTACTAAAGTAATTGGAAGGTATTTGAACTATTAATCAGAATTGCCTACCACGAATCGACAAGTCAAAGCAAATTAGAAAATGTCCCTCCGGTACAGCTCGTTTGTTGACATGTAATGGGATGAGGAGTCATTATCCAGGTTTAGCTTTTAAATTCATCAGCTTTAGGCTGTAGCAATTGATTAGTCATTATGGTATAGTGGCTTAGTTATTTGCTAGATGTATTATTTACAGGTGGCTTGTGGTGGAGAGCTTAAATCAGCAGACAGAACGTAGAGAATTTGCGGTTGCTTTGCTGGCTCTCATCCTTATAACCTTTTCTGAAACAATAATGGAGTCATGTGTAGCTGATTCTATTGACTTAGGTGGTAATGCGATAATTGCCTTCCAGAAGCTGGATTTGATTGAGTTTTTCCAGTGCGTTGGCTTGATATGTGTTATTAAGACATTGTAAGCGTTATGTATCAATCAATCATTGACTATCAATTGAAGTTATAGTACCTATAGCGATACAGTGGATGTTTCTAAACGTATGATATTAATATATCTGCAGTGTTCACACAGATGTAGAATTAATGAATAATGGGAATATCACAAATCGCAAATAAACAGATCAATCATCACTATCCACCTCCGGCGGGGGAAGAAGACGGGGATTCTATACGGAACGTGCCTAAAAAGTCATTTCATCTTCCTGTATAATCAGGCTGAATAGCTAGCCCGGAGTAAACCATAAGGTTAATAGACATAAGCGTTTCAATGAGAGGTGATCAAAACCAGAAAGGTAATTCGCAAAAGCTCAAAAAGCACTCTCCCACCGGAGCCCCCGCCGGAGATCTTTAGAAGCCACGCTTTGGGCACTTTGGCCGCTTTGACGGTGGGAGCCTTGCATCCTTGCCTTTAATGAATCGACAGACCTTCCCCGCAAACAGGTCACAAGAACGAACAGGTTCCGTATTACCAGGATCTCAATTGCCGGTTATCCGTGGCCGTACCTTTTTCCCCCGCAAAATATTGCAGGGTTCTCCAGGAAAGATACGTAGATCATGAGTATAGACTGTATTATATAAAGGAGGTCATTTACAGTAGATGCTGTCGTAGAACAGCATCAATTCAAGCATTCCCTTCAAGCACCTCTCAACAATGTGGATGATCAAAGCCTGCTCAGTCCTCGCCGCTGTCTGCACTGTAGCTGCTGATAGCGCCGGGCCCACGATCGACTTCTCCTCCAACATTGGCACTCCCAAGCACCTCGCCTCAGGCATTCTGTACGGCATTCCTGACAACACGGACCAGATCCCAGACAGTCTTCTCTCTGGGTTCGGCTTCAACTACTATCGCGGTGCAGGTGCCCAAGTCTCTCATGGTTGGAGCTACAATGAGGCTAGCTTTCAAGAGCGTTTCGCCAGTGCGCACAACAACTACATCGTCACGCGTCGTCACAACGGTGGCTTTGTCTTGTTGCTGAATGACCTCTGGGGCTTTGACTGCTCTTCTAACAACAGCACCTCACCGGGTCCAGGTGATAATGGTGACTGGTCATCTTATGACAAGTTCGTCCAAGCTATCATTAAAAACATCAAGAAATACAAGATGCAGAAAGGTTTGGTCATTGATATCTGGAACGAGCCTGAGGGGGGGTGCTTCTGGGGCCGTAGCATTGACCAGTGGCTGCAGATGTGGGGTCGTGGCTGGCACCAGTTCAAGTAAGTTGAAGACTTGTCTCTATTCACGGCGTGGATCATATACTGACTATCCAGTGATGCTTTCGGGAACAAGGTGTTGACATCCGGACCAACTCTCGCCGGCCAACCAGGAACAGACAATCCCTGGTGGACAGAGTGGGCACAATTCGTCAAGAACAACAACTCCATCCCTGACCAATACGTATGGCACGAGGAAGGCGGTTCAGGCTCCGACTTCGAGTACAGCTACGGCGTCTTGCAACAGATCCTCAGCCAGTACGGTCTTCCCCAACGCCAAATCAACATTAACGAGTACGCCACGTACAATGAACAAGTCCCCGCCGGATCTGCATTCTGGATTTCTCAGCTCGAGCGCCGTAATGCTATCGGTCTTCGGGGTAACTGGCTCGGAGGCACCCAACTCCACGACTTGGCTGCTAGTCTCCTGTCCAAGCCTGATCCCTCCAACTACGCTTCTACAGGATACTATCCCAACGGAGATTGGTGGGTGTACAATTACTACTCTCAAAACATGACGGGCAAGCGTGTTCCGACTTCTGTGTCTTCTGATGGTCGGTTTGATGCTTATGCGACGGTGGATAAGACAACTCGCACCGCCAGAGTATTGCTTGGCTGCCATCCGCCTACAACTGGTACTTATATTGTGACATTCTCGGGCTTGAAAAAGTTGGGACTTCCCCGTTCTGGAACACTTCAGGTCAAGACCTTGAAATTCGCTGTGGGCGATGACGTGCACTATAGCCAGATGGGACCTCCTCAGGATTTGGGCAACTATGGTCACACTATCAGCAACTATCTGGTTACGTTGCCGTTCTATCAGACTGACGACGTGACTACCTACGCGTGGGAGTTTCAGTACTAGATGGATGTGTACATCCTGGGATGTTGGAATCTTCCGTGGGGGACTGGTGGATGGCTAGCCTGTGATGGAAGTTGAGTGGTGAATGGGGTTAACCGGTGATGGTGTAAGGGGGTGACAAGGAATCGGGTCAGATCAAATTGTGCAGGTGATAGCCTTAGGTTAGGCTCAGTTAGCTAACAAGACTCAATTCACACGAAGGGGGAACGATCTCGTGCATAATAAGAGTATTAATTACTAGTGAATCTGAAGGATATGTTGATAGATAAATGGATACGAACATTTCAGATTGACGATATCTACGGCATAATCTTTCGGCTGTTGTTGGTAATTGAAGTTGGTAGAAATGTGAAGTGTAATAGCTCTAACCTTACCCTGTATCTGCCGCGCCCTAATTGGCCCCCTCGACTGTTACAACAGGCTAACGCCCACGTGGTAGCGCTCTTTGGCTGCCGGAGCTAGCGGCATCAGTCAGCAATGACGCCAACGATTCAAGATGCGTTGTTTACAAACCTCAACTTGTTTCAGATCCTCAACATGTGCCGTTCAAGGCTAGAAAAATGGTCATTTTGACTTCTGTCAGAAAGTCACCAGCTTACTTATACGCGAAAACATATTGTCTTTGCTCATTGGTTTCTCTAGTGCAAGCGACGCCAGTCTCTTCGCGTGTTCGCGTAACTCATACAAGAACTCGCTTTCGCAACGGTCGAGTTGTGGTATCCTTGCCTATCATACAGGAAACGAGCCATACAAAGTTAGCTCCTTCGTCGCCCTCTAGGGTCTCGTTGCCCCAGAAGACGAGGGACATTGTTGAAAGATGGTATCAAAGAGCTGTCGACTTGGCATCTGTCAAGACACTCCTACAGAGGGACGAGACAGACGTCGCAACGTACCCGGAGCTACAATGGGATGCTCAAGTCCGACATGGCTCCTCTCTTCACCATGAAGAGCAAAAGTTCATTGAGCTTCGAAAGCTGAGAATATCATCACAAGGAGAAGATTCGTTACATCACTTTTTAGACCTCCCGCCTGATGAGAAGGTTGACCCCAGAGATGTCCCGCTCATCGCGCTGGGCGGCTCAGGTGGTGGGTACAAGGTGATGTATGGATTTACTGGATTCATCTCAGCTGCCAAGAAGCATGGACTATGGGACTGTATCACATGGACTGCCGGTGTTAGTGGAAGCTGTTGGACTATTGCGGCTTACTACACCATTGCCCGACATGATGCTCAGCGGCTGATCGATCATTATCTCACAGTAGCTAGTGAACTTGCACACCCCATGAGCATCCATGCCTTGAACGTGGTTGCAAGAAGCAAGAGAGGGGTCTACTTTCTGATTGGCCCTCTAGTCAGTAAAGCGCAGAAGAGCATCATTGGGCTGGGAATCATGGATCTTTACTCCACTCTCACAGCCACATATCAACTGCTATCAAGAGAGCCAAAGGGGAGACTCAGCAGAGCGACATTCCAGTGGTCCAAGACCTGGCATCGATCGGGTATAGATAAAGGTCTGGAGCCATTGCCGCTTCTTGCGGCGGTAAGACGCGTACCGAAGTACTCGTATGAGCCAAAGACAATATCTGCAAAGGCCAGGGGTGCCAAGAAACAGCCAACGTCTCGACAGCTTGACACTGCTGAAGGAAATGACCAAGCAAATCAAGCAGTATCTGCGAACAAACGGTCAAAGAAGCTCTTCCAATATTTCGAGATCTCACCTCTCGAAGTAGGCAGTCTGGACCTCAACCGCTACGTCCCAACTTGGGCTTGGGGGCGAACTTTCATCTCTGGGTATTCTGTCGATCGTCGCCCTGAGCAGTCATTCTCGCTCTTGCTGGGCCAGTGTACCAGTGCCCCAGCGGGTCCTTTGGCAGAATGCATCAAAGCACTTCTGGTCACTATACCCAGGAACACAATAGTGGCACGCTTGGTCACCATATTCAATAACGTACTCCAATCGAAGTATTTCGAGGGCTTTTGGGGAAATCCCATACGTGCAGGACATGATCCGAATCCCTTTTATGGACTTGAAAGACCGTTAGGGATGCGAGAGCATACTTCGGAGCACTCTATGTATATCTCACGAGTTCCCCATCAGCATCAACGAGGGATACACAGCAGCGATAAATCCAGTGCCGATCCTGCATCCTTGCAGTCACATTCCTTGCCGCTGTGGGAAGCACAGGGACGCACAAGACTCATGGACTCCGGAATGGCGAATAATCTTCCAAATCATATTCTCGCTCGGCCAGAACGAGGCGTTGACGTTTTCATATCTTTCGATGCGTCTTCGGATATTCATACTGGTGCAGCTGTCCAAAGACTACATCACTTCGCTGCTGACTTCAATGTTGAACTTCGGGAGGTGACATGGGAGTTTCACAAGCCACAGCGGAATGAAGTCTTATCTTCAACTCAAGGCTTGGACATCGAATCCCGATACATAGATCACTACGCCAGAGTCTTTCGTGGAACGAGACAGAGCGGGCAGAATATATACATTATATACTGCCCCCTCTTGCCAAATGGCATGAACCCTGGCTATAATCCTACCGTAAGTTTCGTAACTCCTACGGAGGTATCTACTAATTAACCCAGACTGCATCGTTTTCAACATCAACCAACCTCATGTGGACGCCAGACCAAGTCAAGAGTGTTCTTGCGACTACAGAAGCGAACGTTTCAAACTATGGTATTGATACCATAAAGCGGGTAGTAAAGAAGGTTTACCAATATAAAAAGAAACATAGACTAGATAGACATGGGGCCGAAGCCTAGATATATGAGCAGACTGTTTTAGACAACCTCATTCAGCCCAGCTCGCAAATACATGGCCTGCGCCAGACCTCGAGGATCAGGTTCGAACCATCCATGACATTTTGGACATAAAGCACTCCTGACACTTCCTCTAAAGTGTGCCATTGCGGAAGTGTCAGAGCATTTTGGACATCGATATTCGAGTTCGAAAATACTCCCGTGTTCCTCAGCGCGACGCCGCAGCTCGTCATCCACTTGAGCATCAAAAGCCTGTCGTTCGGCTTTTGTCAGTCCTTTTTCTAACCAATAAACGTCGTAGAATCGCAATGAGCGGTCCTTATGCCCTAGAACAGCAGGGTTCTCGACTCTAAAGATTCCGTTATCTCCCCATGAACTTCCCCACGAGTTTAAAAATGCTAACGAATCGGGGTTGCAGCGCACTAACACAACAGCGTGGCCACCTTTATACGCTTTGTTGAAGTGAGGTGCCATCTGCGCTTCTGTGAGAACAGCAGTACGCATTGCGGATTGTCGGTCAAAATGTTGACAAAATGTGTCCCAGCCCTTATTTGACAACCCAAATGTAGCAAGGACTGGGCGACGTCGGAGCACGGCGTCACGAGCGCCATTCTCGTCAACCTCTCGGAACTTGAGGGGGCGGTACCAAATGCACGCATCTGACAGTACCTCTTTAGTAGGTTGGCCATTTCTTATCTCTGGGTATTCAGATAGAATTCTATCTCGTATCTCAACGAAAGAAGGAATCCCACCTTCTCTAGAGACAATGCGAAGTAAGGCCATGTGTATTACGGACGCCACGGCATGCGCATAGCAGATGGGCCTTTGACCCTGGTGGGTAGGCCTGCTTTGAATGGCAAGATGTTCGTTGTTGACATAATTGTCAAGACGTACTCTCCCAACGATACCTAATAGCGCATCCGTTGAACCAAATCTGGCAGAGAGCAGCAAGGAACAGAACTCTTCCAATGCTGTGACGGTACAAACAGTGCAAAACAGTGCCACCTCTCCAGCTGAAGGAATCGCCCAACCTGCAGCAGCTAAGACAGGAATTGGATGCGTCGATGCCTCGATAAGCTTCGACATCCGGAAGAGGCTCCGGGTACCCTCGTCCCAACGAGGGTTGACCTCATAATGCAAGGCACGCTGAGTGCTCGACCGATCACCTGTGAGCTTGACAGTCGCAATTGAGATACGCTCATCCCGAAGATCACTAGCGACTGTGGATGGATCGCCATCTGTTGAAATACCATCCGACATAAGTACGAGTACGTGATGCTCTGTGCCGGGCTTGCTTCGAAATGCTTCTAGAGCCTTTTGCAGAGCATAGCACATCGGCGTGGGACCATACATGTACTGGCGAATAGCGTCGAATAGGTTGTCGTTATCTTCTGGCACATTTCCTGCATCATGATCCTCGTGGTCCAGCCACTGGTCCTGCAGTCGCTGAAGAATATCCACGACTTCAGGAATTGGACGAGGATTGAAATTCTCGAAATCTAAGAGCCAGTTCGTTTGAATACGCCGGGCTAAGGCCAAAGCTTCCGATCTCTCGACCCTTGAGTGTTCGATTGAATTACTAGCAATTTCACCGGCCATCATAGTAGCAAGAGACACAACAGTAGCAACAATGGCACCAGGGACGATCGCTGATACGGCACATCCGAGAGCTGTTCCAGCACCTGCGCTGAGTTGTCGACTCGACTCGCGCAACCTGTTGACCTCCTCTTCAGGTGGAATGTCATCAATGAATTGCTGCACTTGGTCAGGGTGTAGTTTCAAATGCGCGTCGACTATTCGAGCCTCTCGGCTAGTGAGTTTCGTCTTGATGTACCTTGATATGTATGATACGTTGTTCGTGTTCGCACGAGCGATGAGAAGATCGTGACCAGAAGAATTGTTTCCAGGTTCATTCAGCAAAGCATCTGCGATCCCACATAGGTCCGCTGCTTGAGGATTAAGATGCTCTTTGGACGTCTTTAGTCCAAAGACACCAACGAACATAAAGGCATTAGAATTCTGCTGGCACTCTGCTTTTGCTAACTTGAGGGCCGCTCTAAGGACAGCTCTGAGTCGATCGCCAGCTGGCTCGTTCGATTGACTTGGTTCCAAGGCATTGCGCATTGAGCCTGAAACGTCGAGCAGACAGCCGACAACAATTTGAGGTGTTGGGTCTGGCATGATCGATAATCCAGTTACCAGTTAAATTTTTGGCGTTTAGATGTTAGGAAGTTCCTGATGGAAGAGAGTTGTAATAGTAACAAAAGAAGAAATATTTCCCAGCATGATAAATGTTGCCTGAGATCTTACCTCGTTGGTTGATACGTCTGGGTATGCACATGTCGAGCGGGGGTTGAAAGGGACCTCCTCCCTGGACGCCAGTCAGCAAATTAATGCAGGATGATGTGGCAGACGCACTCATTTCCCTCCGCAAGAGGCTTCCTAGATAGATATTGCTTCTCTGATATGTCTGCAGTATCTAGCCATTGCAACACAGATAACTACTAATTCTAATATAGAGCAATGCCTTCGTTTAGATATCGCGCATTATGGACACCGCGATCCATCCGTTTGCTATCAATTAAGCAGATATGAACATCTACTACAATAAGTATATGAACCAGTGACCTTTTGGTGCTCGGGTATCAGATATCGGATTGCCGATCTATTGGCTTAATTGGATTTATCGAGCTTGAACGCTGTCCGTTTTATCCTTATTTCTATCAACGAAACCTTGTAATTGCAACAAAAAGCATTGTTCTTGCCAATCTTCCTGTGCCTCGCACCATTGAACCGCCTGGGTCAATTGATCTGATTTCATGACTTTCTCTTAGTTAACATGATTGTATATCTAGGCAGATGGCTAGCAAGCTGAGAGCACATATCTTGCAGAAGGTGACTCGATAGTGCTCTCGTATTGGATGCTTTATGTACACAGCGAGGATAAGCGCGATTTTCTATTCGTTTCTAGCATTGATAAACTACTCCAACTTTTAACTATATATGGTAGAATCATGTGCCTGGTTTACGCCATAAGGCCTTTGCTTCCGTCGAAAGGAATGTGCCATCTGTCCTTTTCCCTATAACTTTCAAGTGCTTTGAGCACAATCCATACCTATTCGTCCTGAGGTCAAAAGACCACTTTTTTCTTGGCTTGGGCATCTGCATAGCAATGGCTCGGCAGTCTCTACACCGTAGGGCATGCTTGATATATGAAAAGTCACCGACTGCTTCCCTCTCCTCAGTAGAGACAGGTTGGATGTCAATTAGTGATACAGCAAGCTCCCAGCTGTTCGAGTGGACTGCGCGAGAAAGTACCGTCTCGCTTGCTTCCTCATAGCCCGGTATAAGTGACTCTCCGAAAAACACCCTTACGATGCCCTCACATATTGATGTTGGCCAGCGATTTCGAAGCAATATCTTGTCGAAGGGAAGTGTAATGGTCGCTTTATGCAGTGGAACAGAGCCTCCAGTCTCCAAGCAGTGTGCCAGGGTATTTTCAATAGCCTCTATACCATGAGTCGCTGCCGCCTGTACCGCGCCTAGAAAAGTAAGAGTGTTGTCCAGTTGTCGCTGTAGACGAATATGATCAGTCTCATCTGACTTCCCCAAGAGCCCAAATAAACCGTTGTCATGATCGCGAGGTCTCTCTTTTGTGTACAGTCGCTCTGAAAGAAAGACTTGCATGCGTTGCATGTCAGTCAGGGCTCCTTCAATCAGGATATCGAAGAACGATCTCCCGAACCTTGTCTTGGAAAGAAGCATCAGTTCCACGTCGAATCTCTTGTCATAGTTTAAAGTACGTAATCTTTCAACCGATGAACCTGTGTCTAGTTCTTCAGCTAACACAGCAAACGCAAAAAGGTACGGCTGCTCATGTCGTCGATAGCCAGTCTCGAGAAGCCGACACATCTCTTCTTTTAAAGGATACTCAGCTCTTTGTGCACACGTACAATCCTGTTGTGCCCCATTAGGGTCTAGCGGGGGGAAGTATGAGATTCCACTAGCAACTGCCGCCCTCAGCTCTCGGACGAGATCAGAGTGGCTTAGTTGCAGTCTTGCGCGGCTGAGGCATCGATTCTCGCACGATTGATGGAGTTTGTTTACGGCCATTCTGTTGATGATGATCGACAAGTAACCGTGAAGTCGACGATTAGCTGGCCTCTTGTAGTCCTCTACCAGCAACATGAACACACGGCAAGCAAGACCTGCGTTGCGCTTTTGAATGGCATAAATAAAAACGTAGCAAAGGTCCCTTAGCGTGGAAGTATTCATGAGCCTACCATTCTCATCTGTCTCCAGCGACACCGCAGTTTCTCGGTATGAGTCAAATCCGGGACCAAAGAATAGGACGTCGTTTCCAATGGTCTCACTGACAGCCTTCTTCCAGGCCGGCTGGAACCAAGGCTCTCCCTGGGAATATTGATGAGGCCTGCGCAGAATCTGACCTAGCAGTCTCCATGTGGCCCCGTTGTCACTCGAGTCGATACACAGCTGATGCTTATACCAGTGCTTGGAGGCATACTCAAAGAACGTGTACTCTTCGGAGCTCTGAGAGGGACCGAAATTATGCTTGGGAACTGAAGAGAGCCTGGAGCCGTTCCATTGAACCTTGCGAGGCGAAGTTATGTGTGACGGCCCAACAGCTTCCCTGGTAAATTGTCCAATTAAAGACCCGATACTATCCCCGACTGCGGTTCGGATTGTTTGCTCAGCCAATCCACCCATATTGATATTCATAGATGAAGTATCTTTATTGCACTTCCTCGTGAATCCCAGCGCCCTCTGGAAGTTGTCAAGGCTGATGTATGTGACGCATAGCTCCCCTATGAATCTGTCACACTTGTCACGTTCCAGGTGAAATTCCTTGAAGTATTCTGAGCCTGGAGTAAAAAAATACTTCTGAATCGAGTGGTGGCTAAAATGGACAGTGTCTGACGCTTCTATACATATGAAATTCTCGCACCACATAGGCAGTCGATCTACTCCACTGATAAGGTCGTCGTGGTCAAGGGTCTGTTGCCCTATATCAACAGAGAGAGCCTCACGAAGCTGATCTAAGGTCAACGGCTCAAATGATGATTGAATTAGGGTGAAGGCTTTCTGAAAAATCGCCGTGTTGTTTTTCTTTGCGGCTATACGGCCCAGAGTACGGTCAAATGTTGCGTGGAGGTCGCCTGGAATGTCTTGCAGGGCCCGTCTGATGTCTTTATCAGACTTTCGAGAGCAGATATCATTGATCGTTAGGAAGACCCATAAGAACCTTATATAACATATGCCATATTAGTCACTTTCTTTGCGATCTTCTGGGATTATATACTTACATCCCCTTTTCCTTTCGATGTATCGCTTCAATGACCCAGGGCTAGAGCCCTGGGTCATTGACTATGAGCTCATTGGTTGATATCTTGTTCGAGATGATGTCCTCGGCATATAGCCGAATATCTGCGCTTGTCGGCTTCAGCCCGGTGTATAGACGAGTCACTTGCGGTAAATTCGGTCGATGTTGCTTGATGACGTTTCACGGGATGATAATAGAAGCTTGATCCGGTGGGGTTCTGGCAGTTGGTCAAGAACGTCGCGAAGAAATTTTAATAGTCCAATCTGTCTTATGATGTCTACCTCGTCCAGGCCGTCAATGACTATGAACCAATCATCCAGGTTTTTTGAAGCAGTGGTAAATAGTGAGCTCAATGAGGCAGCCGAGAACAGTGAAGACTTGGCTTCTTGCAGACTGACATCCAGGACAGCCATGGCGCCTGAGTCCAGAGTTTCGATTAACGGGGACGCGAAAAGCTGCTGGAGACAAGAACGAATCACTGTTGACGATGAGAGGCTTTTGTTTTCATCGAAACGGAGGAAAAAGAAGGAGGTGAATCGGCGAGATACTGGAGCACAGCACAGCTTTTCTATAATTGAAGATCTTCCTTGAGTTAGCAAATGTCCCAAGTCTAGCGGCACTGATAGACCAAGGGCTCACGCTAAGATTGTTTTTCCAGACCCAACTAGGGACCTTGTTAGATAAAGAACTTCTTACGTGTAGTCACTACTTTTGACTCACTCTTCCCTGTGATATGGAGGATGGCTGATTTGTTGGCGTTAGCCCACCCTTGGTATTCAGGTGTGTGAAAACACCATTCGGCGGTGCCCATGTGGCGTTTATTGCGCATGCTGTTGAATGTTGGCATGAAATTGTAAGACGTCGGCTCGTTGATGAGTTTGACTCTTTTCTTGTCTGAAACAGTTGTCAGTTTGATAAATGATGGCAATGTGTAGAGTTACCTTTACAATGCTTCTCCTTGAGATCTTGCAAATCTTTCATGGCAGCACTGTATTTTGTTGCCCACGCAGAGAGTTGCTGCCTATAGTCAGAAGCGCTCTGTCGCTCTTTGGTCTGTTTCTGTTGTTCCTGATAATCAGCTTGAGCTTTCGCTAACTCAATTTCGCATTGCGCATCCTCGGCTTTTGCCTTGACGTTCTCGACATAGGTCTTGATCTCAGTCTGGAATGAGCCTGTAATGGCTTTCCAGACTTGGTTGGCCAATGCTTGACGGGCGAAAGTTAGCCTTAGCAGAATCGCTACTTTACTATACATACTGGATTGACGAATGAGGTAAATGATCTTCTCACAACAGACTATGACAGATGTGTGAAATTCACAAATTGAATCGTTTAGACGGGTTGAGCTCTGGAACAAAATCTGATAATGTCCTAGTCGAGAATACAGAGAGCCGAAACCCTCTAATAAATCGACGAAAGATTGAAATTGAGACAGAAAGTTTGCAAGAAACTCCACAAACAATAGTCAGTTAGCAGATACCAAAGCATCAGTCCCGACACATACCATAAATGTTAACTTAATTGAACTCCAGATGATGGCACTGATCTCCGGATTTGATTGAATGTACGTATCAATGATGGGAGTGAACTGTTGGACTATCTGCAGAAATGAGGTAAGCCTTGAAGCGATACTTTTGCCTCGTCTCTTTTCTCTTTGCTGCATATCTAGTTCGGCCGTGAATACAATGATGGACTTGGGATCGCGCGGTAGTTTCTTTAGGTCTTTCAGACGTTTTCGATCTTCGTCTGTCAGTGAAGCCTGAAAGTGAGCGACAGCGCTCTCAAGCTCAGCAACAGCTGCGCTTCTCTTGGACTGAGCGCAATCGCCGGCTGAGGATGGGGCACGACGTGGAATTGATGTCTGATGGGGAATCATTATGTTCCAGCATGGCGTTAACCATAATGGTAGATGCTAATGACAAGATTTGGAGCGACCAGCCCCTCAAGCTTTCGCAGCCTGACATGAGGCCTCACGTGCCACCACGGCCAGAATGACTGAAGGAGAGAATTTAATTGAATGACTTCTTCACAAGGCATATTTTGCTTCGAGTGACGTATCCTGCAGAAGGTGGCTTGATAGCGCTCTCGCATTGGATGCTTTATGCATACGGTAAGGATAGGCACGATTTTGTATTCGTTTCTCTGTGTTACTAAATTTTAGGCCAAGCCACCCGATTTCTTGTTTGTCTGCCTTGTGATGACTACAAACCGTGATATTAATCTACACCCCATAGTGTATGTACGGTGCCCAATCGGCTGAGCCAATATTGTTTTCCATGCTTCCTATCAAAGATGCGTCTCTAGCTGAACTCGGATTACCATTGGAAGCAGTAGTAGCTGTCACACTGTGGCGAGTCTCATGCTTCACCATCCATTTTTTCCTCAACTCACAAGTCGCCTTGTGTAGCCCCCGGCAGATGGATTCATCCGAGATATCGCAGTTGAGCAGCTCCTGAAACGTCATCTTTGCCATTTCAACAGAGAGATCATCTTGTACGTTCCATAGCGTACCAATGACATGCCTAAACCCGGCAATCTGAAACGCACTGATGAGGTTGATGTTCTCATCGAATGACGTCTCGTTTTTGATCTGGCCAGTGCCACATGCCGATAGGTATGCAAGGAAGGGTGACTTTTGTCGAAGATTCATATCTAGGAGGTCAGAAACCTGAAGTGAGTCTCGTTCCCAGTCTTCGAGTAACAAACAGCTCTTAGACGGGTCTTCTGTGTGTGAGAGGCCGTGGCCTGCGAAATGAAAGATCTTGCAATCTGGGAGATATCGCATGACCTCCTTCTTGGTGCGGGAAGGTATGATTGACTTGAGGTCCATAGAGCGGGCCATACCATCTATCAGGTCAACTTCCTCGTTGGCGAAGGTAAGCGTGTCATGACCAGGTGTATGCTCCATCGCAACAAGCAGTGCTTGATCAGAGGTGGGCGACTGGGATGAGTCTCGACGGCCACGAATTATGTTGCGAATAGAAGACCCGTATGACGACATAACTCTGTCGAGCACTGCTTCAGACCCTTGTTGTGCATGGTGTCCTGCTGCATGGAGAGGAAGTTGAACCAAAGGACCAGTTGGAATCCACCACACATGAGGCCATTTATCCATTGGTGGGGATTCAGTAAAACCTAGTGTGTTGAGTATAGGGCTCATGATAGTATCCCAGAGCCACTCGAGTGTTTTCGACGTTGCCAGGGTCCAGGGTTTTATCTTAAGCTCTAGTTCTTCGAGACTTATGCTTGGAAGCGCCAGTGCACTGACCTGGTTCTCTGAGACGAGGAGAGCGTCACAACGAAGTCTGCTGACGTTGATCACCACGACAGGGCCACGCTCTGATACTCTATGTATCTCGTCTTCACTATGTGCAAGCATGAAGTCTTCATATCCCGGTAACTCGCGGATCTCAGCAGCCAACTCGGTGAACTCCTTAGCAGCGGCATGTCTTCTGTTAATCGAGGCTTGCGACTGCGCATCCGCCGAATTAACATGCTCAGCGCGCCGGTCCAACTCGCTTTGCAAAGTGCGATATCTTTCCGCTAGACCAGGATGCTGCCTCGCCAGATCCTGCACGTCGCTTCGCATATCTTGGAGCGATGCCCCAATGATACCGCGACCTTGTTCAAGAAGTTGCAAGGCTGTCATAGGCGATTGGCCTGCTTGCAATGCTGCTGCTGCTGCATCGGATGCTAGCCCGACTACTTTCCCGAGTACGTACTGTCTGTCGTGATTCTCATGGGACCATGATACGAGCTTAGGAATAAGGCTCACTGCGAGTTTTGCAGTATCATATAGTTGCTGGTTGTCTGACGAGTTGGAGAGTATGGCTTGTCCAGCAGTGATACGGTCCTCCGGCGCCGAAGCCTCATGGTAAAGAGCTAGTTCGTAATGCTTGATAGAGCTTTCCAAATCCTGTTCGTCTCCGGTCGTGGTATAGAGGTTTAAGTGACAGGTAGCAAGGCCGTTTAACCACGCTGCCCTGACAGCATGGTCTTGCGACAGCAGTCCCAAAGCTTCCTCGGCGTTTCGGATGGCCTCTTCTAAATCATCAAGATCTCCTGTATACTCATACCGATCCCCCAACTGGTCACCAAGGATATACAAATAGTCCGCTCTCTCTGGGTGATCGAGTGGCATCATTTGTATGGCTTTTCTCTCAAGTTCGATAGCCTCATCGACATCGCCCAGATCTTCCGTTCCTGAGAACCGATCTCCCAGTTTAATTGCCAGGTTGTAGAGTCGCTCAGGATTCTCAGGCTCCAGATCCAACGACTTTCTAGCGCAGTCAATAGCTTCGTCGATATCGGCAACATCATCTGTTCTCAGATACCTATCACCAAGACGGTTCCCCAGATTTGTCAAGATCCAACCTTCATTGTCACCGTTCGGCATCAGTTCAAGTGCCAACCTCTCCAGCCGAATAGCTTCTTCAAGATCGGCTAGCCCTTCTGTCTTCAGATATTGACAGCCAAACAATCTCCCTAAGCAATGAAGCCATCTGGACTTCCAGCACCTTTCGGGAACCAAGGCGAGTGCCTCACCTACAACCGCAAATGCCTTTTCCAGATAGGCTTCATCTTCAGTTCTCTCATGTAAAATACACAGATGGTTGGCCCTTGTTATCATCCAATCCACTTTGTCTCTGTCTGTAGCTGACGCATCAGTGATCTGCTGATGCAACTCAGCGCATTCCTTCAAATTCTGCAGCTCCCCGTTCATTTTGTATCGGTTGTAGAGAGTTTGGATCAGATTCTTTAGCGCGTCTTCGTTTCCAGGCCTTACTTCGAGGACCTTTCTAAAGACCTCGATGCTCTTGTTCAAGTCTGAAATATCCCCAGTTACCTCTGCCCTCTTGTCGAGCTTCGCGCCCAGAGCAGTCAACCTGGCTGCCCTCTGCAAACTGTTATTAGGGTCTGTGGCGTCGACTGAGAGTCTTTGGTAGCGAATGGCCTCATCGAGGTCAGCGACGTCTTCCGTCTCCTCGTACTTTTCTTCGAATAGGAACTCTAGTCTTCTGAGGAATACAATCCTCCGCGGATCGCTTTCTGGTGTAAGATCCAACGCCTGAATGGCGAGCTCTATGGCTTCTTCCATATCATCGAGATCGTCCGTCTCGGCAAATCGGTCGCTGAGTTCATTGCTGAGTAGATGCAATTGAAGTGCTTTGTTTTGATGATCCTCAGGCTGAGTTAATGCCAATATCTCCCTTCGCAGCTCAAGAGACTGATTGAAATACTGTACGGGCTCAGTAATAGTATATTGTTCTTTGAGTTGTTTTATGCGATCAGTCAATAGGGAAATCCTCGCTCCGTTGTTTTCGTTGCCCATTTCTAGCTGCTTCGTCGGGATCAATTGCAATGATTCCATGTTCTTAGAGGTTTGAAGGGCTATAGTATAGGTAACAGTACGCGCTTAAATTATTCCGGAAAGGATTCTAGTAGCAAAGAGACCACTCGATATTAAACTTAATATTTTATCGATGTTTAACGTTCGGACGTTGTTAAAACAAGGCCCTTAATGCGCGCAAGGACATTTATCACGCATGAGCTATTAACAACTGTCACTCTGTCAGACAAGGCCTCCCGCAGGTGAACCACACTGTCTTGGCGATAATCGACGTTGCATATTTCAGGCTTACTACAAGCTTGGTCAGCCGCCATATGCTAGGATAATTCCGGAAAAGAAAACCTACAAACAGGCAGCAGCTCAAAGATAGCGAATCATTGCTCTGTCTTAGCAGTCGTGTAACCCCTTGCAGAATGTCATCACCACTAAAAGGTAGAGCCCTACCCTCCTATAATTCCGATAAGGCGGATAAACATTAATCGCTGATTCGATGCAGAAACCTCGCCACATCAACCAACAATTTTGATAGGTGGAGAAATACTCACGGTGCATAAGCTGCCTGCCTGTTACTGATGCATGACGGCTCGTTTATATGTTGTTGGTGATGTGTCGCCTATTCTTGGAGGCCGACTGGGTCGCAAGAGGGTTGAGCCGCATGTGTAGCTTAGCTTCTTAAATGCTAGCCCATGGGCTAAGCCTCCACTACTTTACATCTTGAATCTACTGCTAGTACGGTATAGGCCTAACGTTGGCTAGCTTCCACCATCAGTCTCTCGACTACCAGTAGCAGCGAATCTATTTGAGTCTACCTCCACCACATTCACGATGAAGGATGCGTCAGAGGATTCAAAGGCTCCAATCGAGTCAAGGTACGCTACGTTTTCCAGCATCCTATGGCGCTACTGACAGTCGCATAGTCAGCAAGACGCACCTGAAGTAGAGGTGATTGATGGAGGACGCCCTACGATCAGAAGCTTTGCTGCGGTACGTTTCTGCGGCCAGAGGCCTGCACCTGGCTAATATTCTGTAGACTGCGAAGCTCAGGCCAAACGACATGGTCAGGGTACTCTCAAATGGATCGACTTACACAGTATCCGAAGTACGGGGAGGGAAGTACATCCTGTGTGATGATAGTGGCAAGGAAGTTATGCAGGGCCGCGAGTATGATGAGAGTGACTTGGAATTGGTAGATGACCCTTTCTAAACCCTTGTGCGGCGCGGAATCTATGCATACGCCTCAAATACGAATATTTGAGTTGATACAAGTCCAAACTACGAAGTTGTGTGACATCCATGACCCCTTGTTTCCAGCACTCCTCATCCTTCCTCCCGTACTCAAATGCTTGATAAGGTCAGACAGAATATCTGCACTCGTAGAAGAGTTCCTCAAATGTGACTTGACATCCAGCCCTGACATGACCATGCCCGGAAATGAAACCGGTTTGTCTGTGATAAAGACTTTGATGACATCTCGAGCCCGGCCCTGCAAACTCAGATGACTTGGAATTGTCATTTTTAACTTCAACTCCTTCATGCCATAACTCTGGCCATGGGGTGGTGGGATGAGGACATAGTCACCTCCTCCTGAAGCTGAGATCAGATTGTTCACGCTCCAAGAAGGAGCAAAGTCAAAGACGGCCATGTAGAGAGGATGGTCCGCATGGTTCTCGATAGTGAATCCAAACGTCTCTCCATCTAGAACTTCGAAGGTTCCGTTCGTGGTGGAGTTTGAAATTGGGTTGAGTGTGTATTTTGCTCTCAACTCAGCGGACGGAAGGAGATTGGCTAAGCCCTCGAAGTACTTGAAGGTTGCGACATGTTGAACAGTCTCCATCATTCTAGGGAACGAATCATCCAACCTAGCGTCGAGTGTTGGTAATTGAAGCATATTCTCTTGTGCTTCACTGACGATTTCGTATTTGCTTAATTTGGTGATAGTCAGTGCAAACATACAAAGAGCCCTTTCGTCTTTGTCTGTAATTATGTCGTAGTATTGTAGCGCCTTTGGCTTATCTTTCAGCTGCGTATCTTGTAGTAACTCTGCCGGAAGCCATACTTTCACACGTTGAGATGACACAGTCGATAGCTGGGTGGCATTCAAGGTGCCCAGATCTTTCATGCTGAAAGGGAAGACTCGTGGGGGTGTTATTCTGTCATGCGAAATTGTCAACTCAGATTCGAAAGCCCAAACATTGGAGACTTTGAATTTGACCCTCGAACGAGAATTCTGGCCCGAGCTAGCTGAAAGACTATTTTGGACAGTGAACTCATCTCCGACTGAGATTCCATGGACTTGTCCCGCTTTGATGAAAATCCTTGAACCTTCCATCTTGCATAGTGGCAAGGTAGTGAGGGTGACTGAGCCCAGAAGCGTCCCGAAGAACGAGAGGTCAGTATTGCCGTAGCGCATTGGTGTCTGGCTGCACCCTGAGGCCTGCATCATTGAAACAACCGTTTGATGGAGCGCTTGGTGCGACACAGCATCATTCACCTTTGCCAAGGTAGTCAAGGTTTTGAGAAGGTGATGAGTGAGTGCGCCTCGTTTCTGGGTCTTGTTGACAAGAACTTCCATGGCTTTTTCGTGGGGACCACAAGCCGTAATAATCGTGTAACCTTCAGGATTGACAAGCCAATCTCGACCAATACTTCCATCGCGCCCTGGGATGCCAAGGGCGTCTTTGAATTCTTGCTCTTGTTCAGCTCTGTCGGCATCCAGCGACGGGTCGTATTTCATTGCCCGGACTCGATCGCCTCGACTAACGGCACCCGAAAAACAGCAGTCTAACGCGACAGTTACAACAAGACCTTTGTCGACCATTCGTTTGAGAGCCTGTGCTAGAAAGCGCCCGCGAAAGTAGCTAGCTCCATGCTCACCACCATCGTAAAGAACAAGACCTAGCTCGCCGAAGCCAGTTTCGCCAACATTGCCATCTGATGGTAATTGCGTGCCGTGCCCGGAGAAGTGGATATACACATGATCGCCTGGTTTCGCAGAATCAATGATTAAGCGAAGCTGCTTCAGAACATTTGCCCTGGTTGGCCTCTCATCGGGTGTCTCTGGTGGATCTTTAGTGGATTGATGATCCTTCGGTACAGTGGCTGTGAGCACGGATGTATGAATTGCCGTAGCGCTGTGTTGTTCCAGATAGGCCCTAATGTCGCTAACGTCGTCGACACTGCCATGAAGATGGCGATCGTTAGGGTAATAATTGATTCCTATCAATAGCGCCCAGCGCGCGGAAGATTCTTTAGTGGCGGCCATTTAAATGACTTCGAGGGATCACGATAGGAGCATATTCATGTGAGGCCTGATTAAAAACAAAGAGAAGTTGGACTGTTGGATGATAACCGTTGCTGTTCATGCGAGTCCCTGTTTTATTGGGGCTGAGTGCATGCCCAGCTGACGCCTCAGCGGGCGGACCGAGCCTATAAGCTTGGGGTCGCAAAGAGGCAGCTCAAGGCACTAAAACTACAAGTTCAATCACAAATGCAATTTCTTGCGGCGTTTCAACCTGATGAGTACAGTGAGAATTAATAGCCTTCTCCAGCTGCTTCTTACAATATTCGAGTTACCAGATTTTGAACGGCGATACAAGCTTTTCAAAAAAGAAAATGTCGTCAACTACTTCCGATATCGAATTGGGCCAGTGCAACACTTCACCATTATCGAGAATGGGTACAAACGGCAGAAACTGGAGCCTCAGGTGGCCAAATCTGGCATGGCCGTCATCTTCCTGTTTCTCACTTCCTTTGTTACCTTTCTGGAACAAGAGTGCTCCGGTAATGCAATTACCGCAAAGTAAGCAAGGCTGTCAATAAATTCCTTATAAGCGAGGCTAACAGCTATCAAAGTTGAGGATTACCCAAAGGGATATCCCCAATTCTCGTCTCTAATATCCTCTCATGAGTCCTTTTTCGTCGCTCGTAGGTTTCTAAACGTTCGTGCCCGACTATTACTGCTCAAACAAAACCGTGTCGTCGAACTTGAGAGTAAGCTGCACAAGATTGATAGAGACGAAGACCGGCCACTGTTCCTCGGCAGTTGTCAGCGGGATCAGAATCAAGACAGAGCTAAAGTTGTTGCTGAGCTTGATGAAGCTCTGGAGGATTTAGGTAGGATCTCCTTGATAGCTCTGGTGGTCTTAACGCTAATAGGCCTAGACAAGTTCCTATTGAGAAGTCGACAGGTTTCAGAACTCGAACAGGCAGATCCTCAAGCGGTGACGAATCTCCAGAACTGGGTCAATGGCACCGGATCTATCGCACGGGCAGAAAGCAGATTCTTGAACTACCCACCGCAAGAGCTCCTAAGTACCAGTCCCCGGGACGAATCTGCCATGATAGGGCTTGAGAACAACGTGGCTGAGAATCTTCTCCGTGTACGAGATTACTTCTTCCCGGTATTCCAACCTTTGCTGTAGTTATGCGATATTCCCTATCATACTGATATAGTATACAGAACTACGCCCCGAAAGTATCAAGAGATATTGCCCATATTTATATCCCTACAAGGTCATCTGCTGCTCTTATCTCCCGTGCCTTGATGATCCCGATCGTTGTCGTCATGCTGCTGGCACCAGTTATTCTCTGTTCCTACCTAAGCAGCACATCATCTCGACTATTTGCTGTTGGTGGTGCGACGGTATTCTTCGTTGCGATGATTTCTAGTGGCACGAGAATGAAGAGTCAAGAGCTGATTATCGCGGGCGCAACGTAAGCTATGACCTACGTCCTTGCTGAAGTTCCTGCTAATAGTTATAGATACGCCACTGTCCTTACGGTTTTTCTATCCGAATCTTCGGTCTTGCCAGGGTAAAGACGTCATATCGCAGTAGGGTTGAACCGATAGGCGGACCTTTTCTTGTGTTGATCTACGGGGATGACTGCGGCCTATAGGGTTAGGCTTTAGGCTGCGAACACATATAATAAATGACAATACGATATTTTTTCCTCCCGATATAAGCTTTTATCCATAAGCATTGTGTTGATCAGACTATGGCATGTTATCGGGAAGTCTATGTTGCCACTATTTCTATAAAAGAGGGCAAATGCACTCAAGCCTCCTATTACTCGTGTCTCGTGCCCCCCTCTAAATCCAAATTATATCGATAAGATCTTTATCGAGGCCAACTTCACAATGGAAAATACGTCGCCCATCACCACGTCAAGTTTATTTTGCAGCTGTATGATAGGCCGAGATTCTCAATATCGCCTTGGGCAGTAGGATTACAAATCTCTATACTAAGTACTCTCATACCTGGCAAGGACGGCACGAAGAGTTCCGTGCTGGAAAGCGGGACTTACCGTACTAGCTACTCCGTGGAAAGGCGTAGAATCCGAAACCGAAAGGCACGAACCCCACAACGATAAGGTGCTGACACGTAAATACGGGCATCACCAACTTCACCCCCAGCCCATCTCGGAGACATTTCTTTCATGAAAATGGATTTTACTTCTCTCGGGGCAATATTTAGACCGTTTCTAATGCAATTGAACGGACATAGACGTATAAATCTCCAAAGCCAAAGCTCAAACGGGCCCCGGACTCATGATAGACCCCGAGACCCGGAGAGGCTAACGATTAATAGAAATGGATGTCGATCCACTATCATTACTAATGAAGGTCCAATGCCGAGCGAATGAGGTCATGTATTTCATGCCAGATGGCGAAATACACTGTATAACGTTACTGCATACTGTTTCTAGTGCCATCTATAAGAAGTCCAGTATTTATATCACAACTTTGGAAGCTCGGCACTACGAGATACGAAGCAAGCGAAAGGGCATCAAACCGCAAACATCATGAAGGAAGCAATCGTCAAGAAAGATACCTCCGTCGAGATCGTCGACTCTCCCATTCCTAAGCCAGGTCCAGGCGATGTCCTCATCAAGGTCATCATCGCTGGTAAGCCAACTCACACCTCGTTCTCGCATCATATATACTAAACTCTCAAGGTACCAATCCCAAGGATTGGAAGGTCCCCTTTTGGCGCGGCGAAGACTCCAACAGCGGTGATGATATCGCTGGTATCGTCGAAGCCGTCGGCGAAAATGTCGTCGGCTTCCACAAAGGCGACCGCGTAGCCGCCTTCCATGAGATGGGAACTCCCAATGGTGCCTTTGCTGAGTACGCGACCGCGCCATACTACACAACCTTCCATATCCCCGACTCAGTATCTTTCGAAGAGGCGGCGACTATCCCTCTCGCCGCGTACACTTCTGTCTGCGCTTTGTTCCAGGAGCTTGAGATCCCCGAGCCTTGGTCGCCACTTGCCAAGACCGAGGCCAAGCGTCCTCTTCTTATTTACGGAGCTAGTACAGCTACTGGAGCTTACGCCATCAAGCTGGCCGCTGCTGCTAATGTCCATCCGATCATCGCAGTTGGAAGTCAGCGCAGTGCATTTATCAAGCCATTCCTTGACGAGAGCAAGGGTGACGCACTTGTTGACTATACTGCTTACAAGACCGAAGATGAACTGGTCAAAACCATCCAAGATGCTTTCAAGAAGGGCGGTGCTCCAGATGGTCGATGCTGGAAGGCTTTCGACAGTGTCTCAGAAGATTCCACCGTTAGGACTGTCACCAAGGCTATCGCCGGTCCTCCAGACTCGACTGGCCGCAAGCCAAAGGTGACCAACATCTTAATGAAGAAAGAAGTCGAGGGTGCCGACCCCAGTGTAGACATCGTCGTCTCGATGGTTGGCCAGGTCCATAATGAGGATGAGAAGAACAAGCTCCTCGGTGTTATATGGGGCGCTGCGTTTGCTAGGGGTCTTCGAGAGGGTTGGTTCACAGCGCATCCTTACGTCATGGGTAAGAACGGTCTGGAAGGATTGTCTGATGGTCTGAAGGATTTGAAGGAGGGAAGGACTCGGGCGCAAAAGTTCCTGACGGTTATTGGTAAGACACCAGGTGCCAGTGCTTGAAATCATGTCTATCTGGATAGGTTATCGTTTTATTAAAGTTATTTTATTAAGGAGCAATTAAGACCGATTGTTAAGACGCTGGCTTGTGGTATCCTAAGGTGCCACGAAATTCATCTTAAGGCCCCGATCCAATCGATACGAACGGCACACTCGATCCAGTACACATATACTTCGCCACTTACATAAGTAAGCTGTTATACCAGGTTATATATAACCCGCTGTACTAGCCCTAGTTAGTCTTAGGGGCTTGATTAATAAGGAAGGCAATTAATAGAAAAAAGGCTAGGTAATATAACTATTAGGAATTATTTAAAGTTAGTAATATTATTATAGCCTTATATAATTAAGAACTTATAATAATACCTGCTTTATTATAGTAATCTATACCCCCCCTGGCCTGGCTTAAGGAAGAGATCTTAACTATAAGTAAAAGTAAGGCTAAAAAAGAAATTAAGGTCCTATTAAGTTAGCCTACTTTAAGTTAGCCTTTTCCTATTTAGTATTTATAAGTATAATAAATAGTATTTTAAAAAACAATATAAAAAACTCCTTAAAATAATATACTAAACCTTAGCTTAAAGGTATAGTAAATAAGAAAGTAGCTAGAGTATTTCTTTAAGAGCTATAGCATAAAGAAGGTTACTAGGAAGCTAGAGAATAAAAAAACCTAGCTAATAAAGGTTATTTATACTAAAATTAGCTATAAGCTTACTAAGCAATTTTCCCTAAATGTTTTTAACTAGGTAAAGGTTAGTTATAAGCTTAGTAAACTAATAAGGAACTAAAAGGCCTTTTTTATAATAATAAAGAAGATAAGCAGTATAGGCTATAATTATAAGCTAGGTATTATCTTTACTATAAATAAAAACTAGGATTAGTAGGTAAAAAAGTATAGAGTTAGTATTACTATTATTAAAAGGAATAGATTATATAACCTAGATTTATATTAATAGGCATTTAATAATATATAGGAAGTTAAACTTATAGCTTTTAAGGTTACTAATACTTTAGGCTTATTATTTCTTTATAATAATATAAAAAAGTCTTAAATAGACTTTTAAATAGATAAAGACTTAGTATTTAATAGT